ATAGAGATGGCTACTAAATAATATTAAACCTTCAAGGAGAAAATTATATATTAGTAAATTCGCTAGCAATAAAAGTATATCGACCGTACGTGTTTGGGTAAACTACCGCTATAAATTAATTATATTACATTCGAATTAATCAATTACGAATACTACTAAGTAGAAAAGTATAAGCTTATTGATTAACGTAGAGATCCGCTTGCTTTAGAGCCCTATAGTAAGGAGTATAATATTACTACCTAATATAGATTACCTTACCGCTATATTATATTTAAGAGGTTAATTGTAAAGAAGATTTCGAAATTTACTTATATATACCCTCGTTAATATTATAAAGAGCTACTTGTACGTACTCTCTTATTTATTTATATATAATTATTAATTAGTCTTTTTAATTTAATAGGATACCTATAATTTCTACTTTCATTTTAAAAACCCTTACATTACTCCTAAGAAGAAAGGCTACTCTAAGAACTTTATTAAAGCTATCCTTAATAAATATACCCTTCTTATAGATTTAGAAGCAAAGTAGAAGATTCCTAAAACTCTCAAGACCCCTAAAAAGTAGAAAGAGAAAGCTATATTTATATTTAGTTTAAAGAAGGGAAGTAAGAAGGCTATACTATTATTAAAGAGACGGAGTAAGAAGGTTATATTAGCATTAAAGAATAAGAAGGCTAAGCCTATTAAATAGGATAACTTTAATAATTTGCTTCGCTTATAGCTTAATATTCGGTATAAATTATCTTATTAGGAGAGCAACGATATTAACGAACTTGTTCCTAACTCTACGAAATAGCTTACGAAACGTAAGCGCGTGCGGGAGCTAGTTAATTTTAATATTTTAAATTATAGTAGCGAGTTGGAGGTAATATTAAGAAGCGATTTATAGTTAGTATTAGATTATATTTAAGTAACTATATTAGAATTAGAGTTAAATTTAGATTTAGATTTAGATTTAGACTCTCTACTCCCGCTTTTAGAGTTCCCGTTTTTAGAGTTCCTACTTCTAGAGCTCTCTCTAAAGCTCTTTCTAAAAGTTTCTCTAGAGCTTTCTTTAGAATTAGAACTATAATTAGAATTTTTACCCTTTATAGAGCCTTCTCTAGAGCCTTCTTTAGAGCCCTCTCTAGAGCTAGAGCTAGAACTAGTATATAATTTCGGCTCGTTTCTAGAGTAGTTAGAATAATAATAATCTTTTCTAAAATTAGTATTAGATTATATTTAAATAACTATATTAGAATTTTCGTTTCTAAAGTTAGAATTAAGTTCTATTTAAGTAATTGTACTAGAATCGAACTTTCCCATTAAATAAGCGGTTAAACATAAGAGAGGCAAAGCTTAAGTAGGTTTATTAGCCCCTAAGGTTATACAAAGTAGTTGTATAAGTAGACCTAATTAGTAATATTAAAATTTGAAAATACTATACCAAATATTACGAGATTTAATTTAGCACTATAGTTTTTCGTAGTGTAAATGAATATTATAGAATTATCCTATATGTAAAATATTATATACTATAGAAATCTCTATATAAAATTATGTTTTTAGGTATCGCTGTGATTTTTTATGTTTACGTAATACTCTGGAATTTACTATGTAAATGATATTTTACCTTAAAATAATACGCTAAGACTTGAAATAATAGTGCCCCTATAATGATTGGTGCCCCCGTAAGACGACCCTGGTGCCCCCAGATGAAATGCCATTTTTGGCATTCTCCAACATTTCCACTTACAGTCCCTTGTGTTCTTCTCATATGCTAACTTGGGCCGGGCCGAAGGAGAAGAGCCCGTGGCTGGGGACGCCGCCTGCTGCTCCCAACAAATCCGGCCAGCAGCCGACACCTCCGGATTCGCACAGCGGCAGCACTTGACCACAGTGAGAACAGGCTTCGCACTCGTGTTTTGTTGGGTTTTGGCAAGCTTGGTTAACGGGAGCGGTGCATAGAGCTGGATTTCTCGGATGTGTCGCGCAGGTAAGCCGCAGATTTGCCATGCAACAGGTATAACTGTACTAAGTTTCATGCCTTAGGGCTGGCTGTGTCTGATGGAAATCACACCGCACCAAACTTTCTAGGTCTAGGGTATTTAAACTGAGCTTCCACTGGGTTTTTTTTTTCTTTTCTTCTGATCAACCACTCAACCACTCAACCAAACGCTTCACACGGTCTACCCGTTGCTGGCACTCTCGAGGCCTACAGGTAGGTACCTTACCCAACAATGTGAGGAGAAGTTCTGCGACTGCAACGCCAACCGCGCGCTGCTCAAGCTGTACGTCGAAACCCTCCATACCTCTTGTCTTCTCTACCCAGCAAGCAGAGACCTGAATGATGTGCAATGTCAACCTATTCTATTACCTGATTGTGGAACAATATCCGCGAATGAAGTCCATTATTAGCTCTATCTGACAACTGGTCCTCCATTCACAACTTGCCCTCCCGCGTCATAGTACCTATACACAGAAACACCTTGATGAGCAATGTCTTTGCTAACCACAAGCCTATCTGCCTACCACCCAAACAGCTACCAACTCAACCCCGACCGAACGACAGGTTGGGAACATACAGACCTGTCCTCGTCAATCCTCAACGGGAACATAGAGCCCAGGACACTCGTGTGTTTCTCTCAACCCCAGACTCTACCGTCCGGAACCAAGACATCCGTTGTTCCAAAGACGATCGATTGAACATTACCAACACGCTGGCTGTTTTCTCTTCCGTGGGCAAATAGAGGTTCAAGCATCACAAGGTACGCCGTCTTCTTCTCCGTGGATTCATCACTTCTTCCCAACACGGCGATCAGCACAGAGAATTGACCCATGCATGCATCGTCCTCTAGCACCATCAGCAGTAGCAGCCAGGCAGCAGCTCGGAGGTCAAGAATGACCGCGGCATCCCCGGTGTGCCGGGTGTGCGTACCTTAAGCATTAACCTCGTCATTTGGGACGTTGTCTCACAGCATGATAACACCATCTGGCGATCAAAGTCGGCCGATCATCACCATCCCTTCTACCGTTCACCCTTCGCGGGAACATTGACTAGGTATCTACATGTAACTCCTACCACAGTTCATGGCTGTCGCCCGTTTGTCTCTAGAGCATCACCAGAGCCGAGACAACGAAAGGGTGGAATGATGGGCAAAAAAAAAAAACACTGTCTCCTCCGACTCCCTTCCTCCTTGCATCCTTGACCGGCTATCAATGTCTCATCAACGTTGAGGCGGTTTCCCGAATTGTTCGGCTCTTCTCCTCCTGCTCCTATAAATCTGTCATCAACCTTAAGGAGCCTTCCGGAATTATTCGGCAAGGAAGAACATCCCGATTACTGCCCCGCCTTTGGGCTCCTTCCACGAAGTCCCAAACTCCTGTCCCAGCGACCTGGTTTAACAATACTTCAGCTACCTATTACTAAGGTACTTAACGATCAGACCCGAGAGGGCCATGCCAAGCCACCTTTGTCAAGTGTTCAACTAGGTATTTGTAGTTCGATATGTGTCTTTTAAGAATGAGATCCCACGAGAGGGGAGGTAGATCGTGGCCAATGTTGCTCGTCGTCTGAAGCAATAGGACTACCACCTTCTGCCCCTTTCCTGGGTCAACTTCTTAGAGATACCCTACATATTGAACTCTCGAATGAGTTGACACAATGTGCTCCTGGCATGGAGGTCCAGACTCAGGTCCTACGAATATGTCTAGTACCTATCCAATACCAGACCGACTATCTCCGGACATTTCCGGAGATCGACGTGGCGGAAAAGTCAACCTCGTGGTCGGACGATGAGGTAACGAAGAAACAAGATAAATTTATCTTCCTTCGCTTCGAGACTCGTTCCCAGAGTCTGTTATCACCGCAAGGCAGATCGCGAACTGACTGAGAGTGTAAGACAGCATAACGCTAGATTCTGGAGATGACCAAGGACCCAGAAGGAGGGCGGAGGACGCGCAGGACGGGTAGCAGGAGCGCGGGGAAATTTTGGGATATGGACATCAGAGTAAGGAGTTAGTATGCGAGGAGAGAGGCGTGAGAGTTCCGTAAAAAGTAGACGATAGGGTAGTGGGCTGAGGCTGTGTAAGGCTGAGAGAAGCAAATGGAGTCACGAACGGGAGTGTGGACGTGAAAATAACCCATGAACGTCGAAGGGGAATTAGAAATAAGACCTGAATCTTCTCAGTCAGGGTTCCCCTTTGTGATTCCCTTTTCCCCCGTGAAATTGCTTTGTGATATTTGTAGTGGCTCTCCATTGCCAACGAGGCTGTAAGTCGATATCGGGCTAGCGAGCTGGGATTATCGAGTTATCGTGATAGTTGCTGCAGCAACCCCCCTGTAAATCAACAAACATGGCCATCGTTGTTAAGTCGTTAGGGCAGTTTTGGTTCGTGTCTATGTGTCAATTGTGGATGAAACCCTCAACTGGAATTTGCTGTCAAAGTAAAGTCGACCTCAGCCTCGTCCATAAAGCATTCGCGGAAGGTCCGGTTATGTGGTCACATGGCGACAATCGTCATTGTTGTTCGGCGTCTTTCTTTCCTGCTGTTTTTGGTCGGGACACGGCAGTGGGTGGAGGAACCCCCGAGATAAACGTTCTCATTGGAGACGAAGACCACGGCATCCGTAAGTATTCGGTGGAACGAAGGTGTCCAAACCTAAGGAACGGGACAAAAAAGAGACAACCGCCCGAGTTGACCTCTTGCCCGGCTGTCAATTCCGGCCTGTCACGCCGGCAGGCAGGCGCCGAACCGGCGGGTGGCCCAGCCTCCAGCACCAGGGTGCACGGCCCCGCCCGGATGTGTTCCCCAGGCGCAACAATTGGTTGATTTTGGTGATTCTGGTTGTTCTGGCGGCTGGGCCAGTGAAGAATGGAACCTTGCTAAAGTGGAGCCGGGAATTCCCCGCGTGTGCCATGGCAGCATTCAGGGCGCTGTAACACCCTGCTTACAGTGGCTTCAGGCACCATCAGCACACTTGTCACCTCATGTCCACTAACGGTCGCGATCCACATCTCGTCCACACAAGCTTGAAGAGAATCCACTTGGACCACACAGAGTCAACAAAAGATTCTACAACGGACATTGTCACTGTCACTCGAGAGACTCGGTCCATTGCAGAATTCGCGACGACAACCAGTCAATGTGAGCCCCAACCACACGAGGGTTCTCCCGCCATCACCATCCCTAGTCAAGTCTACGACCGCGTCCTTTGCCAGCCCAGCGTCAACATCGATATCCCGGACGCGTTAGTTGTCTGCCCACTGCGCGCCCTAAAGAGAGAAAGACGAAGAGCGAGGTCAACACCACAGCAAAAGACAAGCCATTGACGAGTCACCCTACATCACCAACCACCACGACCTACCGAGCAATGACGCTATAATCTTCAGATCCCTCTGCCATCACACGCGCACCCGCTGGACGACCGTGCCTGTTGTCGCCTGTCTTGTCGTCCTGGCGTCTGCTCGTCGGTGCAACAACCTATAACCACCACCATCTACCTACGACCAACCATGCCTACAACCCACGTTGAGCCCACCTCGGAAGCACTGCTTCAAGACATTGCCAATGCCCTCTACAAGGCCAGGAAGGTCGTGGTCATCACCGGCGCTGGAATCAGCACCAACTCGGGCATTCCCGTGAGTAACAGTCAACAGCTTAACAACGCGCGTTGCCTCTCCCGCTAATGGCTCTCTTACACCACAGGATTTCCGATCCGAAAATGGTCTCTACTCTTTGATCCAAGCCCAGTTCGACGCCGCCGCCGCGGAAAAGCAGAATGCTACCCAAGAATCCGAGACGTCCGATCGACCGGCGAAGCGACTTAGACTCGACCCTCAAGAGGCCAACGAGAAAGACGTGAGCGAGAATACCGAAGTTGCAACTGCTACACCCGAGGACGCACAGAACGACTCGGAGCAACCCGATACGAGCGCAGAAGACGAGGGCAAGGACAAAGACTCTACCCAAGTCACCACGCCCCCGTCCAAGATCACCGGCAACAATGGACAGCCCTCGGACCGGCCTCCCCATTTCCGGTCCTCTCCGCCGACCCTCGACTTTTCCCACCTGCGCGACGATCGAGGACCATGTTCCTCTCCGCTGTCCTCGCCCCCACCGGTCATACTCGATCCCTACCGCGACAGCTCTACTTCGCGCTCTTCCCGCAGCGGCAGCGTCTCGTCCGATTCCGACAGCGAAGATCCCTCGTCCATATCCACACCTCTCCTCGCGTCCCAATCGTCGTTCTCGTCCAAGAACACCCTACCAAACATGAAGGGCAAGGATCTCTTCGACGCTCAGATCTGGTCGTGCCCCGTCAAGACCTCCGTTTTCTACACCTTCGCGACTACTCTCCGCCAAAAGGTCCGCGCCGCTGAGCCAACAACTAGCCACCACTTTGTCAGTGTCCTCCGTGACAGCAGAAAATTGGTCCGTTGCTATACCCAAAACATTGACCAACTCGAGGAACGCGTCGGTCTAGCCACGTCCCTCGAACTCGGTGCCGGCAGCCGCTACCGCTTCTCGACGCGAAAGCCTGCGGGTGGCCGGCCCAAGGATGCAGATCAAAGCCAAGAAGAGGACCGTCCCTCGTCGAGTCAAGGACAAAAGGAGAATGAGTGCCCGCCGGCGAGTCAACCGCCGGCGAGTCAACCTCCGGCAAGTCAACCACCAGCATCCCAACACGATGCTTCGCAGGATACATCCTCCCAACCGGCCGCCCCCAACCGCGGTGTTGAGTGCGTCTTCCTCCACGGATCCCTGGCCGAGCTTCGGTGCTTCGTTTGCGCCCGGATTGCCTCGTGGGACGATGCTGATCGACAGGCGGATACCCTAGCCGGTCGGCAGCCGACTTGTCCCCATTGTGCTGGTGCGACGGCAGCCAGAGAGGAACGGGGCAAACGAGCGCTGGGAGTGGGCAAGCTTCGACCGGATATTGTGTTGTACGGCGAAGAGCACCCACATGCTCACCTGATTAGTCCTCTGGTGCAGCACGACCTTTCTCTCGGACCGGATATGCTTCTCATCCTTGGAACCAGCATGCGAGTCCATGGGCTAAAGGTGTTGGTGAAGGAGTTCGCCAAGGCTGTGCACGACAAGGGAGGCAAAGTGGTGTTTGTCAACTTCACCAAGCCTCCCGAGAGTGTTTGGTCGGATGTACTTGATTTCTGGGTACAATGGGACTGTGACGCTTGGGTGGGAGATCTCCAGAATAGGAAGCCTGCCTTGTGGCTGCCGCCCGGTACGGTTCTGCCGGAGGAAGAGAAGGTCAAGACAAGCAAGGCGGCGCGCAGGACAGCTGATAAGGGCGAGAAGGCGGCCGAAAAGGACAAGACCGAGAAACCCGAGAAGGCTGACAAGACAGACAAGCCTCCGACATCAAATAGGAGGAGGGAGAGCGACAACAAGGGGCTGAAGGCATTGGTCGAGGCAGCTAGCACTGTTCAAGACCAGTTCGCTATCGAGGCTCTGAGCGCCTTGAAGAAACACAAGGTTACTCCGGAGGAGATGCGACAGCAGCAGGAGTCAGCAGAAACAGCGGAGACAGAGATGCCGCCGCCGCCACCGCCAGTTACAAAGACAGTTACCAAGCGACCGACGAGAGCCCCGAGGGAACCCAAACTCAACCCCGATGCGAAACGGCCAGCGTCTGTACGCGATCATAAGAACAATGCGGCACACCTGGTTTGGAGGATCATGGGTAGTTTGGAGGTCATCAGGAACTTGGACAACGAAGGGGAGAAGCCGGTGCCTGTTCCTGCTGAAACGACTGCTAAGGACAAGTCGAAAACTAAGAGGAGAAAGGGCACTGCTTCGTTAACGTCTCTCGATGAGAATGATAAACCAAAAGCGACGGCTAGAAAGAAGCCCAAGCCTAACGGAGACAGCCAACCATCCGTAGAAGTATCGGCCAATGATGCTGGTCATAACGTTCCAGATCAAGACGACGGAACCCAGGTAGATGTTGAAGCCGATTCCATCACAGCAGCGGTCAAGACTCGCAAGCGAAAACGGAATGTCACATGGAAAATGATCAGGGGTGTCGAAACCCGCGTCTCTCTCGATAACAACGGGACAGAGGTCGCTCTCCCACCACCACATCACCCCCATGCTACTGCCGTCCCGGTTAACATCCCATTCAAGGCTCCTCCGCCTCAGCGTTCCAAGACTCCTCAGATTCCCCAGCCTCCCCCACCACAACAAACCCAACTCCTACCACCAGCAACGATACCCAAGAACCGAGCCCTACCGAAACCGAAACCGCAAGCTCCCCGCAACCGGACCAATAGTGGTGCCAGCATCCCGCCACATACGGCGATACATACGACCGCCATATTCACCCCCAAACCCCTCGCCAACCTCGCCGTCGAGGTCGTCGATAAATACGATGCCGGCTTCGAGGAGACTGATCGTCTCATTGCTAGGTACCACGCGCTTGCTTCGAATTCGCAGTCCTGCCCCTCCACCCGCGCTTCCAGTCCCCAGCCAACCCAACACGAGACCCCCAAGGAACACCAACTACCGCCGCTGAACATGAGGAATCTCAACAATGCTCAAACTACCGTCCCGAGCAGAGGTTCAACCATCAGCAAGGGGGCCAGGAAGAGGAGTAAGACTCTACCCGCCAATAGCTTGCTTAAGTTGCAAGTGTTGGAGCCCAAGTTCGATACACCCGGACCGTTGTCAGAGAACGTGTTGAGTCCTAATGTTGGGTCACCGCCGTTGGGATTGAACGGACCGAGAGGTAGGATGGGCTCGGTGCACCAACAGCAGGGCCACAACGACCAGGAGAATCAGCCATCGGGCCAAGAGCAACATGCACAGCAGCTCGCAGACCAACAGCAAGTTTTGTGTCAGCATCAACAACAGCAGGTTCCGCCACATGGACAGTCAACCAATCAAGCCCGCAACCCTTTCTTTTACTCCGATCCTCTCGCGTCGCAATTGAGTTTCCCTCCTAGGTGGGGGGATCAACAGCAACCTCAGTCTCAATACCAGCAAGGCGTGCCCCCAGCGGATTACCCAATTAGGTATTGGAGTACCACCGCCCTCGACATGTTCTTCCGGCCAGTCATGGAAGCGCAAAAGCCGGCATTGCAGGAACCGGAACAGAGCGTGGGCCTAGGCATCCAAGAACCCGCACTTGTGCCCACCCCCGCACCCGCACCCGAAGCCGAAGCAGAAGTAGACGACCCCTGGATCGAAGCCGCTCGCCGTGTCCGCCAACGCTTGCCCATGGGAGGCGACCTCGGCGCGGCAGCACTTGCTCAGCTTGCCGTACAAGGGGCTGCAGTGCCGCCGGCCCTACCGTTTTCGACAGTACTGCCGGCTAAGGGTGTTCCGGCAAGGTTTTATACTCCTTTCCAGGCTTGGCAGCAGCAGCGACTGGAGGAGATACGGCAGCAGGGACCGCCGGAGCAAGCGGACCAGCAGCCTGTAGGGACTGGAGCCGCGGCTGGGGCTCCGGGGTCGACGGCAGGGCCGGGGTCAGCACAAGGTGCGGGACCGGGACCGGGACGTTGGCCGCCGGGTTGGTCGGCTGAGGAACAGCTGAGGCAGGAGGCGGCTATGATGCTGAGTTCCATGAGAGGGAGCGCTTAGGGAGTGTTCATGAAGGAATGTTGGCATTTATGGATGTGATGCAAGTGATGAGGGGATAACAGTGTATGACCAGAGGCCAAACATACCACGTTGTTTCGAGAAGAGGAGGACAATCCTGGGTATGGTGGCGAGAAGAAATTATGCATCATCATACGGAGTATGAGTGAGGAGTACGGATAAACGTGTATAGATAGATATCAGTCATGAACTCCTGGATTTTATCATGGCTGGTTGGTAGCATTTAAGCACACGAGGACACATTGTCTGTCGTTCGGTCGGCGTTCAGCGGAGTTGATCATTTCTACGGGCAGATTAGATGTACAAAGCATCTGTCTAGTTCAAGTCACATACAGTAGCATTCAATCAAGGCATTACTGTCAGCATCCTAATAGTTGTGAACCCCATGCCCAAGGCCTTGAGAATCTTGACTACCTATGATGTTTACCCCTGCTTGTGGACAGTACAACCCAGCGTCAGAACTCACAACCAGCCGGCTCAACGTGTTATGTCGGTGGCTTTCCGCGTACTAGGAGGGTCTGTCAGCCAACTTTCATGGCCTCGGAAGACGGCCAGCCAGAGTGGCATGGGGGCAGACAGAGACGGGGCTTGACTGGGCCAGAAATGGTCTCCGACCCCTCAGTTTGTCCGTCCCCTGATCAGCCCTCAACGTACGTCACAAGGTCTGCCCAGGGCCCCAGAGGTATCAGAGAGAGATACATATACCACCACACTGCCGACTCCTCAGTCTCCTCTTCACCAATAGAAGCGCGGTTGGCGTAGAGGTTTAACGTACCCGCCTTCCATTCACGGTCTAGACCCTACAAGGAGGAAGCGGGGGACCCTGGCTCAAGCCCCGGACCGCGCAATGTTCTTTATTTCGTCTTTTTTTGGGTCTGGCCGTGGATGTTTGGACATCACAAATTCTCTTTTTGACCACTGGGGGTCAGGGGTGTTCACTCAACAGCGTTCTGACACTGTATCCTTTTTGTCGATATCTGGATATTTAACATTATAACACTGTGAAAGCAGTCCTTGCTGAATCGTGAACCGTGAAGGAGGGAGGGTTTGTAGTCGTTCGTTTCTACCTAGGTACGTAAGTGGTTGCCCTTTTCTTAGAGACACGTCAAGACTGGATTCCTCTAGGATACTATTACTTGGGGTCAAGGGAGAATGAAGCTTCGAGGAGGGCAGGCAATTTACGGGGAGTTGGAGTGCAAGATAGTAAGTAGTCCTCAGCTTATAGCTAGCCTGCCGAGGTTAACTTGTCATTATGGTCACTTTCCCATTTTTTCTGGTGCTCATCGACCTTGCAATCGGGGAAAGCACTCGAGTCATTAGGAGAAGCATCAATCACTCAACTCACTTTAGGAAGATGGAACTCATCCTCCAGGACTGCAACGTAGCAAGGAAGCAGGAAGCAGTCAGTAGCCGAACTAGGCTGCCGAGAGTGTCTGAGTTCATCCAAAGCAAAGGAACAGAAACTCCCCATCACCACAAATAACCCCCCAAAACAAAAATCACGAAAAAAATTATGCACGGTCCGGGATTCGAACCCGGGATCTTTCACTGTTTCCCTTAAAGGCAAGCTGTTCTACTTGCCCCCAGTCCCACCCTTCGGTGCCGTTTTCGACACTGAAGGTTGCCAACCTTTTAGGGAGCGAACGCGTTGACCACTGCGCCAACCGCACTTGTTTCTTGTTGGAGAGGGGACACAAAGACCTGATACATATACCGCCGGGGAAGGGCACGTACTATCTTGGGGGTGGCTGAGGGAGGCCGGGAGAGGAAGTGGATGGACGGCTGGAAGGTTGCGCGGCTGGTTTGCCGTGGGATGGCAGGTTCGTAACTGGTCGTGCCTTCCGTTGTTGAATGAAGGCTTGGTGGACTTGACTCCGTCACCGACATGGACCCCGACACAGCCACCAGTTGGAGGGCCGGCTTAGTTCAGTTTGACGGGCCGCTTGAAGTTTTTGGACAGCCCAGCACTGACCATCGTGGTCTGGTCTTGTTGTTCTTCCCATTCACTGTCCGCATCACCACCCCCACTGCCATATCCCCATCACCATCGCCACCTGGCATCTGTTGGCCGGCCGTGCCTTGTCGCCCGGGCATATTCACTGGCCGTCCCACCATTCACCGGCACTCCCTTCCCGCCCGGGTATTTAAGCTGCCCTCTACTGGCTTCCGCTTGGCTTCTCCTCTCCTCTTTCGTTAGACAACTATAACCAAAATCAAGCCCTTTCCGTTGGAGTCGCCTTTCCACTCAGCCTCCAACACCAGACCATCAACACTCAACACTCGCAACGACTACAGCAATAGATACGATGCCGTAAAAGTGCCTCACGCCCGGCTGTACCAGCCCTCCCTGGAAGGAAAAGGCCTACTACTGCGTCAACCATTTGCGCTAGACAGTGTAAGTATCTCCCACTTCTGCGCATTCCTCCCATCACTTCCCCCTCCATACCTAGTCCACACTCCAGACCTTTGCCGTCGCAACCGTGCAAATCGGAGGCACAGAGTTCAAGGCACGGCGTCTCGTCAACAGATCCTCCTTTCACTTCCAGCTAGGTACCTACGCGACCAAACTCTTGCTAACTCCTCTCATCCATCCCAGGTCCGCCAGAGTTCGTTACCTTATCATGTTCAACATGTTGACTCTGCAACGCCAAAGCATGCCCGCTGAGCAATGGGAGTCCACGCCCTGGAGCCCCACTGACGGGGTTGACGAAGGCAATTGGGAATCTTGGCCGCCCACCGGAATCTAGAGAGACATCCGATCCATGTCATCGACCACCTCTATTGTGCTGCACGGCTCTGAGCTCACACTGGTTCTACGAGTTCATGCAGTCCGCTTGGACAAGGTCTACGAGGAGCACATAGCATCACCACTTCGCTCGAACCAAGCGAGCGCTCAACTGGCGATGAAGGGGCAGTGAGGGGCTGCTTGGAATAGATCCCTTTTGAAGTCTTCAAGATTTGGATTGGGTTTGACGGGCGGTAGAGCTATTGTTGAGGCTACAGCATCCCGCTGGTAACTGGTCTAGCTCGGAACATCATGCGCACACTGGTAAAGGCTTGGTCCAGTTCTGTCATGGCGCCCCGGGTTTGGTTGTATCGCTGATTTCGTTGCGCGAACACTTCCCTGCGCTTCAGGAGAAGATTGTTCCAGGAAGGAAGTTGGTTGGCCTGAGTGGAAGGTTATGCAGATACAGAGCCTCGGGACTCGGGAGACACTGGTCTACATCTTGCGTTGATGGGACTTAGATAGGTAACTGAACATCTTGTGCTGGTTATATCCGATGGTACGAAGTCAAATCTGTATCTGAGCGAGGAGGGAAATGTAATCGGGATCATCTAAACGTTGAACAGCTGTAGAGAAATCTACCTCTATAACTCCCTCGACTTGAATTGTCTCCCAGGAGTCCAGGGCGGCCCTTGAACATCTCTTGCCTTCGCTTGTGCTCATAAGCTCCGTACCCCAAAGCAGGACACTCCTTTGTCATCCAGTTGACTCTGCTTCTTTAAGTGATTCATGGACCACAAACTTTCCAGTTGTGAATGCGATCACGAACTTCCACGCCCAAGGTTCGGCTGGGCTTCACTATCTCGGTGTTGTCGGTGTCCTTAGGTGCTCACTTCATCCGCATTGATGAAGTAGCGGATGGGTTTGTCTTTGTCATCGTCGTCGATGAACTGGACAGAGCCGGGTTTGGGTATTCGGAGGCGTCTCCTTCTTGTGTGAGTCTGGATGAGGCTTATGCGCCGGATTACTTCGCTTGCTAGGTACAAGTTTCATAATCGAGAGGTCGATGTTTGGTCCCGAGAAAACAAATCCGGACGAAAGGCATATGCTAGCAAATCTTCTCAAGGAGTGTACCTGTCTGAACTCTGTCCCCTCACTTCCTAGACAAAGACATAGATCCAACACATCCCAAAAACCCTTTGACGCCTTCACTTCACTCGTCCAGGCCTGGGATTTGAGACAGTACCTTGCACAGTGTTTCCATAAGGGTTAATATCAAGGTCAAAAGACCGCCCAGGGCAAATGTGTTAGGGAGAAAAGGGGCGAGTAAGAGAATATTCAAGGATAGCGAGTCTTGTAGTCTACAAGGTTCAACTGCCTGGCCGACTTGCCTTTGACCATCTACGCCTGAGATAATCTCGCCTTTCAACCACCGTTCACTCGTCATGCACAGGAACATTCGCCCTTCAGTATCTGAATATTGTAAGGAAATATCTTAACAAGTGTCCGTTTTGACACTCGATGTGCCCCACAAAAACTCTGAAAAGGGGGAGAAACCCAGAACAAGAGCTGCCATTTGCCAATCTGGCAAAACAGCGAACAGACAGCGGCGACAGCCTCAAGGCCGTAACCAAAGCAAAAGGCAAAGCAAAAACACAAAAAGAAACAGCAAAAAAGAAGAAGAAAAAAGAATTGCACAGTCCGGGATTCGAACCCGGGTTTCGTACCACATTGTTGTACTGCGGTCTTTGCCGTGCCCCAATCGAACATGCGTCCTCGGGGTAGCCAATCCTTCAGCACAGGTTCTGAAGTGCACGCGTTAAACCACTACGCCAACTGCGCTTTGTTGGAAAAGAGAACCAAAGACCTAATACATATACCACGAGGGAGGGGGGGACAGGCACTGGGGGGCACGTACCTCTCCCTGAGGTGGTGTGGGAGACTCTGAGGACGGGGCTCGGTTGTTGCCTGCTCCTGCTCCTTCCGTGAGAGTTTCCAAACTGCCTTCCGCGAGCGGTTGGCTGCTGGGGAAGGCTGGATTTGGTAGGTAGGTCATTAGCCACCCCGCGAGCAAACCCGTATAGGGCCAAGTCTTGAAGCGAGTTGGTTGCTCTAACACCCCGCGTCCTGATCGTCTCTTGGTGTTCTCTTCTTTTTCTGTTCCGTTGCCTCCATCTCCCACCATAACCATCACCATCACCCTCGCCCTCACCCAAAACCAACACAATAGCAGCAAGAGAAGCAACAACAGCGCTCGACAGGAACCATACATGCACCTGTTCATGTATGTGCTATGTTTTTCGTTTTGCAAACAAGTCATATATGGACGCCCGTTGTCACGATTTCTTCATCTCCTGCCATCTTCCCTCGCGTCTCGAAGTGCTTCGCGGTTCAATGGGCAGTGCAACTGACCCCCTGACTCCAGTTACCGCTACCAAGGGCAGCACACTCGTCGCTTTCCCTCTCGCCGCCAAGGACAGTTCTGGTGATTTGAGTCACGGAGAGGAGCGCAAGAGGTGCTTCGGCCTCGCAGAAGCCAGCCAGAAAGGCCAAGAAGCCATCCCCCGACACACCTCCCAGCTTGTTCCAGCCGGCCCATCACCATACTAAGGTACTCCCTGTAATTGACTAGAGATACGTTTAATTTCAGTTCATCTTGTCCTTACGCTTGGCTGCTAGCGATGGTTCTCCTGTCGCCCCTGTGCCAATGGAAGAGACTGACGCTTTCTGTTTCAAGACAACGACAAGGCCTCAGCTGCCTCGTGAGAAGCTTCCTTTTTCAGGCTAGAACAACGTACACGGCCCTCCAAGTCGTCAACGAAGTTGGCGGCGATCCATTGCGCGTCTACGGCCTCTCGACCTCGATCGGCCCTTTGGCCCCTTTTGCCTCTGCTCGCTACAGGAACCTGGAAGAGACAAGGCGGACACTAGCTTCGAATAGACGGACGGATCCCGCAAGAGGGCAGCTCAGTACCTGACGACGTCTAGCTTGTAAGCAAGAAGAAAAGCAGCCATGGGACAAGAGGAAGAGGAGAAGCACGAAGAGCGCTTGCGACATGGAACGGCGATGGTCAAGGTCTTCTCTTCCGACCTGCGCAGACGACATACAATCACGCATCTGATTGCAAAGATTGTTATAGGATGGTCTCGCTAAGCCAGAGGGATCAATGTCTTTGACGTTCGCGGTCGCCTCGCCTTCGGGTAGTTGCGAGAGAAGCTGTTGCGTAGAACGGTTGAAACGAAGCCGGTTAACACTCGGCAATGTTTCGTACGGAGGACACAAGTCGATGTAATAGATAAGGAAGTAGTGCAATGACATGATCAAGGGGAACAAGTGAAAAGATAAGAGGAGCGAAGAATCCTAGACGTAGGATGTCACCGATGTTCAGTACTGGATGCATGTCTCGATGCACGCGGCTTGCCGGGCTGCAAGGAAGACTGTCTGCTTCAACGGACGCATGATGCATGCCGACGGTTGTACATGGAACATGACACTGTAGCTACATGAAACCTCGTGAACGAGTCCTAAAATACTTGCCTGGATGAAGGACAAGATGTGATGTTCTACTCCACGATTTCTACTTCTAGGTATCCCCTGTCTCCGTCTTTCCTAACGATGACAGACATCTGTGAACTCCGAGACCTTTGTCCTTTACCTATCCTCCTTCCTTTTCCCAGACATCTTAACAAGCAGCGCCTGACTCTTAATCTCTGGAACCGTCATCCTCAACCTCGGCCCCATGCGATCGAATATGGACAAGTGTCACAACATGATACTGCAGGTGTAGGTAGGTACGTACCTTCAGGGACTCCAACCGACAAACGGGCACACCGCCGCACACTTGACGAGAGAAACATGCCTTGCTACGAGAACCTCAAACTTTGGAGATAGGAAAGGAAATGATCCATCAACAGAATGTTGTAGCCTTCACCCCTTCAGAGGTAGAAACCATGGAATATTCCAAACTTCCACCTTCTTCCCAACAACAACCACACACAACCAAGAAGCGCAAAAGAACCACGCTAACCACCAGCCCAACAAGACATAAAACAACATAAAAGGACAAAAAAAAAGATATGTGTGCGGTCCGGGATTCGAACCCGGGATCTTTCACTGTTCCCTGGCTTGGTCCCCCAGACTCGGTCTCACTTTGTAAGCTGTGCTAGTGTGTCTGCTAGCACTACAGGTAAGATTCGGTGCCGTTTTCGACACTGAAAGGGTTGCCTAAGCCCTTTTGGGAGCGAACGCGCTGACCACTGCGCCAACCGCACAACTTTTTTGTTTGTTGGATTTGGGTGGCGGGGAAGTGGACTATATTGCTCGGGCGGCGAGGATGGGTGGAGGGATGGAAGGTGTCGGGACCGAAGGAGGGAAGGAGCGGTATGAGGGGGATGGGATGGAGGGGTATGAGGGAAAGAGGGGTTAGATGGAAGGAGGGAAGGAGGGCAAGAGGGGGAGGGGTTCGAGGGGAGGTACGTACACTCGCTGGTCACCTGGTGGTAGTTGCCTGGTTGTGAGTGTTCGTTGAGGCTCAGTCTCCCCGTTCTGTTGAGCCGCCCCGGCCTGTGGTTGGCTATGAGTGTCCAGTATCTCGGTAGGCCGCAGGTATCTGAAGGTCACGGGTGCCCTTGAGCCACACGATTGGCAAAAGTCAAACCTGGTGCTGAGGGTCTAACCCTTGCTCGTGACCACCCTCCCGTTTCAGACACAAGAGGTGATTCCTTATTGAATCTACCCCGCTCACATTTTCAGGGCACCTTCATCGGTCACGAGACTCGAGGTTAGTGTGACGAACCGTTACAAGCACAGGAGTATATCGCTGGGATAGGTAGAACAACGGTAGTAGTAGCCGAAAGGTACTGATTGATTGTAGAAGCTATTGCTTGCTGAAGAGCCGGTATTCAAGAGGCCTGGGGAGGCCGTCTTATATACTGGCCTTCATGGACCCGTCAATCCGGACCCGTGGACCCGGCCTAAGGACCCGGGCCTTCGGGTCCTTCCTTCGGGTCCTACCTGATTGGTCCCGTTGGTTCTATCTGATCTAGCTTACATAAGGGATCCTTGATTGGATCGTAACAGTTAGTAGAATTTCTGCCACTCACTCCTGGTACTCATCCCTTCTCCTCCCTCTCCTCCTCATCTTCCCTTTCCCTTTCATCTTTCTTCTCCCTCTCATCTCCATCACCGATCTCACAAAGGTTAGTACCTACCTACCACCTCTCCCCAAACTCCAACAACGAGAACAACGCGCCACCACGTGCATCCACTCACCAAAATCACACACATCCCCATTACCCTGCGTTCCCTGAACTCGGTATACCCTCAAGACTCCATCTCAGAACATGCTCATTGCTGACTTTCATCCCTCCAAAGTTCGGCCCGCTTGGTCACCGCGTCTCCTCGTGAGCAGCATGATCTGGGCGCCGATGTCCCGGGGATATTGCTTCCGCTCGCGCGGGCGCGGCTGACGAAGAAGAAGACTCACTACATCCGCTCCATTGCCCCCATCTACGGCATCCCCGTCGTTCGTAAGTACGCTAACTTGTCACCGCCGCTTTAACACGCATTCAGAATACTAACATGGCCTTAGTTCATACCGTCCATGGCGCCAAGAAGCTCCTCCCTTGGCTCGACGGCATGCTGAGGGAGGGGCTTCGACTTCGTCAGCTACGCCAACGATGCTGATGCCGAAACGCCATTGGCGCCATGGACGGCACCACCAACAGCTACGGCCACCCCGCCGCTTCTGCGGCGAAATTGGACACACTGGCAACAGTGGCGACCAACAGCCAGCCTCTGCCCCTGGTCTGTAAAGCGAGCGCCGGCATGGAAGGATTAAGTCGCTGGTATCATCGGCAATCCTCACTATCTCATCCATAGTGCATCCAGTTGCCATCTTGGACTTGGAAATGCTCCGCACGTACAGGAAGAAAGAAAAGCGTTTTCTCTGCCGCAGCTGGACCAGGAGAACAACAGGCCCTTGCAAGACAGGACGAACGGCTGTGACGCTGATGCCGAGAACGCCATTGCCAACATGGACGGCCAGGAGTAAGTTCACACATCTGGAAGACTAAAGCTGAGCGGATGCTGACACTCCGAACTGTAGGGATGAGAAATTCTTCAAGGCCAACGGCGTCCCAAGTCCCTCTTTGGCAACAGGACGGACGAACTTGACAAGCCAACGATCCCGTTGCTCTTGTCCAGCCAGCTTAAGGAATGGTTTCTCCTGTTTCCCGCCTACTCGACTTACCACATCGACCATGAGGACCTTTCCGACAACCCGGGCCCCGTGCTGTCATGGCCAGGCAACATCACGAGAGTAACACTTTGCGAGATCGATATTCGTCCATATCCGTTTCTCCTTCGTGCCATAGCTCCAAACTGAACATCCAAGCCATGGCTTACAACTACGGACCGCCAACAACACAAGACGGAGTGACCACTCAGCCGAAGCACGAGGCGCCTCGTACCGAATCGAACTACGACCATCTACATGAGGTTAACCGAACTCCACTACATCTGGGCGAGTTCCTCAACTCAAAGTTTCGCCGGCCATCTAACGGCACCAGATCCAGTTCACCACGAACGACGAGCCCGCTGCCTGGTTTCGCTCTCCTCGTTGTCCTCCTTCTTTGCGGAGAGCTTCTTGACCTCTGAAAACATATTCTTGCCCCGCCGAGCGCAGGGCCAACTTCCTCTCGAAGGCCAAGATCGAAGCCAAGAAAGCTGCTGTCAAGGCACAGACTGCTGAGGCACAGGCTGCAGATGAACTGGCGTTCGACCCTTTCACCGAAATACGGGACACGTTGCGTTTGGTTGGTTGCCAACGGAAAACCGGCAACAGATCCATTCACTTCTTCGCCGAGAGGAGCCAAATATCACATCGCTCTCCCTCCATCACATCGTCAACCTCATCTTCTGATGGCCCAGTAGCCATCAAGCAAGAGCCTGAGCCACCTTGCTGGTGTCGGTCGCTGCAATCAATGAAAAGCAGCCAAGTTGAATCTTGCCAACCCTGACTGAGTGAAGGATACTAAAATCCTGACCATCGACCCCCGAGGGCCAACTCGTGGTACATCTCCAGGACATCGGTCATCTTTGGCCCATGCCACCACTCAAACTCCTTCCACCCACCGTTAACTTGTCCCGCAACCATCTCGTCCGTCCACTTGGGCGAGCGAACCTTTCCGGTCACCCAGTCCTTGATCTAAACGCAGGGGCGCTCCGGGGCCGCCTTCTCCCGAGAGGAACGAATGTGGTGCTCGTAGCATTCGATCATGATCTGTCTGTCGATGAGCGCCTGCTCGTCAACCGGGGCTTGATGGGAAAGGCCAAGATTGAAGCCAAGAAAGATGCTGCCAAGGCACAGCCTGCGGAGGCAAAGGCTGCAGATGAGAAGGCCTCTCTGCTTATGAGGCATGAGCAAAAGGCGGAGAAGCTCCGCAAACAGCTTGAAAAGGTCGAGTCGAGCATCAAGAGAAGGGAAAACCTGCCCGCGCCCTACGATTTCCTACACGTCCCCTACAGAGTTTCGCAAGAGAAAGCGCGAGCAGCAAGACGAAGGCGACGAGGTGCGCCAGTCGGAGCCCTCATCGCCCTCAGCTGTCCAGGGCAAGAAGAAGTCTACCACCCGTGGCACCACCAAGGCCTTCGTCAAGAAGGCGAGGAAGATCAAGTTTGCTTGGCCCAAGAAGAAGGTCCCTGTCGGCGATGACAAGAAGCCCGGATGATGCTCGCAACGCCATCCAGCGGGTCCGTTGTCGAGGACATTCAGGAGAAGATGGAGGTGGATATGGGAACGGGGAAATCTGCGAGAAGCTCGGTGGCGAGGACAAGAGGCCTGTCTTCTTCGTCTTCCACGGTGGTTACGGCTCCTCCAAGGAGGAAGTCCGCTCGCCGTCTTCCGGGGATAACTTGGCCACCGGCTGAGTTTCCGGTTAGCTTATTCCAACACAGCTTGAAAACTGAAATCGCATAAGAATGAATTGGAGCAGAAAGCAGACTTACAATGGCCACCATAAAAACCTGAGCGGTTTCGGAAACACGGGCGTCCGACCTAACGACAAATAGGTCGCGCCCGGGCGTTCCCGGACACTGTTCGATTCCAAGCGAGAGAGCCAGGATGATGAAACTATTGCTCTTCAAGTGATCAGCATCCTACCCGGCTGGGCGCCCGGTTTACTGGGATACTTCGACTGTCTCGTGTTCCGCTTCCCCGGGAGATCTCTTTCCTCGACGACAACTCTTTCGCCATAAAAGCCCGTAGGGAGCCACGCGATAACAACACTCCATGAACTGGAACTTGGTTTCCTTTGCAGGTTACCGCGGGAAGGTGCCTAAGCCACTGGCCAGAGCAGCCCTCCCGCATTTTCCACGCTCTCGCTTTTCCCGGGCAGTTCATGAGCAGACCCAACAGCTAGCTCACTCGTCCGCCACCTGGCCATAATGCTTATTCAAATACCCCCATCCGTTACTTCGGATCTACGGCAGGCAGGCTCGGCAGACTCTTCAGCGTGTTGGCAGCTCCGGCAACGCCACACCCGACGACGGCAGCAGTAGCATTGGCCCCGTCCGCCCCCGCGCAGGCATCAGGACCCGCGAGCTAGTCTCCTCGCCTTCGGGTTTCTTGGAAGTGGTCCCGGAAGAGCCTCTCGATTTCAGCATTGAGCGCCTGGGGTAGGAGTTGCCGCTTCAACAACTATGGCAGTAAGTCCCTTTCCCTGGTTCACAACTCCTCTACTTGTCCCGCAGCCGCTAACACAGAATAGACTCCTACCCAGGCGAGCAAGGTAACTACCGCCACCAGAAGAAGACCTCATCAGACCAGTCTTCTGGTGGCGGTACGACATCGAACGCACAGCCTCAGGCTGCAGGTCATGCATCGCTGCCGCAGAACCCTTTGAGGGACAACGGCCCTCAGGCTCAGTCACCTGCCGGCTACGGCTCCCAGATGGGTTACAATCTGGAGTCTGACCCGAGCCCCAAAGAAGCTCGAGTCGCCGTCTCGGGCGAAGGACGAAATAGCCGCCTGACGCTAGGGGTCTGGGACACCGCCGTCACCTTCCGCGTCGGCTTGCTGGCTTCTCTGCGCAGCCGCAAGCTCAACTCCCAGACCATCGGTCGGGTGTTGTGGTTACCGCCAGCCACAACCCTGCTGTCGACAGTGGTGCCAAGGTCGTTGAGAGACCTCAGGGGCGAGATGCTCGAGGAGGAGGGCAGGAGAGTAAGGGGGAGGAAGAATGGTTGAGAGTGAAGGAATGCGGAATTGTGGAATAAGAGTGTTGTCTTGGGGTTCGCTCGATGCGCATGTGGATCAGTCTTGTATATATCGAGCGCTAGTCTTTCTTCTTCTTCTTCTTCTTCAATCAACAAGTTCAATACCACCCCCTTTACCATACTTCCGTGCCTCGTGTGTTCATGCTTACTCCGTTCACTTTGATAACATCTCCCATGTCCATGCGTCGTCCCCATCGTACCCTAGAGGTACCCATCTAACCTCGAAGAAGAAAAAGAAGAACGAGAAGAATGAGAAGGAAAGAGAGCTAGCCTTCGGTGCCCTCACTCTCTAGTAAAAAAGATCATGGACCTCGTCCTCAGCCAGCGCAGCAGCAGTTGATGGACTCAACATTCCTGCCTAGAGGTACTTTCTCCGGTCCGGCCACCGCGCCTCCAAGGAGAACGGAGCTCATCTCTCGCCCGCCCGGCACCCGCCCGGCCTGCCTGCCTGCCATGGACCTCGGACCGTCGGATGCCTTCCACTTGTGAGTTGCGACGGAGCAAGCGCCGCCACCGCTACGGACAAGACCATTACGTCCGGACTTGGAGAGGTTATTCCGCAAATTGGTGGGTACTTGGATTGTATATGTCAATCTGACAGAAATGACGGTGATGGGGACCTAGTCAAGCATTAATGCGGTACCTACCTCTACCTAGGTATCTTTGGAACTCACTTGAACTATCCGAGTTCGGCCAGTTAGGAAGACTCATCGGACGCCCATAAGGTAATGTTGGAGACTTGCAGACCTCGAGTAGGGTGAGCTGGTTAGCGGTTTAGCGGGTTGGGGAAGAGCTAGCGATTGATAATTCACCGTCATAGGACGACGGCGACGACTACGACGATGCCTGCCCTCCTCGGCTAATAACTGGTGCTGGGGGACGACAGCGGCAGAGATAGAGGTGGTGAAGAGGAAGAATGCGGAACGAACTCCTCGGCGGTATGAGAGAGCGATTGAAGCCCTCGCGGCACCACTACCAGGCACAAACTCGGGAGGGTCGGGAGCCAGGGACCCCAGGGACTGCTGCAGAAACGGTATGGCTGTTTCGGAGGGAAAGGAGGTGATGGGGGCTTACTACTTGAACCCTCGGCAGGGGCTAGAGGGACAGGTATAGGATACACTAAACAAGCTACCTCGCACATACCACAGAGGTAGCGGAGCGGTGACCAAGATGTCAAAAGTAATCATACAGTTATATCTACATTGTCCTCATTCTTCGATTATATGTCCATGCCCAGCAGATCATGAACCATCACCATAACCCTCGGTGACTACCTAACCTTCACAGTCGTAAGGTCTTCCGTATCTCTCCAGTCCCCTCCTACACCGTCATCCATCCATCCAAACTACTCCCACATACATTGTAACCATATAACAATGCCACTGAGACGCCTCGTAACGCCTCTACTGCTGTCATAAACGCCTTCGTCCATTATAGAGGGTCGAAAATCGGAAAGAGAAGGGGTATTGTACAGAAGCCATTGTCTATCAGCAAGAAAAGCAAAAGAGCCGACGTGGAAGAACATTTATAAGCTGACACCCTGATATCACGGATGGTCACTTAGAGTTTGCCAGTAGTAACAAGGGGAGAAACAACCTACCAGATCATCGAATAGGCACTACCACAGATCATCTTGGGGATCATACCGAGGACCCACCGTCTCACTCATCGCGCACCACTCCTTCGCGCTCTTTTTGGGCTTGCCAAGGACATCCTCATCCTCCTCCTCTTTGCCGCGCAGTAGAACCGAGCGATCGTAGAGCCGCTCGCCCGTCGACGTGTGCGGTCGCTGCGGATCAAACCAATTCGGTTTACAGTGCCGGTATCCATACTCGTTGTCAAAAAGTATGTGCGCGCCGAATTTTTCGTCCGTCACTAAATGACCATCGATATCCAGGTCCATGAGGTAGTCCAACGCGCTCTCTCGGTAGCTCTGGGAGTTGCGGTTACGGTAGTAGTTGAACATCCATTTAAGATCTTCCTTCCGCATTTGTTCGGGGTTCACGGCCCAGCAGCCGCGACGGACGAGGACGTCGCAGCAGAGAAGCTTGTTCTCCATGAAAGCGATCATGAGCGGGGTAAGGGACCGGGATGCAGGTCCCTGGGACCCTCGGACCTGCATGAGAGCCGGGGCGCCGGGGATGTTGAGGACTAGGCGGAGGACGTCGCACTGGAGTTCGGGAGAGAGCCGCTCTTTGGGGCATTTGCAGACGACGTGCAGGAGGGTGTTGCCTTGGTTGTCTGTGTGGTCGATTTTGGCGCCGTTGTTCAGTAGCTCACGGAGGACGCGGCTGAGGGTGCCGATGTTAACCCATGATGATGAGCGCATGGGCATTTGAGGGCCATCGATGGCCTGCATGAGGACGTTGCGGCCGAGGGAGTTGGTAGCGTGGATGTCGGCGCCTGCCTTGATTAGAGCCTTGACGGCGGGCAGATTGAGGTTTTGGACTGCTGCGATTAGTGGGGTGTCGCCAGGGCAATCTCTGGCTTCCAAGGCTGCTCCGCGGGCCACTAGCTTTTCGATCGTTGCCACTCGAGCTGAGCCATGCTGTACTGCTCTTGCATATTCTTCTTGCGGTGTTATTGCCCGTGCTGCTGGCAGCAGAAGGGATTCTGACAGCATAGGGAAGCGGGTACCTTTGGCCAGAGGCATGGCGCACATGTGAAGGGGGGTTAGGCCTTTGCCGACATTAGTTGATATATATCCACGGTTGACGTCGGCGCCGAGGTCGATCAGTCTGTCTGCTTCTTCATAGTATCCGACACGACACGCTTCACCCAGTGGCGTGATGGTTGAGTACGGCAGGAAGATGTCAACATCTATGTTGATGTTGGCGCCGAGCTTGAGCAGCAGCGGCACGGTAGAATCCCAGCGGCGATACGCATATGCGTAGTAGAAGGGAGTAAGGGTCTTGTTGTCGCGCACATCGATTTCCGACTGTAGTCCAGCGCCCACCAGATATTGAACGACATGAACAAGGCCCTTACCGGCAGCATGGTGAAGGGCGGTAGCAGGGTTCTCGCGGTAGCCCGAATTCTCCCACGGGGGATGAAGCTCCATTTGGATCGGTGCTCCACTGGCTAGAAGTTTAACAGCAGCCTCCTCCCTGGAATAGCAGATTGCGACATGGAGCGGCGTCCACCCTGCATAGTCAAAGCCTGAAGCCGGGCTTTCCATAGAGCTCAAGATTCCATATTCCCGCCAGCAAGGGCAGAACTGTTTGGCCACTACGTCCATCCGAGCACCACGTTCGAGCAGAGTGCTGATTGCTTTGACGTGGCCAGCTCTGGCGGCGAGATGGAGGGCAGTGTACCTGCGGCCGTACTTGGTTTGGACCCATCTTCCCGAACTCTCAGAATCGTAGCGCCGGTCGTCATCGCCGAGTGTAGGCGAATAGTAGTCGAGTTCGTGTTCGGTATAGTCTTCGCCGTCGTCCGAGTAATCCGACATGGATTCGTCGTCATCTTCTGTGCTTCGTACACCGTGAGAGCTGCCGTTGCTACCGGCTAGCAAAGTGCTGCCGGGATCGCAGGCACTTGCGACATCCCAGCCCGGGTGAAGCTGGCTTTCTCCAGTAAGGGCCTTGTCCCACTCTTTGGAAGACATGCACTGTTGGAATTCATAGTTGGGGTCTGCGCCGGAGTCGAGAGCTTTTATCAAGGTTCCGACCACTCCGTTGTGTGCTGCCCACTCGAGGGGATAGGGAAAGTCTCGCGATACTACGCGCTTGTAGAGGATAGGGTTCGCAACGTCGTATAACTTTTGGTTGGCTCTGGCAAGGGCAGCCAGGTCGCTCAAGCGGTCGAGGTTATCGATGACGAAAACAACGAGCTCTGTCGGAAGTGCCGATATGGAAGGCATGGTCGAGGGCGCCGGGCAGAGAAGGACGTCGGGACAAAGAACTGGCGATATGTACTACGTAGATGACGGAGTACGAGCGGGACTCTACAGTTCAATTTCGGCGCGTTCGGATTCGAAGTTGCGCACAAGGTTGGTTGGTATCACGGCGCCGTCAACGGTTTGTCATACAACGGTCGACGGTAATGACAGCTCGGTTGCACGAAAAAGAGGGTAGAGAAAGAAAAAAAAAAAAAAAAAGTGATGTAGAGGATCGGGGGAAACTCCGCGGGCCTAGGCGACGCGATCGGATTCCCGTACCCGTCGAAGGATTCGTAGTTCGCGGAAAGATGCTGTCGTGGATTCGCAATAGTGAGCGGATAGTGAGCGGCTAGCACTGATAACGGTTAGTTAGAGGCACTAACGGGGCCAAACTTCAAAGAGTGGGGGGAACGGTTATGCAGAATCCAGCCATTTACCCCTGGCTGGACCTTTAACACGTTGAATAAGGTAAGGACAAGAGGGGAGGGCAGCGTTACGTTATGAGACCACCAATGAGCGAGGTCAGACCAGTGCTGACGGGAGTTGTGGTGGTGGTGTTTTTGGTCGTTCCGTTTGCTGACGAGAGAGGGGAGGGTCGTGAGAAGTGTACGGAGGACATGGAAGAAGCGCGATGGCGGGAAAGGGAAAGGTGCGCGCTGGGTCAAAGCTCCAGTCCAGTGAGCATCAGCCGGCTAAAAAGATGGCGGCGGCAGGCAGTTTGATAACGCATCTAACAGCATCAATTATCCCCCCAGATTGGCCATCAAACCTTTAACAACGTCCGCATCTTCCTCTCTCGAAATCGCATCTCGGAATTGATGGAGATGAAGCCATCATGCAAAGCCGTTGAAACCTTACTGCTTTGAGAAGCAGGAGATGCTGGCCCCGACCGAATGTGGATTTTCACTGGCTTGTCAGTTGCCAATTCGGTCATAATCAGGTGCTGCTGCGTTAGGTTGCATTCTGCCGAGCCCCGGTTAGCCGCGGATGTGTCGCGGATGTGCCCCGGATGTGCCCCTGATTACATATGACGAGAGGAGAAGGAAACGACGACAGATTGTTGAAGGCAGAGAAGAGCAGCAGCTGATTGAGAAGCGGCGGAAGATTTAGATGGATTGACTTTGATATACTGTAGTACTCACGAGGAAGAAGGAAATGGGGGAGTTGGAGAAGAAACGAAAAGCATGACGAAATCTCTGCACATTGCACTTCCCCCGACCTAACTGCTGAGATTCACATTGCTCCCTTGTTCCTTCCGAACCAGAAAATATCACGACAATGGCTTTTTAAGGTAGATTCTCTCGTGAGTGTATCATGGCCTGGAATGTACCCAACTTTCACTTATTAAACTATCGTCCTTTTATCTATCTTCCCAACACCCAAACCTCGGCAGGGCCTCATCCCGTCCTGATTGCAGACCAAAGGAACAAACGAGCCAGAGGGGCAGGTGGTATCAAGAGGTTCATCATGTCTACATCTGATTACAAACAATGTGATTGATGCCGGTGTGTGTCCCAGCACCTACCTATCCAGACCAAAAAAAAAAAAAAAAACAGCAGCCCAGGGGCAGAACGCCAAAAAAAAAAAGCAAAGTACCCAAAAGCCCGGCGGATGGATCCCTCATCACATAAAACCATTACCAACAACAAAAGCACTCCCCGTAACCCTAACAAACTCATCCTCAACATGCAACCAGACCTTCCTCACCATATCCTGCTCCTCCCTCATCACCCTCAGCGCCTCCTCCGTCTTGACGCTTAATCCCTCCCCATCGTTACTAACCGAGTAGACTCCGCTCCCTTCCCTGCCATCTGTTCCCCTTGCCACTTTCAGGGTCATGGTGGCCATAGACGAGGAACTCGTCCGCGAGTGCGAGGAGTGCACGGAGCCGGATGATGGTCTGCTGTTGCTGTTGTTGTTGTTGCTGTTGTTATTGCCGTTGTTGTTGTTGTTCGCTGCAGCTCCCAGGCCTAATAGCCCAAGCCCGACACCAGAAGTCTCCTGCCCCTCAACATCCCTCCCCTCCCTCGCCGGAAACCTCGCACTAGTAGCCATAAACAACTGCCTCTCGCCCGCCTCCGCCACGGGGATCGTCACCAGCGGTCCAATCACTTTAAACACCCCCCTCAGCACCGTGATGGCCGTTTTGTTGGTATCCTGCCCCAGCTTCGTCCTTACCAAGCCGGGGTGGGTATGGACGAACGAAATGTCGGGTGCTTCGAGGGCGAGGGATTCCAGCGCGAGCGTCATCATGGCGGACGAGTGTGCACGTGCCGGGTACATGGCGAGACGGCGCCATTGGAAGTCGCCCGTGTCGATGGACCCTTCTTTGGTGCCGTTGAAGACGGAGACGACGCGCCGGAGGGAGGACGCTTTTTGGAGTTCCGGGAGCAGGTTGACGATGAAGCGGATGCGGGCGTAGAAGAGTACGGCGGAGGGGTAGTGGAGGGATTCTTTGGTGTCTGTCGGGGGGTGTTAGTTGTGTTTGTTTGGGGGTAGGAGGGGGGTGGAGGAGGGGGAGGAGGATGAGATATGTGATGAGGAGAAGTGAACGCCAGCAGCAATGACCAAAAAGGTCAGCGCAGCGTCCGTCGTCCCGCCTCCCTCACCTCTCTCCACCCCTTTTGAGGAGAAGTTCTCAAGTTCAAACATACCTTTCCCCATAATCGTGGTCCCAGTACTCAAAAACAGCAAATTCACCACTCTCTCCTTGCACTTAATCTCCCTACAAACATCATCCACATTTGCCAACAGACTCACATCCGCGCTTCTGTAATGATACTCCCCCTCCGGGTTAATAGTCGCCAGTTCCGCGCCCACCCGTTCTCCATCCTTCCTATCTCTCCCCACAATGTACACCCTCGGCGCCACCGCGTACCGTGCAAACTGCTTCAGCGTCGCTTCACCGATACCCCTCGTACCGCCCACGAACACGGCCACCAGCCCAGAGGGCAAGGAAGACACAATGTGCGCGTTGGAAGTCTGGATCTGCTCGAGGGTGGCCATGCTTGGTTGCCGCTTGTGGCTGCCGCCGCTGCGGTTGGAGGAGGTGCAGGTGGTGGTGTTGGTGCCTTGAGCCTGAGCGGCGGTGCCGGGACCGTGGCGGCCGATGCCGATGCCGTTGGGGGAGAGGCCCCGGGGGTTGCTGTTGTAGTTCTGGTTGTGGCCGGTGGACGGGGAGTAGACGGAGGAGGAGGCCTGGTTGTTGGAGCTGGAGCTGGAGCTACTGCCGCCGACAATGTAAGGGCTGTTAGTGCTGGTGCTGGAGCGGCCGGTGGATGCGGAGCGGGAGGAGGTGTGGCTTCTGGTGCGGGTGGTGACGAAGATGCCCGGGTTGGAGGATGACCCGGAGTTACTGGATGAGTTGTTGGAGTAATTGCTGCTGCTGGTGCCCGAGGTGTTGGTGTTGGTGGAGGTTAAGGGCCCGAAGTAGTCACGGTCACCGTAACGGTCACGGTCACGATCACCCCGCGGGGTGGACGTGTTGGACGAAGAAGTGGCGCCGGCGTTGGCGGAGGCGGAGTTGTGCGAGGCATACGCATCCACACCCAAGTTCGTTTCCGCGGCGGTGAATTGAAGATCCCCTAGTAGCAGCGCGGGCCAATTCCCATCTCTCGATCCAAAAGCACTAATGTTGCCGCCAGTCGTGATGGGATAGTCGCACAAGGTGCTGCCACTGATGCTGGGCGCGATGCTAGGTGCGATGCTGGGGGCGACGCTCCGGGATGATGACGGCCGTGGAGGCGCGGAGAGTGGAGTAGTGGTGATGGACGACATGTTATGTGTTGTCGTTTTCTGATGTGACCGTCGGTCTGTCTGAGTTGGTTGTTTCTGAGAACTCGGAGAGGAAAGGAGTGGACTAATAAGATACTCCGATGGGGATGGATGAGTTGGCTATGTACCTCTTTGCTGTCCGGCATGCAGTAGTAGCTCGGAGTTGGTAGAACAAGCAGTTAGGATGTGTTTCAGTTCCCGACCAACAAGCAAGGTTGTGTAGCAGCAAAGAGAGAAGGATAATGGACAAACATTGGTCTACACATATCTTGTCAAAGCTGTCAGCGGGAAAGAGATCGACAGGGCTGCATCCAGCATCCAGAGCCGACCGTTGCTATTTCCCTGTATGCGCGCCTAGGCAGTGGGGTCCCAACCTCGAGGTATGGATATGGATGGATATGGGTATGGATATCATCTGACAAGACTGTTGCCTGGAGTGTTGACGTAGTGTATGTGATATGAAAGGAAAAGTAAAGCACTGAAACAGACCAGAGAAACAGTGTACGATACGAGACGCAAAGGGAATCATACGGCCCAATGTCCGCTCAAGGTCAAACTAACGCCCCGGATTTCCACTTGGGATCGACGACACTAACGCCGGCTGTTGCGTCCATTTTGAGAGCAAAGAGTCAGGTTGGTGTATCCGAATGATACTATCTTGGTGCCAGGTGATAATGGGGGTACATAATGGTAATCTCTTTGTCTGATTACATTATGCTGATAATACAGTTGATGGCTACGAACGAAGTAGAGGTAGGTGAACTGTATAGGGGAAACGTTATTTTTTGCGTTTCTTTTGCATGTGTCAAACACCAAAGCAAGATGATGAGCTGCATCCTCTTTTCTTTCTGACAGCTGAAATAGGTCATAACTGTCAAGCAAAAAGCAAAGAAGAGTGTTGCTCCCCCTGTCCATGGTTTGTCTCGGATGGGACCGACTCGATTTGGGGTGTTCATCCGTTGTTCGTTGTCCAATGTCCGTTGTGATGATTGTCCTTGATTGTCCTGACTTTTAATGTGACTTGGGGACGGGCCGAGTCCGAGTCACAGGAACCAAGATGAGATGAACTGATGGAGACCGGACCTCAAAAACAGCGTCATTACACTAAAGCTCGCTAGGTGGGCTAGGTTCGGCAGACGCTTGAGTGCCTGACCTGAGCTAGCTAGCGGTACCGGAAAGAAAATAAGACAAAACGGAAGTGAGGTGATGCTCTTATTTGGTCCATGTCTCATCTTTTCAAGAACCGCCATTTGCACAAGCGAGAGCGAGGATCAAATGTCGAACATAGTTTAAAAATGGCTTACCGTGGGTCCCCCAAGTAGGAGGCAGTGTATATAAGGGGGGAGCGGTAGCCGATGTTTGGATATCAAGTTTGGCGAGTCGGTTGTTGGTTCTTCGCTCTTTTTGTCTTGTATTTTTCTGTGATTGTCTTGGTGTTCTTTTCTTGTTGTTTCTTGGGAAACGAATGAACACTGCCAGTGGAAAGGAGAGATCTCCACCATGTGCTGGGAAGTTGCACTCGGGTCCGACTTCCGGCCAGCGACAGCGGCACATGACAAACTGTTGGGAAGACGAAGACCACACCACAGGCATCATGCCTCGAGAGGAAAACTAAAGGAGTCAAGATACACGACGGGAACGACTGCCTTCGTGCCTGAAGCTGAACGAGGAGATGCCTGGATGAATGTAAGCTGGGGAGGAAGGAGACGACGGCACTCGGACTCGAAAAAAAGTTGACAGCCCCTTTTCCATCCTCCGCCAGTTCGTCCCTTCCACTGCCCTGCCAAGGTCAGCGTTAGTGTGCCCCGCATTGGGATTCCAGTGCTCCACAGGTACCCGCACTTTAGCTCGATCTGCGGGATCTGCATAAGCTCGCTCCACACTTTTCCCGTTTGGACCTAGGTCGGCTGGGTAAGTGGAGGGCCAATTGGCGTTTGCAGATCCAATTTTGAACCATCCCGCATCCGTGCGAGTCCAGGGGCCATCAAGGTTGGTCGGTTTGAACAAAAGGGTGTTGTTGGATGTTGGAAGGAGACAACAAAGTGCGAGCTTGGTGGTCTCTCATGCCGTCTTTATAAAATTGAACAAGCGCAAACTCCTTCTTGCGCCTTCTTGCTCCTTCTTGCGCCTTCTACGCCTCAAAGATCATGCAGTTGGATAATTGACGAGGTGGTTGGGCATTTCTGCATTTCCACTTGCATTCTTGTCATTGTCCACAAGAATTCCAAGTTTTTCTTTCCTTCTTTTCCACTTCTTCCACTCTTCTGGCCACTCTCACCGACCGCCGGAGTTTCTTTGCTCGGAGCCAAGACCCCACTTATTAATGCAGGTCCCGACCTCCAAGGCAAGAGGGCCCCACTACCACTTCCTGTGCTTCTTCCCCGGCCGCCGAGAGAGACCGCTCCGTCTTTCGGGACCGGATTTCACGGATTTCCGTTTCCATTTTGTGGTTCCTCTCTGTTTCCTCATTCTTCGTTACCCCTTTTCGTTTCCCCAAATGCTGTTCTATCCAAGTGCCGCATTCGCTGTTCTGCATGTATCTCCCAGCCTTCAATTCGGCACTTGGAGTCCTGGACCGTGCCCTGGCGTACCTTATCCAAACACGACAATGACAGCAGGTTGAACCATGTCGTCGGCGACCTCGATTGTTGGCCAGTTCGGATCGTAAGATAGGAGTACTGCCGATACAGTATATATTGTAAGTTTGCCGGTGAGTGAAATACTTGTTTGTACGGTCTCTTGTTTGGCTTATTTGGCTTGTGGCAAGTTCCGCAAAAAAAGGGGACATGGATGTCATGTGAATGTTACGGTGTACACCCGAGCATTCGGACCAACCATTCGGGATGCAACCTCGAGTATCTTGTTTGTACGACTTGCCTTGCTCACAACCCAGAGCCGCTGGACTGTCGGGGTTGAAGTTGGATTTGGACTTGGTTCGGCATGTTGAATTTTCCCGATCGAGATGCATCTGCTTTGTCGTCAACCAACACCTGCCACCGCAAGACAAAAGGCTCAAGAGATGGGGACAGCGTGGGGAGCATAAAGTCGACACCGACTTGTTGTGCTCTTCCACCACGTTGACCGCCCTGTAACACAAGCTTCCCCAGACCGTCCCTTGGTAAACAACGCACCAAAACAATCCGAGTCAGTAGTACAACCCCCAGAGATATGGTCTGACAGGGCGCATCCCATGCCGTCTCACAAAGCCGCAAACCGAATATCGGCCGACGACGGATGCAGGGAATTTGTTCGTCGATCCGGCAGGCAGACCAATGAGGGTCCGTGTAAGACAAGGTCTTGGAGACGGGCTCGACAGGATGGATGCACAACACCAAAAACCACGAAGGGATATGCAAATCCCCATCCGGATACAACTCAAGTCTCACGCAAGCACACACACACAATGATCCGCCCTGTGAAACATTCGCATTCAAGCGGCCGCAAATGCGGCTAAGACTTTGGTGTTGTCGAAGCTTGCAAAGCTTGAAGTCGATCGATCCCGGACGTGGAGACCATGAACTATGGGGGTTGGACTCGGTCTTGGCTCCATGTGGACTCCCATGTCCTGGACAGTCCTGGATGCCCTGGATAAAGGTCTCCGAACGTGGGGTCCCCCATGATCTCGTACCTTGACGGACCGACGGAGTATCATAAGCGGTCCACCCAGAGCCACCCAAAGGACCTCACCTCCACTTCGGCCTCGATCGGATTCGCATCTAAGCCAAGCAGATAACGCGATAGCAAATCGTGGACAGCACTATGGGAGCTGGGGACCTGCTTTAGAGGCAAGATACACAGTCCATGACAGTATCAACCAAGGGTTCTCTAAAGATCGTCCCCTTTTTCAGCTTGGTATAGTATGGCCCTGTTCGGCCCTCTTCAACTTTCCGTTGCATCGTGCCCTGACTTGCCTGACTAACCTGACCGAACATCATCAAGTGGCGGCGTCTTATTCCTTGGAGGAGATCAGATTCACTAAGCCCGGACCGGGACATCCAGAGACACATCTCACACCCACCATACCTACTTCTAATACTTAACTCTTCCCACATCCCGCTTCCCAGGGAGAAACACCTAGCTTGCCATCACTCATCCAAGATACCCCTCCCTCCAACCTTGTGCCCTTACACCTCCCCTCTCGTAATCTGTGAGCATATCATACTTTGTCGTTTTCAACATTAACGAAGTTGACGAAACGACATAACGAAACCATACGACTCTTACGACTCCCTCTTAATTTTATACCCCTACATATCATCATAATGGATTCCAACATGCCTATTGCCATTGTTGGCATGAGCTGCCGATTCGCTGGCGATGTCGACAGCCCGTCTAAGCTCTGGGATCTTTTGGCTCAAGGAAAGAGTGCCTGGTCGGAGATTCCCAAGGATCGATTCAATATCGATGGATTTCATCACCCCAACTTTGAGAAGCTCAATGGCGTATGTCTTCCGCCCGGATCAGGGAGAAATAGTGAGAAGCTAACATAGCTCGCAGACAAACGTAATAGGAGGCCACTTTATGAAGGAGGATATTGGCCTGTTTGATGCGCACTTCTTCAACCTTTCTGCCGAGACTGCTGCTGCGTTGGATCCCCAGTTCCGTCTGCAGCTCGAGTCAACATATGAGGCCCTTGAGAGCGGTAGGTTTCCCTTCTCCAAACAGATGAACGCAGTAACTGACCCCAAACAGCTGGTATCACTCTTCAGGATGTGGCTGGCTCCAACACCTCCGTCTACGCCGGCTCCTTCTTCCGGGACTACCACGAGAGTTTGATCCGTGACCCCGACACACTTCCCCGCTTCCTCCTCATGGGCACCGGCGCCGCCATGGCCTCCAACCGTCTCTCCCACTTCTTCGACCTCCGCGGTCCCAGCATGTCCGTCGACACCGGCTGCTCCACCACCCTCACAGCGCTTCACCAAGCCTGCCAGAGCTTGCGTTCGGGCGAATCCACCATGTCCATCGTGGGCGGCGCCAACATCATGTTCAACCCCGACATGTTCCTCGCCATGTCCTCCATGACGCTCATTTCCAAGGACGGTCGGTCCTGGGCCTTCGACAGCCGCGCCAACGGCTACGGTCGCGGCGAAGGTTCCGCGACGGTCATTCTCAAGCCCCTTGACGCCGCTCTGCGCGACGGCGACCCCATCCGCGCTATCATCCGCGACAGCGGTATCAACCAGGACGGCAAGACCGAGACCATCACCACGCCCAGCGGCGAGGCGCAGGAGGCCTTGATCCGCGCCTGCTACGAGCGCGCAGGCCTCGATCCGGGACAGACGACGTACTTCGAGGCGCACGGAACGGGTACTCCGACGGGCGATCCGATCGAGGTGGGCGCCATCGCTTCGGTGTTCAAGGACTCGCGCAAGGGCGATGGCGAGGACGCGCTGCTGCGCATTGGCTCCGTCAAGACCAACATCGGTCATACCGAGACTGCTTCGGGTGTGGCGGCCATCATCAAGGTCGCGTTGGCGCTGGAGAGGGGCCAGATCCCGCCGAGCGTCAACTTTGAGAAGCCGAATGCGAAGTTGAGCTTGGACGAGTGGAAGCTGAAGGTCCCCACCGAGCTGGAGGAGTGGGTTGGCAAAGACGGCATCAGGCGCGCGAGCATTAACAATTTCGGCTATGGCGGGTCGAATGCGCACGTGATTATGGAGGATTATAGCAGCTACATCGCTACGACTCAGCGGACAAGGGGGCTCTGGAATGGCGCTGAGGGCCGCGCTAACGGGCGCACTAACGGCCACCACCACGCTGATAGCGGAATCGCCATCGACGACCTTGACAACGTCAACGTCAACGACCACTCCAAAGTCTTCCTCCTCTCCGCCAAAGACGAGAAGGCCACCGAGCGCATGATCGCCAACCTCAAGACTTACCTCCAGGATCAGAAGTCCAAGAAATCCACCGACGAAAATGTCCTCCTCTCCAACCTCGCCCACACCCTCTGCGCCCGCCGCACCCTCTTCCCCTGGACCGCCACCTTCTCCGGCGCCTCCATCGACTCCCTCATCCGCACCCTCGACTCGGGCCGCATCAAGCCCGCCAAAGCCTCTCCCACCGCCCCGCGCATCGGCTTCGTCTTCACCGGCCAAGGCGCCCAATGGTGGGCCATGGGCAAGGAGCTCATCGACGCCTACCCCGTCTTCAAGGCCGCTTTGCTAGACTGCGACGTCGAGATCAAGAAACTCGGCGCCACTTGGAACATGGTCGAGGAGCTGAACCGCGATGCCGAGACTAGCAAGGTCAATCAGCTCGATTATAGCACCCCCGTGTGTGTCGCTGTGCAGATTGCCCTGGTGGAACTGTTGAAGGCGTGGGGCATCAAGCCCACGGCTGTGACTTCCCACTCGTCCGGTGAAATCGCGGCTGCTTATGCCGCTGGCGCGCTGGACCTGCCGAGCGCGATGGCGATTGCGTTTGCTCGAGGCGGTTTGGCTAGCGAGGGCAACCGGCAGTTTGCGAGGAAGGGAGGCATGATGGCTGTTGGCTTGGGCAGGGAGGAGGGCGAGAAGTACCTTCCCATGGTTACCCAGGGCCAGGTTGTCGTTGCTTGCGAGAACTCCCCGACGAGCATTACCTTGTCTGGTGATGTCGAGGGCTTGGTCGAGCTCGAGCAGGTCATGAAGGAGGAGAATATCTTTGCCAGACGGCTCAAGGTCGATGCAGCCTGGCATTCGCATCACATGGAGGCTGTCGCTGATGCGTATTATGCGAGCATGGATAAGAAGGTTAAGCCGGCCAAGAGCAAGTTGGATATGATCTTCTCCTCCCCTTGCACGGGCAAGCGGATGGATAAGGTCAGCGAGATTGGCAGCCCGGGACACTGGGTGCGCTCGTTGACGGGTTGTGTCCGCTTCGTGGATGCGTTCCGCAGCATGGTCTTTGCTGAGGAGGGTGGCGAGCCGACGGTTGATATGGTTATCGAGGTCGGTCCGCACGCGGCGCTGTCGGGTCCTATTCAGGATATCCTGGCTATGCCCGAGTTTAAGGGGGTTAATATCCTTTATGGCAGCTGCTTGATTCGCAAGAAGAGCGCGGTTGATACCATGCAGGATTTGGTCGGTGACCTTGTTCGCAAGGGATACCCCGTTAATCTCAAGGCTGTCAACTTCCCCTTTGGCACTGAGGGTGTCAAGGTGTTGACTGACTTGCCTGCTTACCCCTGGAATCACTCGACCAAGCATTGGATTGAGCCGCGCTTCAACAGGGCTCTTAGACAGCGCTCTGAGGCTCCTCATGATTTGCTTGGTTCGCTCGTCCTGGGTTGCGATCCTAGTGCTCCTACCTGGCGCCACATTGTCCGTCTCAGTGACCTTCCCTGGGTCAGAGACCATTGTGTGCAGGGGAACATGATCTATCCCGCTGCTGGATACATTGCCATGGCTGTCGAGGGCATGCAGCGGTTTGCTTCTCGTCAGTCTGGAGACAAGAAGATTGCTGGCTATCAGCTTCGTGATATTGACATTCTCAACGCTCTTGTCGTTCCTGAGACCAGCGAGGGTATTGAGATGCAGCTTTCTCTTCGCCCCGGCAGCGAAAGGGATCTTTCCACCAAGGGATGGACCGAGTTCACTGTTCAGTCCGTTAACTTGGACAACAAGTGGACTGATCACTGCAAGGGTTTGATCTCCGTTCAGTTCGGCGCTGCTCCCAAGCACGCTGTCAACCAGCCTACCCAGGACTCTCACTACCGCATCCGCATCAACCCCAATGACATCTGGTCCGGCATGCGCTCGGGTGGTATCAACCATGGTCCCATCTTCCGCAACATGAAGAGCATTCGTACCCGCAGCAAGCAGTCCATCACCACCTTCACCGTGGCCGACACCAAGTCTGTCATGCCCAAGCAGCACGAGATGGCTCATGTCATCCACCCCACGACCTTGGACTCGGTCTTCCAGGCCGCTTACACCGCTGCTCCCGGAGCCGGTGGCAAGAACCAGACCCCCAAGGTTCCTCGTTTCATCTCCAAGCTCTGGATCTCCCACGACATCAGCAAGCAAGCCGGCCACGACTTCAAGGCCTACGCCAATCTCGACCACGCCGATGACCAGTCCACCAAGACCGCTCTCCGCGTCGTTGATGATGCCGTCGAGGCTCCTGTTCCTGTCATCTCCATCGACGGCTTCGTCTGCCAATCGATCGGTAACGCGCCCACCGCCTCCGACGAGCCTTGGGAAGCTGACAAGTTCACCACCACCCACTGGGCGCCCGACGTGACCTTCCTTAAGGACGTCTTCCTCAAGAAGCAACTCGGCAGCCAGATCACCCCCGAGGAGGCCGAGATCCTCATGAACCTCCGCAAGGCCTGCATGTACTACATCTACGACGCCCTCCGCGACCTCACCCCCGAGGACATGAAGAAGCTGGAGTGGTACCACAAGAAGTTCTACATCTGGATGCGTCTGCAGGCCGACTTGGCTCGCGCCAACGAGCTGGGACCCGATAGCAACAAGTGGGCGAACGCCACGCTGAACGAGAAGGCTACGCTGCTGGAGAAGGTCAAGATGAGCAGCACCAACGGCGAGATGGTCTACCGCCTTGGTCCGCAGATCGTACCAATCCTCCGCGGAGAGATCACCGCTTTGGAAGTCATGCTCGAGCAGAACTTGCTGTCGCGGTATTACCTCGAAGGCCTCAAATGGGGCCGCGCCAACGCCAAGCTGGGCGAAATGGTCCGCCACTACGCGCACAAGAACCCTCACGCCAAGATGATTGAGATCGGCGGTGGTACCGGTGGTGCCACGGCCCATGTCCTCAACGCCATCGGCACTGCCGAAGACGGACTGGGTCCCCGCGCTGCTAGCTACGACTTCACCGATGTGTCGTCTGGCTTCTTCGAAGCGGCCAAGGAAAAGTTCCAACCGTGGAAGGACCTGATGCGCTTCAAGAAGCTGAACATCGAGCAGGACCCTTCGTCGCAGGGCTTTGAGGAGGGAACCTACGATGTTGTGATTGCTTGCCAGGTTCTGCACGCGACCAAGTCCATGGATAACACGATGCAGAATGTCCGCAAGCTGTTGAAGCCCGGCGGTAAGCTGTTCATCATGGAGACGACCCAGGACCAGATGGATGTTCAGTTCGTCTTCGGTTTCCTTTCGGGATGGTGGTTGAGCGAGGAAGAGGAGCGCAAGTTCAGCCCGTCGCTTTCCGTGCCCATGTGGGATCGCGTGCTGCATCGTACTGGGTTCCGCGGTGTCGAGGCGGAGATCAGGGATGTGGAGCATGATGAGCTTTATGCCTTCAGCGTGATGAGCTCGACGGCTGCTGCTAGTGCTCCCGTGTTTGACTTTGACATTACTTTCGTCACGGCCAGCAACCAGATCCCCGAGGTGTGGCTGGATAAGCTGAGGGTGTCGATTGGATTGCTTACCTGCTCGGTGCCGACCGTCAAGAGTCTCGAAGAGGTCACGGTTGATGGAAACGATGTTTGCGTCTTCCTTGATGATCCCAAGAACCCCGTCCTGGCGGACCCGAGCAAGGCGCAGTTCAGTGGCATTAGGGATATGTGCACTCGCGCCAAGGGTTTGCTTTGGTTGACGCAGGGCGGCGCGGATGAGTGCGATCAGCCTTTGGCCTCTCTCGCTGCTGGATTCCTCCGCTCTTTGAGGCAGGAGTACTCCGGCAAGCGTCTGGGAACACTCGATCTTGACCCTACCCAAGACATCTGGTCCGAGTCTTCCATCACCACCATCACCGAGGTGTTCCGCAAGTTGTTCGACTACTCGACCAACAAAACCGGCAGCGACTACGAGTTCGCCGAGCGCGAAGGCACCGTCAAGATCCCCCGCTACATCAAGGACGTCACCCGCAACTCGGCCGTCTTCAAGCACCAGCAGGCCATCGCGGCCCAGCCCGAAGCCGAGATGGAGCCGTTCATCCAGCCCGACCGTCCCCTGCGTCTGACCATCGGCACCGCCGGCTTGCTTGACACGCTCAAGTTCGTCGACGACCCGACCGCGTCCGATCCTCTCCCCGAGGACTTTGTCGAAGTCGAGCCGCGCGCCTTCGGCGTCAACTTCCGCGACGTCATGGTCGCCATGGGCCAGCTCAAGTCCAACACCATGGGCTACGACTGCGCCGGCGTGATCACTCGCGTCGGCCCCGCCGCTGCTGCCGAGGGCTACCAAGTCGGCGACCGCGTCTCCGTTTTGCTTAGGGGTCACTACGCCAGCCGGACCCGCATTCACTGGACTAGTGCCGTTAAGATCCCCGATGAGATGACGTTCGAGACGGCTGCCAGCTTGCCGACACAGTACGTCGCTGCTTACGTCTCTCTTTACGATACTGCCCGTCTGCAAAAGGGCGAGTCGGTGTTGATTCATGCTGCCACTGGCGGTGTTGGTCAAGCAGCGGTGATGATGGCGCAGCGCGTCGGCGCCGAGGTGTTCGTCACCGTCGGCACGGAAGAGAAGCGCGAGTTCGTCATGAAGCATTACGGTATTGCAGCCAATCACATCTTCTCCTCGCGCGACGTCTCGTTCGCTCCCGGGGTCATGGCCATGACCAAAGGCCGGGGCGTGGACGTGGTGCTCAACTCCCTCGCCGGCACGCTTCTGCAGGAATCGTTCAACTGTCTTGCGCCCTTTGGTCGCTTCGTGGAGATTGGCAAGCGCGATCTGGAGCAGAACAGCAGTTTGGCAATGGAGGCGTTCACGCGCGCGGTGTCGTATACGAGCATTGACGTGATCACCCTGGGAGAGTACAAGAAGATGGAGACGAATCGGATCATGAAGGATATTATCAGATTAGTTGGGGCAGGCGAGTTGAGGGTCGTTGAGCCGATTACGGTCTACCCCGTGGGAGAGATTGAGAAGGCGTTTAGGTTGATGCAGGCTGGTAAGCATATGGGCAAGATTGTGTTGTCTGCGTCGGAGGAGACTTTGGTGCCGGTCCTTCCCCGTCTCACCTCCAACACCGTTTCTCTACGGTCCGACGCCTCCTACCTAGTCGTCGGCGGCTTCGGCGGTCTCGGCCGCTCCATCTGCTCCTGGCTCGCCTCGCACGGAGCCAAGCATCTTGTTGTTGTCTCCCGCAACGCCAAAGCCGACAAGCTCGCCCAGCTGCAGACCGAACTCAACCATGTGTCCAAGGGCGTCAAAGTCACCGCCATCAGCTGCGACATCTCCAACATGGCTGTCCTTACAAAGGCCCTCGACTGCGTCAAGCTAGGAGTGCCTCCCATCCGCGGTATCATCCACGGCGGCATGGAACTGCGCGATTCGGTTTTGGAACACATGAAGTTGGAAGATCACAAGGCGGCTCTGGCTCCCAAGCTTAGCGGGTCTTGGAACTTGCACCAGTATTTCTCTTCCCCCAAGGAGAAAGAGAGTCTAGACTTCTACATCATGCTCTCCTCCCTCGTCGGCGTCGTCGGGTTCGCTTCGCAGGCAAACTACTCGGCCGGCGGCGTGTTCCAAGACTCCCTCGCACAGCACCGTGTTTCCCAAGGGCTGCCGGGTGTCAGCTTGGATCTGGCCGTCGTCAAATCAGTCGGTTACCTGGCTGATCATCCTGATTCGGAGAAGACGATTGAGTCACTTAAGCGCCATGGGTTTACTGCGCTGGCGGAGGAGGAGGTGTTGAGTGCTATCGGGTCTGCTATTCAGACGCCGTTCGCAGGCCAGCTTACGTTGGGGTTGAACTGCGGTCCTACTGGCCAACCCTCTGCCGATGCTCCTCTCGCGCGCGACGCCCGCTTCTCCCAAATCAAGCACCGCGCCGTGAAGGCCACCACCCAAACCACCTCTGCCACCGGCAACAGCACCGACCTATCCAGCCTTCTGGCCAACTCTCAATCCCTAGAAGAAGCAACATCCCACACCCTCGAAGCCATAACCAAAAAGCTACAAGACATCTTCATGATCGCCGACGCCTCCGAAATCAACCCCGAGTGTTCGCCAGCAGAATTCGGCGTGGATTCACTGGTGGCGGTGGAACTCAGGAATATGCTCAGCATGAAGGCGGGGAGCGAGATGAGTATCTTTGAGATTATGCAGTGTGGGAGTTTGAGCGGGTTGGCGGGGGTTGTGGTGGGTAAGAGTTCTCATGTTGAGGCTTCACTGAAAGAATAGGCGCCCAGTAGAGCTGTTACGATGGTATCTACGGTGGTGAAGTCTACCTAGGTGATGCCTACTATGGTGGTGTTTACGGTGGTGTTGACGATGGTGAGGATGCATGGATGATGGGAATGGGAATGGGAATGAGAATGGGGAATAACAGGGAATGAGTGAGGAGGAGTGGGGGAGTTGGAAAGCAGCGGAGAGTTGGATCCCGAACTCGGGATTGTAGGATCCCGGATGGGGAGTGCTTCGAGTTGAAAGCGGTGGGAAGAAGAGGACATGGGGAAATGTCATGTCACCGCCGCCAGATGAGATGCAATGATCTGCGGTTAGGGGATTTTGATATGCCCCACTGGAGTTGTGGGGAAAGGAGACCGTTCGGACACCGAACTTGCTGGCGAGTTCACGAGTTCACGGTGTCGAGGTTGAGCATGTTTTGGCGTTTGTTCTGTTTTGGTCATTTTACCTGCTTTTTGGATACCTTGGAGTTACAGTTTTTGCTTGCGCGAATATCACTTGTTTCACGATTCACTCACTCACTGCTTGTGTTTTGGCGATTTGATGACCGCGTTCGGCATCGCTGGAGTGGTACTCGTGATCAATTCGACCGTGAACCTTGATGGCCAGGCCAAGTTGGTCTTGTCTGTCTGGGGGGACAAGCACGGACAACATTCCGCACACCGTCGATCATCGTCAAGGTAACATCCCCACTAGAGCTGAACGGGAAACATGGAGATACGAGAAGTGATCACCTGGTCCTCTTCTCTTTTCCCAGTGGTCAGTGGTCCAACAAATCTCCAAGAGTCAAGAGTCAAGACGGAGGGACGGGATCGGTGAACATCGGGACGGGCCCCGGCTTTCAGTAATCAGTGTTGCAATCGCTAACAGACCGTGCGGCGTGAACAGGGAAGACAACTCCCAGCGAGCCGGTAGAGCCGGTGAGCTCTCTGAGCTCTCCCCAGTCGTTCGCCTAGGGACATGGTTCCCCCCAGTCCGCTAAAAGGGGGTGGGTTACAGTGCCCCATACGGTCTTGATGGTGATCGACAGTGCGCTAGCGCTGTGACATGGGGATACCTGGACAGTTTCCCCATCTCCCCATGTCGACATCCATGTCAACAACATATCCAGACGGTACCTACCCAGTGGTTCAACAAGTGACAATGGGATGAACTGGAGGACCCTCGCAGGCCTGGCCACAAAATATGATAATCATAGGATCTGTCTGGATGGCCGAAGCAAGCGAGCGAGCGAGAGCCGAAATCCTGACCCCTCGGCTATCGTGATCAACGATTGTCGGATCATGTTTGCATACAATCACTTTCACTTCAGGTTGAACGTCGTCGTAAGGGTGCCGTTCCTGAAGAGCACGGTGCATGTGATCATCGATCATTGATCAGTGCCTTGCTTGCCCTGGTCATCTCGACTCTCGAGTGTGTAGAGAGAGGCAAGGAAGAAACTCGGGTATTGTTCGCTTGGGAGGAAAATGATAAGATCGTGATCGCGGCGGGGTGGGTGGGTTGGTGTTGGTGTTGGTGTTGGTGTTGGTGATCAACAACTTCAAGGTACCGTACCTACCTCGGCTCTAGGTACTTACCTCTACGAGCTGGAAGTTACCTGAAGTAGAGAGCAGGGATTGAGTACCGCCGCCGGTTCCAGCTCTTCCAGCTCTTCCAGCTGTGCCTACGTGAGCCCTGACCCTGACACCGAGGCTCGAGCAGACAGACGCCCGAACCCTTGGGTTGGGATTTGGAATCCCTGGACATCTCGAGCTGAGAACCCTGAGACTGGACGGGAGTCCGAGGTCTGTCTGCGCGGTAGATGCCGTTGATTCTCATACCGTACCTATCCAAGGAGCCCCAGGTGCTGGGTGCCCGTGAATATGATATCCCTGTTCGAGGCTCTTTGACCGCACGGTTTTGAGCGAGCGTCACGACCGGCACGGTTTCAACTTCACATGCCACATCAAGGCCAGAAATTCCGAGTTTTTGCGGGATATACAGGTACGAAACAAGATGGGAAGACCGAAAGACGTCGGAGACATGGACGGGATTGCTTCCTCAACACGATCCGCTGTATGCATGTCAGATGGATGTACTACACAGTATTGATGAGCTGCATTGCATGCATTGCAAGACATGGACCTTCCAGAGTCCCAGTCCTCACGGCACCTCCCAGAGTCCCAGTCCTCACGGCACCTTTTACCTTTCCCACCGTCCCACGTTGAGGCATCAAGCACCATGGTGGACATCCATTCACTTCATCGTCCGTCCCAACGAGTCACGATGGGGTATATCCAGATCATAAACCTGTCGACCAAGGTCCTGTCTTTCTTGTTAAGGTAGAGGTAAGTTTTCTCTTTGTATTGTAGTCCATTCAAGTTCCGCGCGTGGAAAGGAGAACAAACGCTATGCATGCAGATGATGTCTGACCCGACGATGCTGCACTTTCCATACTCTACATATTGCCTTTACCCGACCGACCACGCGGAAGACGGCCCGGGTCGCATAAAAAACGGCCGACATGCCTTCTTCTAGTGTACCTTCCAGAGACATGATTCGTCCGCTCGGGAAAGGCTGTTCTCTGCCGATCCCTTGCTTCTTCAAGACCGTGAGGCTTGCGGTTCAGCTGCACTTCGTCGGGCTTAGCCGTTGAAGGACTGGAGGGTACCAGGGTACCCCAGACACTCATGCAGACACTCATGCAGACACTCAGAGCAGTGTGGAAGAAGCCGAAGGGGAAGCTGAGGGCGGTTTTGTGGTGAAGGGAGGAAGGGAGAGGAAGGAAGACTGGAGCCAGAGAAGTGAGACATGCAGGTTGTTTGTTATCAGCTTTTGCGGTTGCGGCTTTTCGAGACTCGAGAGGACAGTAAAACACTGATAGAGGAGGGAATATACCCTAGTTGTACTTGGTAAAAGTATTATACTTGTATTTGTATTGTTGGGTATCTTGTTCTGCTCTGCAGTTGTATGCTTCATGGTATTGGGTATTATCCTTCTTCTTCTCCTTCCTCTTCTGCTCTCATCTTCCTGATACCTCTCATCTTTCTCCGTCACTCCTCCCACTCCCACTCCCCCTTCCCTGTCCTCCTCCATCCTCCACTTAATAAGTACAAAGTTGAATCTGGGGTATATGCTGATGTGAAACACTAAGAGAATGACTAGAATGACTAGTATGACTGTGACTCTGACTTGGTACATGGCCCATCAAAAGAGTCTGTTGTTGTTGTTGTTGGTGTTGTTGTTGTTGTTGTTGTTGTTGATGCTGATGATGTTGCTGTTGAGCATGTTGTTGTTGTTGTTGTTGTTGTTGTTGTTGTTGTTGTTGTTGTTGTTGTTGTTGTTGCTGCTGGACAATCCCCAGCGTATGTAGATGCTCCCTGGCCAGGTTATTGAACGTCTGCATCTTTCGTAGCGCGTCCATGCAGGACTGGATCTCACTGTCGTACTCGGTTTCGGTGGCGGGGACGAAGCCCTCGGGCACTTGGGCGGCGAGGTCGGCGAGGGTTTGGGTGCGTTGAGATATTAGGCGGGAGGCGGCGAGAGAGATGGAGAGGGGGAGGAAGATGTGGGCCTGTGGTTTGTTTTGTTAGTGGCCTGCAAAGAAGGGAAGGAAGAGGATGGGAAAAAGACATACCTTGAAATAACCAAGATGCTCATGAGCCTTGGTCAACGCCGCAATCTCCCTCGCAGCCCTCAGCGCCCGCTTCTGGTACTCAAACACGGCCGGATCCCACTGACACTGCTGTCCATGTCTGTTTGTCTCCTGGCCAGCCTCCACCACCTTGCACAAGTTGATCGTCGTCGTGTGAGCAAGCATGAAAGCAAAGAAGAGCATCGGGTCCGCCGCCGCCGACACAACCGGGTAGCTCTGGATCAAAGAATCCAGCCGCTTGTTGACCATGCCCGCCAACCACTCGTGTCGGATCCAAAAGTCGGCCGAGGTGCTGCCGTAGGTGCGCTCGACGTTGGCGACCTGCGTGTGGGAGAGGGTGCGGCCGCAGACGGTGGCGAGCACGACACTCTCGGCGAGGGGAGAGAACAGGCCGTGGTCGCCCGAGGCAATGGCTTCGGAGAGGAAACACATTTGGATCGGTTGGCCGCTTTGGAAGGAGAGTTCGGGCGAGGGCAGGCGGGTGCAGATCTGTTGCATGTTGCGTTAGCATGATGCCCCTTCCCCTAACTGCAGGTGCACGGGATGTGCGAACTTACCACCTCCTCCACCAACGTCAACGGCCACTGATTCTTCAAACTGATAAACCGATCCAAACAATACGCCACCCAAAACGTCCTCCTCCGTTCCTCCACCACCACCGGATCCTCCCCCTGCTGCAGCATCGACCTCTCGGGGCTATCAATCTCATGCAATCTCGCCAGCTGAACCAGCCTGAACGCCCTGCCGGCCGTCACCCATCCGCGCTTGTAGTTGGTCCTGGCGAACTCGTAGAAGGCAAGGAGCAGCCAGGCTTGGATCTCCTCGATGCAAACGGGGCTTTCGTGCGAGTGGTGGTTCTCGTACATGTCGAGCGACTCGAGCATCTGCTTGGTTTCATTGTAGAGGGTGTCGCGGTAGGACTCGAACTGCGATGACAAAGCCATGGCGGACGTCCACATGGCGTATTGGAGACATAGGCGGGGGTTGGTGGCGCTGTTGTGGTGGTGGGTGGTGAGTGGTGTTTGTTGGGAGAGGGCAAAGTAGCGGGATTGGTTGAAGATGGGGGCGTTGGGGTGGACGCGATCGAAGTAGAGTTGGTCGCTATGGGAGGTTAGAAGATGTTGCGAGGTGGAAGATGGGAGAAGAGGACATACAGGTCTGCGCGCATGAGATCATTGACCAAGGCGCGCTTTGGTGGTGTTGGTGGTGATGGAGGGAACTTGAAGTTCTGCATGGACAAAGGAATCTGTGGTGTCATGGGGGAAAGCTGTCCATCCCATATCGATCCCCTCCCTCGTGGTGAGGGAAGTTGGCTGAGGTCTGAATCGGAGGCAGGTCCTGGTGGTGGTGTGCTCCCGGCAGGAAGAGCATGTTGTGAAAGGTCGGCGTCGCCATGGAGGGATAGGCCTTCGAGGTTGGTTGGATCGAGACTGAGACGACGTTCAAGAGCGACTGGAGGAAAGAAAAGAAAGATGATGTCAACACCTGAACTAAGACCCGAATACGAGATATAGGGCTGTGGTTCATCGGGATGCAGGGACTCGGGGGGTGGGTGGTGACCTACCGATGCGGCTCCGCAGGGCCTTGAGATCGCCTTTCTTGGGCCCGCGGGCGAGACGGTTGTGGTTGACTTCGCATACGATTCCCGCATCGGCGCAAGTGCCGCATTGGGGACGTTGCCGGTCGCATCGCAACTTGCGCTTCCGGCACTCCTCACAGGCGGACCCGGGCAGCTGTCTCGGCTGCGGAGGCCCGTCCGTACATGTACTGCTGGTTCGTCGAATAGCAGGCATCTTGGATGTTGCTGTATCTGTCTTCTGAGTGGTGTTGATCTAGCTTGATGATAGAGATGTTTGGATGCAGACAACACCACCGCGGGACGGGACTTGGTCTTTAATACACTCGCACTCCCGTTTGGGGTGTCGGTCAGTTATGGAAAGTACAGCCCGGACTGGACAAGGGATGTGCCTTTGGGTCTACAGGGGGGCTTGTCGGCGAAATGGGTTGTGTAAATCTGGGGAATAGTCAGGTCAACAGTGATCCGCCTTGCCAGTGCGTGTGGGATGAGTGGAAATGATGGGATATTGAGTTCGGCGACTCCTAACGTCAGCGGGATGTGTCATCTTTTCTCTCTTTGATGTCAGCTGGAAATGGAGATGAATGGGGGATGGATATGCGCAAGTCTGTGGAGGACGGTGGCATCCATGGAGATACGGGATCCAGACCAGCGTTAGCGCCTCTTCAGGTACCTACAGTGCCGCCTCTAACTGTACGGGGTACCGCCAGGGGGTCAAGGGGTCCTCAGCTGTCATCTGGTTCGTTTTTGCTCTAATACCACACAGTGATACACCTGACAATCGACACAGAAGAACCCGCTCGAGAGCACATAAACCGGCAGAAGGGAACAGCGCGGAACGGAAAACGGCAGCGGGATGTTTCCGGATGTGAGGTGTCGATAACAACAACTCCAAGGACCCGATTTCGTGATCAAAACACTGGGCCAAAATGGCGGATGTGCAGGGCCCCCTGTACCGTACCCTAAATCCCTTGCCAAGTGGAACACCCCTGAATCTCCCGTCGACAACATCAACATTGACGCCAAACCATCTCCCCAGAGTCGTCATTTATCCCACATCCTAATCTCCCTCATCTGTTTCGGCTAGCAGTCATCATCAGCTATTTTCATCGCTGCATCATCTAACCGCATCCCACAGGGCGATCCGAGCTAATCGTGATATCCTCCACCCATCAGCATCATCATCAATGAGCGGGGGACATTCGAGGCTCGTGATGAGTCCTTTCTTTGCAAGCCTTGAGTGCTTTTTTGCATTGGATGCTTCCGACCGTCCAGTCAGCGGAACTGCTATCAGTGAGACAGCAACCCCTGTCGACGACGGTCCCAGCGATGATTTGTGGCTCAAAGCCTCACCGAATAAAAGTGCCCGGAACGTGAAAGCCCTCCAACAATGTGTTCTCCTCCTTTGTGTCTCCTCCCATCACGCCTTACTCAGACATTTCAAACCATCACCGGCATCCTATGATATTATAGGTAATAATCAATATAAGGTTCAACGTAGCTTGATTGTATATGTCTATATAAGACTGGCTCTGCAAACTCGAAGCTCTAGCATCTAGATAAATCCCGCATATCCCAACCCAACTAGGTACATACACGCCCAGTAGATCCCTTAACCTCTAATATACCCCCTTAGATCTAATATACAAACCACGCCAGATCTACCCAAATATGCCCTAAAATGCCCTAAAATCCTCCCAAAACTAACTAAAAATAATATTATTCCCAAATTACTTCCTCGTTACGGTAACTTTCAAACTTTTACTCGTAAGAGTCTTGCCTTATTATATTTATTAATTCGTCGCCCGAATCCTCCTCTATAAAGTCCTCTATACCCTTCGGGCGGCCTATAGTAATATTTCCACTACTAAATTCTCGTAGTTAAATCTATAGCCGCTATGGCTTTACGAATCCTAACTACTCTATAGATTTCAAATATACTGCAGGAAGGAGGCTCTTTATAAGACTATCCACAATCTACTCTTTAATAGGTACGTAAATTATGTCTACCAACTTCCTCTCCTACGTTTACTTTAACTAATATTTATATATATTGACGTACTTGAACTTAATTACGAACCGAACTCCCTTCTTTATAATAAATCATATCGTTTACTTATTATTATAACCTATAGGTGTAGCCTCTTAATTTTCGAACCCTAGGGTAAATTCGCTAAAGAGACGGCGAATGTAAATAGCCTCCTTAATTCCCTAATTAAGGGATAGTAATTCGGCCTCTATAAATAAAGTTGTAACTATATTTTACTTATTAGTTCGCTAATCGATTATAGCGCCTAAGAGTTTAAATATAAACGCTTATAAATTCTGTCAATTAAAAAATTTATTTATAAATAAAGAATTAATTGTAACGTAGAAATTCTATTAGTTTTTACTACTTAATTAAAAAGCGTAATTTTAAATTATAAAAAGGTAAAATAATATTTAATTTATAATTGTAGAATATACTAAATTAGGATTTAAATTAAATTAAATAAATTCAAAAACCGGGAATATTATATTTATTGTAATATAATAGTAATAAAGAAAATCGAACTAATTTTAACTTAATACGCGTAAATTTCGTACGGGGCTACGCTATTTTAATACAGTAAGAATTCTTCTCTAATTATAAGCGTAGAATATAATTTCTTAATACGTTTAACCTTCTTCGTAATCTTTTAAATATAATTGTACTATAATAATTAAATTAATCTCTTCTCTCGGTTTCGAATAATTTCGATACCTAAAAATTATTTTAATAATTTTCTACCCGTTCACTAATACTTCTTCTTTATAGTAGCTACTACCCCTTTAATCATAATAATTATTTTATTTTTATATTTATAAATAATAATAATATTATTAATGTAGAAGAAAAAGAATATATTACTTTTAATTTGGATACTAAGTTCTATAGGGAGAGGGTTTATATTTGTAATTACGAGGGTTTTAGTAAATTCCTACTATTAGAGGAAAGGAGATTTGCGTAAATTATATAGCGTATATAGTAATTGGAATACTTGACCTTTCTTAATATATTTAGGGGAAGCCTTTATAAATATTACTTTATTGAATATAGTGTTAATAAAAGCGTTCTTTATATTGTACTAAATTAAATTAAAATTAAAGTAAGTAATTATAATTATTAGGATATAGAATGACCTAATTGCCAAAATCGCTACGTACGTTTTACGTACGCTATCCTTAAATTATTAGTTTCTTAGTATAATTAAATGTATTTTATATTTAAAAAACCAGCCGTTTTAATCGAATTTATAGGTATATACCTATATCGAATTGAGTATTTTAGTATTTTTCACCTCCTTAATACTAACTTACTTCTAAAATTTCTTATCTTTATATTTATTTAAATATTCTTTTTTTATATCCTTAAAGAATTTTTTAAAAGAATAAAAGTTAAAATTACTATAGTGCTTTAGAAAGGGTAGAAAATTAATTCGATAAAGGGTCTTTAACGTACTCTTTATTCTATAGCGGTTAATAATCTCCTTTATTATTTTTAATTTAGGATTATAGTTGGGATTAATATTGATACCCCTTTTTCTTATTAATTCTAAGAAGGCGTAATCTATAACTTTATTTCCCTAAAAGCCTATAGGTCGATTACCCTTTATAAATAAAAACGATGCGGCCTAATAAAAGTATTAATTTATAGTTAATTATAATTACTTATTTGAATAAAAGAAGTTAATTACTAACAACGTAGTTAAATTATTAGGAGGGATAGGGAAATAGCCCTCTTCCTTATCCTTCGAATTTAAGACCGTACTTTAGAATTCCGACGGCGATTGTACGGACGGCGATAGTAAGGGCTCTAGACCCTACAGTTATATTTCTAATACTTATAAGACCTCTAAAAATCTAAACTGCGTTTATATTTCTAAAAACGCTAATTCCTCCTCTTCCCCTAATATAATTTCAATTTTAATAGGAAAATTTTAGATAACAGGGGTAAGAACTCTATTATTTACAGCGGGTATAGCTTCGATTTATAGGACGTCTATTTATACGATATTTGTTTAATAAAAATCTTTTAATTATATAGCTAGTTTTTTAAGGGAAATATTAAAGGTATTATAAATTTTTTTAATATTACTACTAGGGAAGACATCCTTTTTATTAAATATAACGTATTATATAATCATAATAGAATTAGTATAAAGATTCTAAATCTTATAAATATTCGTTAATTAATATCCAACTAAATAGCCGACCCAAACGCGGTCTTTAAATTTTATTAATTTATTTTATTCTTTTATAATTGTTATTATAAAAGTAAAGGCTTTACAATTATATATTTTAAAATATACGATAATAGGGGAGGGGTTTAATAGAGGAACGATACTATTTTTAAATTAATAGTACGTTTCAAATCAGTCTTAAGGAAATTTCTAATAATATTCCGCTTTAAGGGTTAAATTATATAAATATTTAATTATTCTAATACTTTTTATCTATAATTTGTAAGGGAGATTTGTACTTAATTATATTATTATACCTTTAGTTTTAATTATACCCCCTAAATACTCTACGCCGCCGTTTTAAATTTATATATAAGGCGCTAACGGTTCAATATTAATTCTCTTAGTAGCAAACCAAATAATAATCTTCTTACTATTAATTATTTCGTTATTATATTCGACTACCCGAAGTATAATTTAATATTAAATCTATAGCCGTATATGAAAGGATTCTAAGTATATAATAATAAATTCGGCTTTTCTATTACTTAAGTAATATACTTAAACGAATGTAAATTACCAGTTTATAACTACTATTAAATTTAAATATTTTTAGCCCCTTACCTTTACTTCATTATAAGAAGAAAAATCGACGGTTAATTATAATGTAGAACCTTCTAAATAAATACGAACTTTTCTACGTACTTAATATTTCAATTTAACTTTAATATATAGTTTATAATATATTATACCCGGTCCTTTAAATCGTACGCTATATTTTTATTCTATTAATTTAATTAAAATTTCGGGTCCCGAATAGCTAAATCGAAAATACTAACGAAGGGGCTTAACCTCTTAAGGCTTCTACTTGATATAATTTATATACTATATAATAAAAAAAGACTTATTAACGTTATTTTATAAAAGGATATATTCCAAAATAAATTACTTATATTTAGAAAGAATATAATAAATAAGGGAGTCTGTAAAGCGGGAGCGTAAACAATTATTCTTATAATCCTAATAAATTTATTCATCCTTAAATTATTTTAAGGAGACGAAATTACAAACTATACCCGGCATTAAGGCGATATTAGGGAATTAGAACTTTCTATTTCTAATATCCTCCTAAATTATAATTATAATAATATTATACCCTTCGTTAAGAATCCGCTTATTTCCAACCTATATATAATTATTAATATTTAATAGAATAAAGTCTTTAAACCGATTAACTTTATTAAAAATATATATTATTGTACTTAAATCGAAGATTATATAGTCTCTTAATAAATATATAGCGCCGCATTTCGCTACAAATACTAAGAAATTATTTTTATTTACTTAGCGTTTATAGAATTAATTATTTTAATCCTTATCGTCCTACTATATTTATAAATAGTTAACGGCTTCTTTAAATATTTTATCCTTCTTCAAATTAACGAACGTACGCTTCTTAATAATAGGATTTTCGACCCAACCTTTATAAGATAATTATGATCTAACGTAATAATACTTATTTAAATTATAGCCCGGCTATTTATAGAATTTATATAAAAATCGTTGTAGTCGTTTACTTATTAGTAGGGATAAAAAGGAAGTACGCTTATTTTTATTAATATTCTTCCTAAATTTACTATTTTTACTTATAACTTTTCTCTATCCCTCTACCTCCGGGCTAAGGTTTTATTCGTCGCTAGGAGCGTCCTCTTCAACAGGTTTACCGCCTAACGTAGCCGCGAATACAATACCCTTAAATAAGAAGGCGCGACCCTTTCTCTAAATAGTATTCGCTATTACTACTTTACGAAAATCTTTGGCTACAATACGGCAAGAAATTTTAAAATTAAGGTTTCTCTCAATTTCCTTATTATACCAAAATTAGTAATTATTTACCCAAACGGTATAAAGACTCGACCTTATAACTATATAGAATTCTAAGAACTATAAGTTTAACTTATGTATTCTAATAATTCTTTTAATAATATAAAGAGCTATAGCCGCTTTCTAATAAAAAGTCTAACTATACTAATTATAATTAATTTTACTAAAGGGCTTAAAAATATTAATAAATTTAACCTAGGCGAACTTCTTTATTTTATAATCGTTAAAGGCGGTAAATTTATTAAAATTATTGTACTATTTATATATATTAATACGTTTAATAAAATTAGTTTTATAATGATTATTTTTAATAGTTTCAAATATCTAACGATTTAACGTAATTTTCTTAATACCTAGGTTAGAAAAGGTTTTAACTTCTATACGCCAATCCGACTTCTTAATTGTATAATTACAATAATCGTACTCATAATAAAAACTGTAAAGTTTAGTAGCAATAAATAAGACAAACTCCCTATCCTTCTTAACTTCTTTAATTTCTCTAGCTAGGACCTCTCCCTAATAACTAGCAATATTAGGTTCTACGGGCTCAATTAGCTAAGGCACACGGTTATTAGGATCGATATACTTTCAAAGATTAAAGTCCTAGGCTATAGAAATAAAAGTATTTTCCCAAGCCGGCCAATCCTTAGGGCCGTTAAAAGTAACGCTATTAATCTTAATCGTAGACATTATTGGCAATCATTTAGTCAGTTATCGTTGCTGGCGATAGTTTCAACAGTTGAATCAATAAAACTCTTAATTGTAATATTATAGGTAATAATCGATATGGGGTTTAACGTAGCTTGATTGTATATATCTATGTAAGACTGGCTCTACAAACTCGAAGCTCTGGCATCTAAATAAATCCCGTATATCCCAGCCCAACTAGGCACGTGCACGCCCAGTGGATCCCCTGGCCTCTGACACATCCATCCGTCGAACCCGTCAGCGCCTGATCGACAAGAGCACCTCATCCAAAAACGTGATCCTGGCTCCGATCTTGAGACATTGTCCTTCTGTAACAGGAATAGTCACCTAACCGTCAAGGTCCCCAATGCGTCCCCACGACGTCCCAAAAAGGCCTCGCGAATTACCAAGGCGTCACCGTGGCGGCAGCCATTCCCCTCGAGTCGGGTCTGTCAACTCTCCCAATTCTCAAGTTCGTGACCAGTTCGTGATGACCACTGCGAACCATCGTCGGTCGCTCTCCACCGCCTGCGTGTTCACCTTTCAGCTAGTCCAGCAACCCTCCGCATTCCCATGTCGAGCATTACCCGAAACAGCATGGTAGGGTCATTTTAGCGTTGACCCACACCAGCGTTCAATGTCTCCTCGGTAGCAGCCAGAACGGGGACGAATGTCATTGTTGTCCTCGACAGTCCCGTCTCTTTCCCTTTGCTTCTTTTTTCACTTTGCAGTTCTCATCAATCTCCATCAACTTTAATCTTGTCCCAACTTTGGCTCCCGCTCGTCAAGACCCGTCAGCAAATTGCGAGACTCTAAATCGAGAAATTACTCACATCCCGACTTTCCACTTGGCCCAGCGGTACGCAATACCGATCGTCAACTTGGCACGCGGAAAGAGAGTGCCGATGCTACCTTGAACAGCTTGGCCAAAGTGAGGTATCCGGCTTGGCGGGGGGACTCGACGTCTCGAGGTCTTGAGGATGAGGTTGAACTTGAGAGGTTGACATCAACAACGCAACGCTGCAATAACACCTCCAGTCCACGAAGTGACTCTCCAGTCCGCGAAGTAACTCTCCAGTCCACGAAGTAACCCTCCCATTCACACTTCCACTTTCACATGCAGACGGGCTTGCATCTCGACATCAGTGGCTTCGAGTGTCACCACCACGGATCTGAGAGCTGTACTTCCAGCACCGTGCAGAGAGCGATGGTGCCGAGCTCGGTACTTCTCTCAGCGCTGCCGGTAGTTGACCGGTTTCCCGTGATCCACTGTGTGTACGACATACGAGTGTTGGTGGTGTCGATGGTGTTCCGTCTGGTACATTGTAGACTTACACCGTCAGTATGCGCAAAAAGTCAAACATCAACAGCTTTACCGGTCGGTCGGATATCGTTTGTTCCAAAGGCTCTTCCCCCGCATCTTTGGCTGCAAACTTTCCTTCTGTCCTGGACAATTCCCCGACGCACGCCCGTTCCCATCTTCCGGCGGAAGATACACTGTCTGTTTCGTTTTGCTTTGCCTGCTTCCCGAGGTCGTAAATCCGACAGCAGCCTCACTCATCGTACGAGCTTTCCTGAGAGTCTCACTGCCTCCTCGAACGACATGGGGAACATCAGTGAACTGCCTCATCACATGCAATCAACTCAACGAGTCCCCATCACCACGCCTTACCTATTCCCGTACACAGCTCGTAGACGCAACAAATTCCACCTGCCTAATCGGCAGGTACTTCCCCCTCCTCCACCGTCCTCCCCCGTCCTCCCCCGTCCTCCCCCATCCTAGCCCACGCACTCCCATCCACTCACCTGTTCCCAAAGAACCCATCCCTGCCGCCGATCACTCACTGATTCCCCCCTCTTGGGGCCTGGAGATCAATCATATCGTATCATCTTCATGCGCGAACTTGTCCTGGGGCACGATTGACGATTGTCGATGACAACCTAACCTACCTCTACGAGCCGAGCACGCCGAAATGGAGCTACTGTATGCAAGTGACATATCTCCGCGCGCGGTTCGTGTGAACTTGGGGTGTAGGTACTTCAGGTTGATTGGACCGGTCGGTATCAGCTATCGGGAACAGCCGGGGCTTCCGGGGCCGTTGTCCGGCGGAGCTACACTACTGTGGTCAGGAGCAAAAGTTAAACCCCCATGTCAGGTACCGACAGGGGAGGTCGGTACCGCCACCAAAAAGTGTAAGCGAAATGCAGGGGAAGTCGCCACCAAGTCACTCACCGCTAGATTTCTATAGAAAAGGACTTCGAGGCACTTTGAATCTGGTCTTTTTGCATCTTCATCATCATTCACCATGGCTCGCCCAAAAGGCATCACCGGAAAGAAGCATCTCTCCCTCGAAGAGCGAACGAGAATTAGAACCCTTTATTTCGATGCCAAAATGAACTAAAGCGAAATATCCTAAATCACTGGCTTTTCTAAAGACTAAATCCGCTACGCTTGTCGCTCCGAGAACGCTGCCGTTGCTCCCCGAGCGGGCCGGCCGCGAGCATTGGACGATGCCCAAGAAAAAGAGTTGGTTGAATTCGTCTGCAGTTCCAAAAAGACTAGAAGAATGCCTTTTCTCTAACTATTAATAGTTCTCTTTGGGGTTATCTTTGGAGTTTGGGCTATTAAAAATACCCTTTATCGTTTCGGTTTCCGTAGAAGGTCCGCCCGGAAAAAACTTCCGATTTCCGAATGCAACTGGGGCTTCCGGTATTAATAGGTATTGGAGCATATTTATTGGACTCCTTAATAATGGGTATCGATTTTTTAGACGGACGAAATTTGGGTAACCGGCGGTCCTTATCGGAAGTAGTTCGTTACCCGGAGGCCAGGAGAAGAATTCGATCTTACTTGTATCGTCGAAAAGTACTAAAGAAAGTAAGGATGGATGTTTTGGGATAGTTTTTCTGGGAGAGGAAAAGGGCCGGGCTTTTTTTGGGAAAAGGAATGGGGTACTATTAATGCTGCTTCCTATAGAGAGTGCACTCTTCCCGTCATTGATGAGTATTTCCGTTCTTCTCGAGAAAGCGGCTTCCCCCTTTTTTTAATGCAAAATAATGCCCCTAGTTACGCTACCGCTGAGACTATTAATGAACTTCAAGATCGAAGTATCGATGTTATTAAATGGCTACCTTTTTCTCTGGATTTAAATCCGATAGAATTTGCTTAGAATTGGATGAAAGATTTTATTGAGGATAAATATGGTACTAATGAAAAGCCTACTTATATACGGCTCCGTGGCTACGTTTTGGAGGCTTGGGAGGAATTAACGGAATCTTTCTTAGCAGAGCTTTTGGACTCGATGCCAGCCAGATGTCAGGCTGTCATCGATGCCAATGGGATGCATACGAAATATTAGCATTTACTATAGTAATGAAATGTTCATTTTGGTGTTGAAAGACAAGTCCCGGCACCCCCTGTCACCCCCCTGTCGGTACGGGCTCCACCGGTTTAACTTACCCATCTTACCACAGTACTTGCCTTACTTGCGGTACCTACAGGTACTTCGCTTCGACCCCAATGTCGACTTCATGTTGCTCAAGTGGAGTGACCGACCAACCGGGGAAGAGAACGATGAACATCCGGGATACCGTGGACTGCCAGTGCCGCATGGTTCGCACTTTCAGCGAATGGCTGTTTGAGAAGGCAAGCTGGTAGTCTGGCAAGGCGGTTTCACTTCCGTTCTTTGCCAGTCTCAGTTGACACTTGACAACCTTACTTCACACGTAATGTGCCGGCATACCCCGGATATGGCGTGATACGTCTTTTTGACTGCTCGTTCCACCAGTGGGGGTTTTGTGTACCTTACCTTACTAGGTACCTAGAGTATGTAGCTCTTTCGCTGCTTCGCCGCCGGTTAAACTACAGTTCAAGTCTGGTTCGTTTGTTCGCCTGGTACCAGACCCTGAGCAAGACTCATACCAACCCATCCTGAACGCCGCACACGACCTACTTTCAACGCTCCGCCTCTTCCTCGCCCCTCAGCTACCTACCTCTACTGCCCGACATACATCCGAGCTCGGAGCGGTTCGCCTTGCCTCGCCCTGTCCATCCATTCCCTACATGCCCGTAAAGCAGATCACAAGCAGATCACCGACCGCCTTCCTATTCCGGTATCGAGGTCGTCGTGACTTGGGGGAGACAGTAGGTTTGATGATAGTAGGAGCTACCCCTCCTCCGGATCGTCATTACCAGTGCTGCATGTACACTAGTAAAGTACAGATAGTTGGCGGGTACATTAACCTAAAGTCAGGTATAGAAGTGTTAGCGTAGGCCAGAGTGACAGAGCTCTACACTAGATATCAATGGATGAGGTCTGGTGCACATGTGCTTAAGCGAGAACCTCAGGACAAGTTCCTGGCACGAACAGAAAACAGGAAACGCTCCTGGGGACAACGGTTGTGAGGAACGGCTGGGGTACGTGGGTCGCCGGTTTCACATGCTCGATGCTACCTCTACCTTGCTCACCTTACCTTGATAGCACTGAGGCCTGTTAGTGACTACACACCCCTTGAAGGCTAAGGTTCTTAGCTCGAGACATCTGGTCAACTTGTCCAGGTGTTTTCACATCCAGCTTATGTGTTTTCTTCGGTAGCAGGGGCATAGCATTGGTATTAATATGTCAATTTAGGTAACAACAATGCATTTCTGGCTGGTGATTATGCCTTTCAAAGTCCTACTACTCCCATCACATGTCGTGGTGTGCTCGTGGTGACGGCCAGGCCATGCTGGAGCTGGACATCTTCTTGCTGGTTGCCATAGTACCCGTCGTTCTGATCCGGCTTCTGGCCATTCGGTACGTAGTACCATCCTTGACTACCCGGCGGCGGCGGCGGCTGGGCGGAATACTGAGGAGGCGCGTAGGGGAGGGGTGGGAGCCACCGAGTGACTGTGGCACTGTGACAAAGTGTGGTCAGCAATCAGCATCAGTTGAATCGTCTAACCGGCCAGGCTCCGAAGTACAAGCCTCCGGCTACCATCAAGCAAGTTCAGGTTTCAATCCACAGCCTCGAACACTCGGGAGTTGGGACAAACACCGCAAGCAAACGTACATACCTCTACAGACACAACACGAGGCTAGGCCTCCTCCTCCTCCCTCGGGACTTCCTCCTCCCTGCCCCTGCCAAAGTTGTACCGAACCCTCCAGCCCATCCGAACCTCCATCTCGGGGCCCCACGCTAGCTTGTGGATTCTCTCCCAGTACTTTGCCGACCTCCGGATGCGAATGGTAATTATTATGCGCCTGCGGGGGCGGCACACCAGGCAAAGGTAACAAGTCTTGCAAGCCTCGCCGCCGGGCAATGCAAGGGCACCTTGCTTGACGGAGTCGGAGTGGAAGTGTGGCAGTGCAGTTGCCAACAGCTTGGCTGTTGTGATGCAGTCGATTTCGGTTGGTATGAGGATCATTGTTGCTGGATGTGACTGGATGGTGGTGTGGCTGTGGTTGTGGGTGATGGTGATGGTGATTTGGTGATGGAGGCAAGTGGGACAACAACAAAAGAAGACGAGGATGTGATGGTTTGGAGGGGTAAGACGGCTTCAAATGCTGAGCTAGCTTAAGCCGTTTTGTTATGGCGGGAAGGCTGACTGAGGTGCCAAGTCAACTCGTCGTAGCCGCGGAAGGCAAGCTTTGGGGAACAAGCCCAGCAAGCCGGTACGTACCTCCCAGACTCCCGGGCACCTTCCCTCGTGGTATATATATTAGGTCTTTGTGTGCACATTTCAACAAACAGAAAAAAGCGCGGTTGGCGTAGTGGTCTAACGCGTACACACCGAAAATGTGCGAAGGGTGTGAGTTCAATGCCAACCCGAGCACGCATGTTCGTTTTCTGGGGGGGCCCGGCAAGCCATAGTACAAAAGGCAGTGTAAGAACCCGGGTTCGAATCCCGGACCGCGCATATCTTTTTCTTCTTCTTTTTTCCCATGATGTTGAAGCTGGTGTTGTTCTTTTTTTGGCTGTTGGTCGCTCGGGGATCTGTTGTGGTCGTGTGCGGCCTGTTTGTTCTCGACTACGAGTCTGGGAACGTCGGGACAGTCGGATTTGTTCTTTGGATGCGAGATATGCCTTCTCTTTTCTCTGCCGTCTACCTACTGTTTGGTTGTACGGCATTTTATTCAGATAAGACTCGCGGCTTCAAGTTTCAACTCTCTTGAGATCGTCACTAGCAGTATCACAGTCCGCCTGGTTCAAACCATCATCCCATGCAGTCAAGTTGGAAGATTTGTCGATGCATTTGCCTCAGTGGACCGATTAACCTTACTTTCTCTATTCACAGAGGTAAACTTTGGAAGGCTGAAGTCGGTAATGTGTTTCCCGTTTGACACCTAGGCCTACCTATTCTTGGTATTCTCATTTGGCTCATCTGGTTGGAAGTAGAGGTATCTCAAATCCCGACGCTCCATGATATCCTGAAAACCGTTCGGTGAGGGTGCAGTGCTGGGCACCGAGTCTTCAGTTGCTCCTGTGCTACCTCTTTGCCCATGATTTTTAGCTGACAAGACTCTTAAACTCATGGTCCCTTCCTCTACAAGTTGGGCTCAGGTTGTAGCTCAACATCCTCAAGTCCATCTCCGCCACGCACCAGCTGCTTGTCAGCCTTTCAAAACTCGGACAAGTGGACTTCCATGGAGTTTGCATGCACGAGACGAAAGGCAGAGGTATGACCACGAGGGAAAGAATGCCACAGCTGTTTCGAAGAGGGACAGTAGACGAGTGCCAGGAAGCACGGATGATAGCTCAAGTGAAGGCGGTAGCGAACATGGAGGAGATTGTGTAGCGTGATGAGGGATTGATTTACACGCGTGCTTCTATGGCTATGGCTATGTACATGTGGATTCCATGCAAGATCGTTTCCTTGCATCTGCAGAAGCCGACTGTTGTCCTTGCAGTCCAAATGACTGTGATCCACCACTGATCCGGAGTCAGAAGCGGGCCAACGCTGGATTGGTGTCTTCATTGGGTCTATGAACAACTTGTGGTCGATAGCAATCCAACCAGTGATGGCGTGTGCCTGGATGTCATGTAGGTGGCGGTGATGTTTGTTTTTTCTTGGCCGATGACTGGACGGGAGGCAGAGGCTTGTCGCAACGGCGAGAGCCAACACCAGCGACCGACAGTGGAGTCTGTGGCTCGTCATCGTTAGCGGTGGTACAGTTTTGAAGTTGGAACTGGAAACTTACAATCCGGTGCCACAACTCCTGCGAGTCCGTGAACACTCGCACCTCAGATGTGGGATGACAGTGCTGGCTCATCAAACGGATGACAAGCAGTGTGAGTTGGGTGAACATTTGCAATAGGCCCAGGCGCAATGTTCTCCGGAAGGTAGCCTCGGGAGTGATGGGCTCGTTCATCACCGACATTGGCTCCGATGCCTCCCTTTGAGCTTGAACTTGCTGCTGTTGGAGGCTGGAAGAGGCGACAACGAACAGGGCTTGATTCTGGAGTTGTCTAACGGAAGAGGAGAAACGGAAACCAGGGCAGCCTAAATACCTGGAAGGGCACCAGTGAATGGGCGACCCAGGGCACGGACTTCCAACAGCTGCTGATGTTGCTCGAGCGAAGAAGCGAGGATAGCAGGGTCGGTGTAGGACTCGTAAGAGTCAGCAGGGGAGGCAGCCAGCGAGCGCCTCGAGAAGCAGTTTTGGGTCGAGAGGAACAAGGAGAATGTCCTGGAGAAAGCCAAGGCCACACGGGACCGCGTTCTTGGGAGAAGCAGCGGAGATCTGGAGCGGCACGAGCGAGGCCCAGGGGGCGGACTCTGGTGCAGTGTCAGTCATCTCAATTCTCGACTCGGGATGAATGGTCTACTCGACGTACGAATCAAGTGTCCGCCCCCTGAGAAGATTCTCTCTAGCCTTCCTGTTCTTCTCCTGCTTGGCCAGCTCGGCGAGAGCCTCCTTGCTGAGATTGGGGTCTCGAAAGAGCTTGGCTTGGAAGGATGAGGAAGTTCCAGAGTTTCATGGTCACAAGCCTAAGGCTGATGTGTGTGGTCGATAATGGTGGGGTTCTTGTCCTGCTCACAGACCAGTTCCCATGGTTAGATCACGGTGGGGATGTCTGCTGGTTTGACGAGCAAAGAAGACATACCTGGAGTTGCTGAGTGCCCTGGAGGGCGTCAGTTGGCATAACCAAGGTTCCGACCCAGGATGAAACTGAAGGGAGAAGGGGGGGCAGCTCGGTGTGACTGAGATTGCTGCTGCTGCCCCCCCTTCGTCTCGTGTTATCTTGTCCTTCGTGCTATCGTCAAGGCGAAGAAGGTCAAGTTTGCTTGGCCCAAGAAGAAGAAGGTCCTGTCGGACTGGACAGTTGATGTCGGTTTTGCCATTTGGGTGCAGGTGGTTGTGTGTTGAGGTGGTGGTGAGGGGTTGTGATGGAGGAAGAGAAACGGAAGAACACCAGAGGACGACGAGGATTTTGAACGAGGGTGTACAAGCCAGATTCCCCTCGGCAGACCAAGAGGTCACGTCTGGGGTTACTAGCCCTAACTCCCGCTCACCAGCCTTCCAACCGTGAAACAAATGGAAGGCGGGGAACCCACTGCAGCCACGGGACCTCAAGGAGAATCTCAACGGAGCAGGAGCAGCCTGGCCCTGGGCAGCAGACCGGTAGAGGTACCTAGGTACCACTAGGTACGCACACTCCTCTTCCCAAGGCAGCTATCCGGGCTCCTTCCCTCGGGGTATATGTATTAGGTCTTTGTGCACACCTTCCAACAAAAACCAACGTGCGGTTGGCGCAGTGGTCAGCGCGTTCACTCTCAAGCTGGGGTTTTCAGGGGCATCTATGGAGGGGTGGCAGACTCCATACTGAAAACCGGACACCAGGTGGCCGTGAAAGGACCCGGGTTCGAATCCCGGACCGCACACATCTCTTTTTTCTGTCTCTTCTCAATGTTTTCTTTTTGCCGTTTGTTTTGTTTTACCTTGTGAGCCTTCCCTCTCCTTGTGGTTCTACGTCTCTCTGCGCTGTGTGATGGCTCGGGCACCAGTGGCTTTTTGGTGACACCTGCTTGCCTATCACCCAGAATCTTGCCTTCCAAAGAGAGACCTCAAACATCTCCTAGTCGAAGTCGCAGCCACTGCACTCGCGTCTTCAGAGAGACCAAAGTGACGCAGAATCCCACCTACCTCATGGCAGGAACTGGCTTGACGGGCGTGCCTAACGACGACTTTAGGGAGGACAACACACGGCATAGGGAGCGATTGTGGAAGGAGTGGCAGTGGGGGGAGTCACAGGAGCAGGAACGAGATGGACTTGACGCAGCGGAAATGGACGTTGCACATCGTCCAAGTGAAGATTCTCTTTCGCTGGTTTCCGAAGGAGGTGAAGGAGACTGCCGCCGCTCGTAGATAGAGAAGCCCAAGGCCAAGGCAATAACACGAAGCCCAAATTATCAACAACGTGAGATTCTCTAGCAGGCTGGCAAACATGTGTTCTCGCTGCTGGACATGCACATGTTCAGAATTGGATTGGTGAGGCCAAGGCGAGTCGTTACGTCTCGATCACTGGCCAACCTGACTAAAAGATTTCACGAGGACACTTGCAAATTTTGGAACAAAATTCAGGGAGTAGACACCCATGATCTCTTTGTTCATCACCTCGTTATCGAAGACAAGATTCTCGCGGTTTCGAGCAAGATGACGACCGCTTTACACTTTGTCAGCTACGGAACTAGATACATCATCACCGCCAAACAAAACTACATTGCCAGGAGCAGCACCACCGTCGCCCTCAGCCATGGACTTGTAAAGCCATTGACATTAAGATCCGCTTACAGCAGAAGCACCGCGCTCCCAGAGTCGAGCTGCGAGTGTTGACGGACTCGCAGGAGTGTTGGCACCTGCTTGGTACCTCTAAGGGGCTAAACCAGAGACTTGAAAGATTCCACTTCTCTTACAGGCACACCGAGCCCATTCGGCGAGCTGTCGTCTGGTTGTCACACCGTCTGGGGATCATGGGCGGTGAGCTGGAAGTGAGTGAGTGCGTCGGAATCCTCGGAGATGTGCTCGGCTCTGGTACCTCTGATCACTGAAACGGGAAGGAAGATGAGGGGCAAACCAGCGGACCAAGCACCGCGCCTTCCATTTGGTACGCGCGAGAAATCTTCGCGTGTGGGAATTGGTCACAGACAGCAACCGGCAAGACAGACATGGGAGTGCAAACACAGAGCTTGAGCATGGAAGTTTACAACAAGGAAGATCACATCGAGCGTCACATTGGTCAAAATCAGGATGAGCATGGCGAAGAAACTTTACATTTGTCGAAGTGAACGGAGTGAACGAAGACAAGAACAAGAACACCAAACACCGCCCTGTTAGCAAAAAGTTGTTGGAAAAAAACCGCGCGCAAGTTGTTCTCCCTCCTCCAACCTTACGACTTTCTGTTTCCCTGAACCATCATTGGGGAGAGGCATACAACCCTTCAAGAAAATTGTTCCTCCACCCCCCCCCCCCCTCCGGAAGATCTCTTCTTCCCTCCACCCCTTTCCCCCCAGACAACACCCCTCCAGCTCAGACTGGGTAGTGTCGAAGTGCTTTATGTACGCGTTGTGCCGGCCCCGCGATTTGTGGGGATATCAGCAAGCGGAATCTCGTCGCTCTCTGGGTTGGGTTCTCGGCGCGAGAACAATCTTTGTAGGCGCGGGGAACGGCGGGGAGCTGTGACAGGACAAACGCGTTAGTGACCAAGTTGCGACAGAAGTGAAGGTGTTACGAGGAAGGAAGAATTGAATGGAATGAAGTCAATAAAGCAGCAAGAATCCAGAAGTGTACTCATCAGATGCATTTTCTACATCCATATTCTGCCCCCGCGGCGCCCCCCTCTCTCTTAACCACATGACGACGTGGAGTGCAGTCATTACGATGATGACGGTGGTGAAGACCACCAGGCAAATGAGTGCGGCCACCTTGACGATGTCGTCGGCGTTACTGGTATTGGTGGAGTCCATGTTGATGTCTTGTTTGTGCTTGACTTGGAGGCTTGAAGCTTGTGGTGTGATGCGAGAAGTGACGAAGGTGTGAATGGGGGGAAAAGAGAAGAAGAAAGATTTGCCCCGCGTTGAAGATTTGGGAAGCTTTATACCTCCCCAGGGGCAGGTACGTAACGAGTGCAAATTTGGACAAGTGTCAGACAGTTGGAAGACAAGACGGAAACAAAGACTGCCAGTGGCAAGACAGGAGGAAAGCTGGCAGACTGAACAGGAAAGACTTCGGCTGGCAGGAACGACAGGACCGAAAGATCAGACGACGGGACCGAAGTTGCCAAGCTCCCAAGCTTGCCCGTCTTCCAGAGCGGCAGTCACCAGAACGATGACCAGTGGAGGTATGTAGAGGTACGAAGGCGGGGGCAAGAGCAAAAGATCACACGACGGGACCGAAGCTGTCACGCTCCCCGCTCTCAAGGTTGCCCGTCTTCAGAGAAGTCACTACACGAAGGCCAGAGCCACAGCCAATAATGGCGTGCGTGTCTGCTATCTTCCTTCTTCCTTCCTTCCCTCTCAACTCTTGACATGTCTTTCTGCCTCTGCTAGCCGAATGACTGCCAGTTGCACGACAGAAGGAAGGCAAAAGGTGGCATTGTGGACGGAAGGAAAGACTTCGGCTGGCAGGAAGAGAAGAGTAATGGGACAGTGGCAAGAGCGAAGGATCAGACGACGGGACCGAAGCTTTCAGGCCCCCGTCCAAAACTTCCTGCTTCTTGCCCACAAGAGCAGTCACTAGAGCGAGGGTACAGCCAGTAGAGGTACCTCCGTACCTACCTACCTCCTTCCCTCTTACTTCTCTCCTTCCCTCCATCCCGAGCTTCAACCTGCCTGCCCTCTACCCCGCCTCTGCCCCTCTGCCTGCCACTACCAGCTGGCTTCACTTGCCTCCCGAGTCCCGTCACCTCGGGTAGATAAGGTACCTCTTTGGGTCCCGTTTCCAACAAGAAAAAAAGCGCGGTTGGCGTAGTGGTATAGCGCGTCACTCGATTCAAGTATTCGGGTTGAAATCCCCGACGAATCAAAGTCAAAGACCGAGTTTCAGAGGGCAATCAGAAAAAAGATCTCCTGTTGAAGACCCGGGTTCGAATCCCGGACCGCGCATATTTTTTTTCTGGTTTTGCTTTCTTCCTCTTCGTCTTGTGCCTTTTATTTTGATGGTCTGTTGGACCTTTTGCCTTTGGTGAACTCTGCGTGGGGTTGTGAGACTTGAGTTTGAGCGTCCACGCTGGACCTCTCGCCTTTGACTCTGTGCCGTTACTTGGGAGACCGAGGATACCGCTAGTGTTGAAGAAGGTTGCTGAACTGAGGTGGCTTGAACCGACCTATGGATGCAGTTGTGTGTTTATATCATATCTCTTGACTGTCGAGCACTTCTCGCCCTCTTTCCTCTTTCTTTCCATGCTTCAAGCAGTTTCCCGTCACTTTACCTCTTACCATACATCTATATCTTCAACACACACAGTAGTATTCATATCTTAGTTCACTCCGTCGCGGGATAACTCCGGGTTCGATGATCAACTGATTCCATAGGGCTACCGCTTGCACAGTCACTTCTTCTTTCCGGAACGCGGAGGTTGGGGATGGTAACTCCAATGCCGAAACAACATCACTTAACCTCAAAAGCTCGCGCATGAAAGTTTCCAGCCTCGTTCTCAACTTCGATCAAACTCCATATATGTCTTCCCGTTCTCTGCCTCTACTTGAAATCCTTTCAACCTGTTGGCTCTACCACCATACGTCTACGACACAAGCAAGCAGTGTCCCGGAAGTACAATCAATTTGAAGAACTTGTGTGGACAGACTGAAGGCCAAGACACCGTCCAACAGCTTGACTACCGAAAATGAGCAGGGCTCGGAACAGGTGCTGTTTGTAGACTCAGTGAGCATGTTACTTTTTTGCTTGCCTCTACGATGTCAGCTTTCAACTTCATCCACCGAGTTCGAGTTCGTCTTTTAACGACACGACGTAGGAAGGTCTGGAATCCATTACTATAGTCTATCCTCTGGTCATTCCGCTGTTCAATCCCATGGCCGAACATTCACGAGTAAGTGTCTACTTGTGCTATTCTTGCCCAAAAACCTTCTGCATGTTTGAAGAGAGCAATGGATTAGTGATTGAGTGGGAAAGAACCCTATCTCCGTGCTGTGAAGATAAACATCTGAGGAGTCATGGCCAGGTGATACCAGCAGAGGTTGATGAGCAGTGGTTCTCAAGTTTCTCAACTCTCAAGGCCAAGTGCGAAGGTCAAACTTCACAACATGAGACACCAGCAAGTCAAACTCATGAGGATGGTATGCTCGTAGAACATGCAGGCAACTCCAATCGTAGAGGTAATCAACCAGCCTCTCAAACTGGCGTATGACCTGGTACCGGAGAACTTCAACAGTCTCGTCATCCACCAAAAGACAAGACACTCGACAGCGACAACCTTCACTGCTAGAAATAGAAGCCATTGCGGCAATGATGACTGTTTTTACCTCCTCGGAAACATTCCATCCGTAGTGCCTCTGCGAACGGAAGAGGAAAGATGCCTCTACAGTTGGCAAAGCGGACATGGGAGTGAAGATGATTGTATGTGCAAGATGTTGATAGTCAAACTCATCGCCCACCCGGCAAAGCCAGGGCCGAGATTTAATGCTGTTACTTCCCCTTGTATCGGCTACACACCTCAATGTAACTTCGCCAGTGTGGCCACTAGAGACAGACGATGGTCAATTTACCAGTCTTAGGTGCTCGAAGTGTGCACGCTCTGTCGAGGCTAACTGACATAGAGCGTACGCTGGTAAGCATGCGCGAGGGGGATGATGATCATGAATCATGTGCTCGAGGTATACGAAGTCATGCGTGCATCAATGAATTCAAAGGCGACAGTCTGCTTCAACACTCTCTGTTTTCTCTATCTACCTCCTCTCTCTACCTCCCCCCTCTACCTCCTCTTCTCGGCGATCAAGCCAAGGTTAGGGACACGACGGAAAATTCGATCGAGTTCCTCTGGCGCTCCCCCACCTTCTGATCTCTTCGGCGGGCTACGCCCGCGGGCACCTATCACAACAAATGGTCAGCATTCGTCATTGTACTACAACCACAGCAAAAGAAGACATTGTATGGAAACAAGCAAACACACATACCTCTACTATTAATATTTTTCTGTTAGCACAGGTCGCGGCCGTTGCTATTGTGGTGGCTGGCGACTCTGCCACTAGCAACTCTGCTAGCGTGCTGGTGGTGACGTCCAGGGGCCCCCCCGACCCCCCGTAGTGAGTTGCGTAAGTTTGGACAGGCGCGGGAGGGGGGGGCCGGAGGGGGGGGCCGGGGGAGGCGCTCACAGCTGCTGGGTGCCACGTGTGCTACGTCCCGGGGCCGCCTTCTCCCGACAGTAACGGATGTGATTCTCGTAACATTCGATCAGGATCTGTCTGTCGATGAGCGCTGCTCGTCCCGCTCATGCGGCTGTCACCAAGCAGATTGCACGAAGTATATTGGCTGCTGACAAGGAAGTCATCGCCGGCCTCGGCGGCGGTCGAAGTTCTCATGCTTCTAAGAGCAGGCTTTGGCGAGTTCGGCCTCTGGGGCAACGTTCCCGGTAACGCGCCGGTGGGATGTGGCTTCAGTGGCAGCCCAACTGGCAGTCCAGTGGTGTGCTGTTGGAAGCACCCCGGCCCCCATGTTGAAGGAAGTTTGGGGTGGGGGCCGGGCGACAGTCCTTATTATTGGAAAGACCGTCGATGAACATAGGAAAGGGAGGAACCTCGCCAAACCTTGCATGAAACCGTTTCACGAGATGATGGATCGTGACGAAGACCCTGATACTGCCTGGCACTTGGCTGGCCATACTTTCCTTCGCAGGACTAGCCCGGAGCATTTCATGCAGATGGTCGGTCAGATGCCGAAGGTGCTTATAGTCGTCTGGAATAGATCTCAGGGTACCCAGAATGTCCGAATGCGGAAAAGGCTGCAACGGACGGTGTACGAGAGAGATCCGGAGGAGAAGGATGCAGGGAAGTTCGAGTGGAGGGAGGAGCATTGGAGGAGGATGTTGAGGAGGAAGAGATTGTCGAGAAGAGTGGCTACTGCCAAGGGGATTCGAGTGGCTGGTTTATGGGAATGTCAGACTTTTGTTGCTTGCGATCTTGGCAGATCCACGAACAAACGACAAGAAAGTGAAAGGAAAGTGCCACTCACGCTTTGTGTTCTTTACGGGCGAGGGAGCCCCTTGGGCTTGGGGGTGCTAGTCACATAAACTTGGAGAGCGGCCTTGCGGATGACCGCATAGGCTGGGAGAGGGAAGGGGCCCGGGGCACGGGAAGTCTGGTGCTGGGGCCGGGTGGTCACCACCGCATGGATCGCGGTGTCCGCGGTGGATGCGATGGGCTGGGCCGGATGAGGGAACGGGCCGGGACAGGTGGTGCCGGTGGTGTGATGCTTCTTCGTTTGCTCGTGGTGAGCTTGCTGCTGCTGCTGTTATTGTCAGTTGAAATGCTCGGATGGAGTCATGTTGCATTCACCCTGGAGTGAAAGCAAAGTGACCTCCCTGGATCACCCACGGTGGTGACGACGCGGGTGTCCTTGAAGAAGCTTACTACCTCATAGAAGGAAGTTTCGTGCGTGATAGGAATGATCTTGTGCCGAAGGAGATGGAGGTATGCGGTGGAAGGAGAGTCAAGGTGAGGGGCCGCGATCAGGACGATCTGAGATTGTCTCACGGTCGCGCGGTGTTGTGGAAGGAAGAGGTGGAAGACCGTATCGCAATGAAGGGAAGTTGAACTGAAGACTTACTGGCGAGGACATCTTGTTGTAGTTGTGATGAAGAAGCTTTTGGAGCTTGTTCTTGCGAAGCTTGTTGGTTGTGATTGTGATGAGTGAGGACTTGTGTTCGTGGTGATGGTTGAAGAAGTGAAGGAGGAAAGGAAGAGGACGGGAAGAAAGTGGGAGCAAGAAGAAGAGGGTTTTGAAGCCCCGCGGGGGACTCACAACCCGTCTCAACTTGCGAGGCCCGAGACAGGGCAACAGCACGGCTGCCTGCCAGAATTTGATCGTCCAAAGTCTGTGGGCGGGTGACCAAACTCGAAGAGAAAACAGGAAGGAACGAGGAGTATGGTGCCCACGCTGCCAGGTCTCAGCGGCGGGCAGAGATACATACCCTGTCCTCGAGGTATATAGGTCAGTCGTCCGTGCCTTCTGTTCAACAAAAAGCGCGGTTGGCGTAGTGGTTAACGCATCCACAAAGTTCGAGACCATGCGGGTTGAAATCCCCGCCGAACCACTTTCAAAGACCGATTTTGGGGGAACAAATGGAAAAGATCAAGAATGTGGAAGACCCAGGTTCGACTCCTGGACTGCGCAGCCATTTTTTGGTGTTTTCCTGCCATCTTCTTTTGCCGGCTAGGGCCCTGTATTTCTTTCCTCTAGAGGCCGGGCGATCTCTTGCGGAGATGGAGTCGATTTGGATGCGTCACTTGGGAGAACGTTGGCGCCAGGCACTGGCTGTTTTGACTTCGCCAACGCCTTTTGAGAGTTTGAGGTACTATTAACCTAGAGGTACGCAAGATGAGTGATTGTGACTGTGTAGTCTGTGTATGCCTGTTTCTATGGCAAAGAAGAACAGTGAGACAGCTGATATTTGCAAGATATGGTGAGATTCAGAAGCAGGCTTATGACACTCGAGTTCCCCTCCTGTGCATAGAGGTATTCATTGCACGATGTATGAACTTGATGCTGGTTTTGTATCAAATCCACAAGACTTACACTTACCACTCTCGCCGACGCCCTCCTTCAAACAAAGAGTGTTCCACCAGACACTAGCAATTCCTATCTCGTCGAGAGCCTCTGCCACTAGGACTTGATAATCTTGCTCCTCCACGATCGCCTATGGTACAGATTCAACGTCTTGATGCCATGTGGCTTTTGGTTATTTCTCTCTGCTTGCTTGCTTTGGTCTTTGAATCACCTTGTTAGGGAAGCAGCACTGGTTTTCCACTCGTTTCCTTCTCGTTTTGAACTAATTCCTATCATACATCACTGTCGTTGAGTGATGTTGTCCGTCAAGGGCGACGTCGATTCCAAGGTCTGGCATATTTCCTCACAGGCTTCCGGAGCCGGCAATTTTCGAACTGCAAGACAGTCGACCTCTTGATTCTGATTATCTCCTTGGCTGTTCCTTCTGCGTCCAGACAAAGTTGAACTTCGACAAAAATGCTGGCCGCTCATCAACCGGCCTCATGTTATCCCACGACAAATAACCGCGAAGAGTTCAACCCCGGAGCCTAGAAAGAACAAGAGGTTGATAAGCATGGGCACGAAGGCCCAGAGAGGCAGTCGGCGGTGTCAGCGGTGGCTTCGGTGTCAGCGGTGGCTTCGGTGTCTTCGGTGGCTGCTTTGGTGGTTGGTGGTTTCCTCGGTGTGTGTGGCATATGCGGCTCAACCTCCTCAAAACCAGAACAGCCTCCAACTCCGACCAATCATTATTGGCGTTGGGTGTGAGACTGGATTCGGGCCAGTTGGCCAGGGAGGCTCACACCTAGTCTGTACTTCCAGATGTGTTGAGTAAGATTTGGACAAAGATTGGCCGGAATCACAGCACGAGGAGGGAAGATGGTCGCAGCGCCATCTTGATCTTCCCGTGCACATCAGGAATGGCATCCTACCTAGACAAGCCGAACGATGCTAGCTTCCAACGAGCTGATACGAGAAAGCGGAGGATGAACGTTGTTGTCGTCGATAAAATGGGGGAAGAGACCAGCTCCGAAATTCATCAGGGGGATGACGGTTGGCAATTAACAGCTGGAGTTTACACTACCTCAACGTATACCGTCTGTCAAACGAGTAAAGCGGTGATGAGCAAGGGCTCCTGCTGTACGTAGAGGTATGAAACGGAAAGTTTTAGGATGAACGTTGGTGTCAGTTCTTGCAAGGTGGGATATCGAGAAGGTGTTCATTGTCTGTCGTGTTGTCCGATGGAGTCGTGATAACTTGATACAACTTCAACATCAAGACCTTATCACTGACGTCAACTCTCCAGTCCCCCCGGCTTTATCATGACTCCACCGTTCTCCAGCAAGTGGAACATTTTATATCCTGCTGCACTGACAGATAAACCAAGTGGACATCGTCTCCCTCCTTAGGTGTCAAGTTATGACGGCTTCACAAACCCGTTCGAACGATTTGATAAAAAACAATGTAACACAGAGATAAGGGTCCGCGTCAAATCCGTGCAACATGAAATGAATCATGTCCAGTCTATTTGCAGTGGAGTCTAACGCAGCATATTTAGAACCACAGCTGCCCAAAAAAGGGGGCGCTATCCAAAATACCCCCTGTCCATCTATCTTCCTTCTATCCGATAATCCGAAGCATCCGAGCTTCCCCAAACCCAAGTGTGAAAAAAGATGAATGCCGGATGCAAAAATGAAAATGCTCGCGTAAATGCGTGATTGATCGCCGAACTCCATATGAAACCTGAAAAAAAAAAAAAAAAAAAAAAAAAAAGGAAACCATTAAGAAAATGGGGCCAGTCTGTGGCCGTAATCCGTAATCAAGCAGCAAGAAGACCTGGGTATATCCTCAGAGTGTGTCTTCTTACTCCACCAGATCCCGGATGGAAGGGGAAAGGAAACAAAGAGGCTGGTGGTCCACTGAGTCTTCTCCAAGCCGGGAAAGAAGGGACAGTCGCGCGTGCCTTTGCGTCTTCAACAAGGTATCTCCATTGTGGCGTTGGATGTTTAGTGAGTCTCCTTGCTGATAACCTCCTCACGCTCCAGACCAGCTGGCCTGATAACAGAGAGGTGCTTGGGGAAGGCCTTGACGACTCCGCTACCGGGACACTCCATGAAGGGGTTGGGGTCGGCGACCTGATCGAGGTTGCCGAAAGTGTGGTTGACGCCACGGTGGGAAGCCTCATCAGCCTGTGATATGTTAGCATAGAACAAGCTTGCAGAAGTGGTGACGAAACGTACTCTAACGTAGAGGATGAGATCCTTCATGGTTCTGTGACCCTCGGGCATGTTCCAGTAGCGGACAGCAATGTCGGGGATGCGGAACTTGGGGTCGGACCACTTCTTGAGGTAGCCATGGTCCATCTCAAGCAAGCAGCGGGTGTAAGTATGAACAGCCTCTTCCTCGAGGTAGCCGACGAAGCGGTGGCAAATCTTGGGAGAGAAGAGGTACGAGATGAACATGGCGTTGTAGAAGACGCCCTGGGCACCGAGCACGACGAGTCTCATGAACCAGCCGGGCTTGTACATCTCGAGAAAGGTGAGGAGGTGCATCCTCTCGTTGTAGGACTCCTCAAGAAGAGACTTGATCCAGCCATGGTCAGGCTTGAAACGGCGAATGGACTGGAGATGGCGCAAGTTACCGGCGACCATGCCAGGAACACCAGCAATAGACTCGAGGAAGATGAAGCGGACGAGCTAGTGTCGTTAGCAGGGCACGAGGTCAGATAGTCGGGGATGAAACCTACCCATTGGCGCTCAGTCAGGGGCTTGTTGGCAGCCAAAGCAGTTGTGGGATTCTTCGAGTCGACCTGCTGCTCAGGACGCATGCCCGTGACGAGATCCATCCAGAATCTGGGGAGCATCTGTTAACAATGAACGACCAGAAGTTTTCGACGTCTAACGTACCTGCAAGTGCGGACAATCTTCCAGGCAATCCAGTCACCGAAAGTCCTAGGCTTACGATGGCTGGGAACAACGTTCAAGAGAACATTCTCATTCCAACCCTCGTGGGGCCACGTGAGCGGCAGAGTAGCAAAGGCATTTCCATCCCTAACCTCCGAAGCGGCAGGAAGAACAGAAGAGACAGGGCCGGTAGGAATGGCGGCAACAGGCTTGTTGGCGTTGTTGCTTGTCGAGATGGCGCGAGGATAACGGAGAGCAGCGTAGCCGACAAGAGGTGCGGGAGTGAAGAAGGACGAACCAGCAGACGTTACGCCCTTAGTCAAGAGCCGAAGCTTGGAGCGGTCTGGGAGACGATGAGCCATGGTTGCTGATGCTGTGAGTTTGCGACAGAAGAACGAACGACTGTGATTCAGATGACGTCTCACACTTTCAAGCATTCAAGGGATATCACGAGGTAGGGGGACGAGGCAGAAGAACCTTTATACAGACGAGTCATGACCGAAGCACTGGGCAGCTCCATCAGACAGAAGATTCGTATACACTTGGATACTATGAATCGCGACGCGATGGAGCTATGACGAACGTAGGGCACACCCGAGGATCGCCGTGGCGGAGGGTGTGTGGGAACGAAAAGAGGCCGGATTGGGACTTGATTCATGAACACTGGATCGCATGCGGAAACCCGAGAGGACGAGATGAACGGTCAGAGTTCTGTGTTTCCTTTGATACCGCTAACGAACGAAGGGCCTTGTTCCGGTGTTCCATAGCTTCCCTTGTCCCTATCATATGGGTTATTCTGGGAAACATGCTCCATGACTTGGGAGGGGTCATCGGTGTTGGCGGCGGTCGAAGAACATGCTGATATGTACCAGGGCAACGAAGCCGTGACTGTTTCGAGGGTAGATCTCCTCCCATGATCAACGGCCAACGATCTTGGTGTCTCGGGAGTGGTGACTGGTGGTGCAGGTGGTTTCCAGAAGGTTGGGCTCGCTGAAACATGTGACAGTCGATTGGTCAAAGCTTGTGAAGGGGTCAGCAAACAGCGTTTGACACTTGACTTGGCTTGTGGTTGGAGCCCGGAATGTTCGGGACTAAATCGGGAGTATGGAAGGAGTGGAACGGGTGGAGGAGGGAAAGGGATGACCCATGTGAATGTCCCGGGACGACGACAACCTCGCATGGCGATCATCGTCATCTTGACATTGTATTCAGCCGCAGAGCTTGGCATGATTTTGATGTCTTGAAAGGGCTGAGCCATCTGATGTTGAGCGTCAGAGTGTTTCCTCGTGAAAGAAGCAAAGATGGTTGAAGATGTTGGTACACATGGTCATGTTCTGCGCCTTTGACTTCCCAAGTCTCGACTTCTGACAGATTGCAGGGTAGTCAGTCCTCTGTTGGCAGTTGTCTACCCTGACATTTGGAAAATGAACGTCGGGAGGTCTCGGAACAACGGAAGAGACGTGGCTGGCGCCCCCTGAGTCAACAGCGAGCTCGCGTCCTCATGGCAGCGAGAACAGCGCGCCCTCGCTATTTTCCGCTTTGTTCCGGTCAGCAATCTTGGAGATCCATCCGCCACAGTTGTCAATGTGGAATGCGACAAGAATGGAACAGAGGGTGGAATGACGGGACGAGAAAGGAGAGATGAAATGTACAAAGTTGGTCGAGAATCTCCGACACTTTGATTGCGATTGTGATGGCGATTGCGAAAAGGAACAATAAAGACAAAGACTGTTTGTCCTCCAGCGGCTCAACTTGGAAGGACCAGAGGTTGCCAGAAAATTGTGTCATCATTCCTTGGCAGCTCCTTCTCCATCGCAAATGAACATGGAATTGTTGTTGCCAAAAAGTTCGTGATGCGTTCGTTGTTCGCACTTTCTTTGCCAGCCGAACCCCTCCGAAAAGCCCCACTATTTGCCGGCTGTCCCTGGCATTGGCGATAACTCTATTTGTTCCGCGCTTATCCATTGGTCGATGCGGTTGGCACTATATCCACCTGGTCCGTGCTGAGAACATCAAGTTTCGAAACCCGAACACAGTCCGCGACATCCACCAGCAGGACACTTCTTGACCGCGATTATGACTCTTTCACAGTTTGCGAACCTTCCATGACTCCAAGCCACGATCAAGAATCCATACGTATCTCGTAGGGCTGAGAAGAGTGGTCTGATTAGATCCTGCTTCGTCAGCGTCGGTGACTGAGCGCTCGTCACATGAACTCCTTTTACACAATGAGCAATCTACACCAAGTACTGTCAACGATGACTCTTCGCGGTCAGGTTCGGGCTCGAGACGGTCACAGCGGAGTCCGGACAGCCAGAAGCTCACCGTGAACCATCACGTGCCACCCCCTCATCTTCCTTTCGTCTCTTCTCGAGGTCGACCTTCGGGACCGAGGACTAGCCGCCAAGGTGCTCACAGAGATAAGAAAGCTCTTGGCAGCACTTTTGAGGCATCTTAACTCGCCAAAATGGGTCACGATAGGTCATTTGGTGGATAACTTGCTCATCCCGAAACAGTAACGGCTAACAAATGTTAGGCTACTCACGATATCGGAGGCGATGACGCAAACCTTCACCAGAGGGCATGGCTGCCTGGGAGTATAAGTGTTGGGGGTTTGATAGCCTGAAACTTCTTCCTGTTCACGATCCTTCGCCTTGTTTACTTCACGATCTTCCTCGGACACAACCTTCGCACTATCGTCAGCTCACTAGAAACCACCATATCACCAGAGCATCCATTGGATCCCAACTGACCAACACGTCACAAACCTCACCGGCTACATGCAAAAAGCCTTCACTCAAGATGTTTTTCATCGCCGCTATCCGCAACTGGAGGGTTGACCCGCGCCGTGTCAAAGACGAAGCCATCCGCATGTTGAGGATCTTGACCGGGTCGATATAGACAGACCGTCTCCGACTCCATCAGCGCGCCGGCCCTTCCTACCCAGTAGTGCAGTCCGTTTTGTCTAGTGGCAAATCGACCATCAATGATTCTTCTTCAGGAACGTCAAGTCAACCACCTCTCCAGAGTACTGATTCAGCCGATTATCATATCATGGCGGAAAAAAAAGAGCGAAAAAAAAAAGTCATCCATCAACCGGCTACACTACACCACATCCTCGGCCTTTCAAACCCCCAACATCCCCATCGGACTCTGCACCAAACAACGGCTCTCTGGTCACCACAATCACCATCAAACACGTCAACAAGACAACTAGCGTACTCGCGGCTTAACAACACTGATGACACCGACAAAGGAGTCATCAACATGGGTGATCAGGAACGTGTGGTGCAGATGCTCGGAAAGGTTACGGCATGGGCGGGAATGATTGCGTGGGGTTGAGGGTCGAAATCAAAAGTGCGTGGTGGATGGTAAATGACAAGGAAGAAGTTTGCGGGCTTCGGGAAGATTGCGACAATGACTGAGGAAGGGAAAAGGGTACAACGTCTGGAGGTGGATTGTCTTGGTTTGCGCTTGATGGCCGGGGAAATGGGTTGGTTGATAACGTTGATGGAGCTGGAACGTTAGATTTGCTGGCTAGGAATGACATTGGGGCTTTGTCCTTTGATGGGATCGGGATGGAAGAATCTGAAAAAGCCGATATCTGGGGAGGCTGATGTAGTTTGTTCAGCAAACGACATCACCGGCTTCAAAAGGCAAAGCATGAAGAAAAACTCTTCGCCACCAGAAGGGTAGGTAAACATGAGTCACAGGAAATCAGAGACCGCAGTCATTTTCACCTCAAACTTGTGCTGTCGTCGATGTCTGAAGCCAGCCGCATACGCTCCTGGCGTCAACTGCTACACCCCCTTCATCCTTCATGCACTGCACGCGGTGAAGATGGTGTGCTGGTTCGATCGCAAAATGTGCAGACGGGAATCTAGCGGCTTAAATGCCAGAACACGCTCACATGAAAAGAGAAGTGACAGAAAATACCTAGTGCGTGTCCCAGGTAGGGAAAGGGTGGGCGGGAGATCGTTGGACAGGATGCCGATTGTCGATGTTGTAAGCGCCGACTTTGCAGCTATTTTGGGCGATGGAGCTTCCCGCGGCCGACGATCGCGGGAAGCGCTGTAACTTTGCGGTTTTTAGGCGGTTGCACGGTGATGGATTGCCGCCCAGCTTGTGAGACCAAGGTACAACGAAAGTACACAGATTGAGGAAAATGTTTCTTGCAAAAGGTCACAAACATTAAAAGCATAGCTTTGCAGTCCTCCTCGTCGACCAGAGCATTTTTGATCCCTCTTACTTGATGTCAAGTGTTGCGAAATGGCGACAGCAATTCGTTCGACATCTAAATGCCAAGCATTGACGGACGGCTGCCGACCCAACCTTGCCAGCTCTGACAGCCCACTTCCACAGCTGTCAGCCGTGGCTTGCCCCTCCCAGATGTGGCGCGATGGTGGCTGTTTTGCTGTAAGCGCTCGGACCTTTTGGCTGCCGACGGACGCAACTCCAAACTTTGGAGTTTCAGATTCAGGCGGCTGATTGAAGTCATGATCCAGATTTCCCCGCTTTTCTTGCGCGACTCACGAACTCAGCGACTCGGATGCCCATGGGAATGCTTGGAGGATATGACTGCATTTGGTGAACACGGCAATCGCAAAGTCGCGGCGCAAGTGCGTCCACCATCAACGACAGGTCCACGGCTTTTAACGACCACAACAACGGACAGCCAATCAAGACTCCCCCGTCCCTGTCCCGCCAGCGCCCAGCATGGCATGGACGTCCAAAAGTCATCCGGATCCCAATGGGCGTCATGATGCAACACATTGCGCCTCAAGATCCCGGGCTGCAACCCTATCATGACTTTTTCATGGACATGGTTCATTTCGCCCCTCAACCGAGAGCTACGGTCCGCGGAGCAATGTCCCCTTTGTTGATTTGTTCTCGACCCATTTCGAACAATTGTCTCGTCTGTTCTTCTCCCAGTTCTTTGTACGCTGTCATTGGTCCAGAATCACTTATACCTTTCGCGCTTCAGTTCGGGATATCCCACCTCATTGGAGCTTCCATCCCCATGTCAGTCATATGTACTTGACCCCGGAGTATGCTGCAAAGTATTCTTGCGCTCCACCTCATGCCATGTGATACTCCTCAAAAAAGTCCATGGTAGTTCCTGGGGCTATGTTTTCGGCTGCTACCTCTTGAGTTCCCTCAAGACTGCCCGTCAACCCCCTTCTTGTTCCATCTCCGACCCCCTATCACGCGACAAGTGGTCAGGCCATGACCCCGTATTGAACATTTGGACATCTCCGGCCCGCCGTAACGAACCCAACCCATTACCACCATGTCATCTCGTCTCTAGCTGGCTGTTGTTGCTGCTGGTCCTTTCCCTTCTGTCTAATCACCGGGTGTGATCTACCATTCTACTAGTACTTTCTTTCTTGCCGGTCTTGACTGGACACTTCTTGGGTAGACATACCTATTCTAATTATACGGGGCCGGTCCCTCCGTACTTTCTTTACCACTCTGGTGTTCGTTGATCGACAATCTCTCCATACCATCGGACATAGGGCTGGCCTCTGATCTACGGGTGCCCAACCCAAGCAACCCATCATCGAGGCTCTGCCTACCTATCAACAGGTCTATTTGGCAGTGGACGACGATCACCACATCATCGACCTCAGACTTTCAGAGCGCGCAGTTTCTCTTCGACATTCCGCTGGGCGGAACTAATATTCACAACCACCACTTAATATCGATACCCAACACCAACCGCCATCATGCTCTGGCAACCAACAACCCTCCTCGCCGCCCTCCTGGCTGTGGCCCCCGTCGTCCAAGCTGGCATCGGCTCCCTCATCGCCGAAGGCATGACGCGCGGCTCGCCCTCCTACCACAAGCGCATGGAAGAGATCATGGGCTCCTACCTCCTGCGCCGGGGCTTTCTCGAGGAACGACAATCAGACTTCTCCACCTCCGCCGTCGGGCAGGACCCCATCTTCACCGCCGACGGCACCCTCAACATGACAGCCTGGAACGCCCAAGTCAACGCCGCCTGCATTTCCACCTTGCGCCAGCTGACTGCTGCGAGCAACCCGTCCGGAACGTGCGTGTGCTATAACCTCCCGGCGCTGGACAACTCCACGGGCGTGTTCGAGGCAGACCTCAGGTTGTTCAGGATCAATGATGCGAGAGATAGTTTCGCGGGGATCAAGCCGGAACAGATTTCGGTGGGCGTGAGGTTCGTGGGGGCTAATGTGAGGACTACGACCGCTGATCAGCCTGTTGCGAATGCGGCTGGCGGCGGAAGTTCGGCAGCAAAGGCTTCGCAGGGGGCTTCTGCTTCTACTTCCCAGGCGGAGACTGCTTCTCCTTCTTCTGTGTCTGCTGCTTCGGTGGGAAGAGTAGGAGGAAGCGGCGACGGAGAGGCGGCGAATGCGCTTGCTGCTAGACAGTCGCCAGGAGATCTGCCGAGTAATGGTGATCCGACGCTGTTGCAGCAGTATTTGTTTTTGGGGCAGATTGATAAGGGGAAGATGACTGGTGATATGACTATGTACGTTTTCCTCCTCCCCCCCCCCCCATCATACCCTCACCGCAGTATTCTAACCAGACACAGGGCCCAACTCCAACACCTCCTCCTCCCCATCGTCACCCTCTCCGCCACCACCCCCTCCGGCGCCTCCGTGTCAACCAACATCTCCTCCAACGAAGCCGCCTTTGTCGCCGGTGTTTTCAGCAAGGAAGTCGTCCTGTCGGACTTCAACCGCGCCCAGCTGGCAGTCGAAGACGAGATTGCGAGACTCAAGAATGGCACGACGGCGTTTGTGTTGCCGGGCGTGCAGATTATGATTTTCCCGGTTGGACTGGTCATTACGAGTGTTTGGTTGGCCGTGGCCATTGCGGCGTATGGCTATGGGACTTTTTGTAGGTATAATTTTGCTGTGCAGTATCAGCAGAGGAGGGCGGTGGTGGAGAGGGGGGGGATGGCGAGGATTTGAGAGTGTTTGACAATGGGGAAATTCATGTGATTGGAAGACCAGAGGAAGAAAGAGGTTGTGAAGAGTTGGGAGGCAATTGGTGACGGTGGTGATGGTCAGTAGGATTTCTGTTTCTTGGATATCCAACCGTACGGCAAGTCGGACGGAGGTTTGGAGCGGTCATGATGTTTTCGGCTTTGGCTTTTGGCTTTTGGCTACAGCATTCAGATATGCATCGCATCTCTCTTTTCCTTTTACATTAACAAAACAGCGATTGTGTTACTCGCATTTACATGGCGTTCTTATTCTGATTTACATTATCGACAGTGTACACCAGTCTAGAGCTGCTCCATCGTTGCTTTTCCTTTGCTCAAAGTTGGACCCTCGGCAAGATAGATGGCATCTTACTCGGAGACGGTTTCTGCCAAACAGTGCCGTTCGAGAGGGGGTATGCACCGAGGCCATGGCTGCCCACCACAACAATGAGCTCGAGTGATTCAAAGCTTTCGGACTAAATCTCAACATTCTCTCCTCTACCCAATATTGAAACATCGTAGCATTAAATGCCCGGCATCTTTCAGATGTTGCATCCGAAGTGTGAAGGGGAACTTCTTGGGAGTTTCGGAGTTTCAGGTTCCGCTTCGCTTTGACGCTAGCGCTACGACGCTAACAACGGTCTTGACTCGCTTGGACCCTTGTCATAAGGCGTGGGGTTGACTGCAACTTACACTAACAATACACAACAGAATTATTTAGCTTAATCAAATAGTATGCGTTAGAGCCTTACACAGCCACTAGCATCTCTTCCCCGCTTCGAGCACCGACCGCAGTGACCAACGCTGACGACATTGACCAACGCTGAAACATGTCGTCAACCGAACATCCCATCGACCCCGACGAGACTTTGTACTTTGAAGAATGAGACGACATTCCTCTTGTTGCCGAACGAACGAACGAAACGAAACTCGTTGAGCGCCGAGATCCCCCGGAGCGCGATACCGGTCGCCGATGGCGTACCTCGCCGAAGACGTAGCTCATCGGAGCCATGGGTCACCGGTCATTGTACGGTCGATGCGCCGATGCGCCCGATGCGAACGGATGGATTCATGTCTGAGCCCCGCGTCCGACCGCCGTTAAATGCCGTTGGCGACTCATCCACGACATATCGATGGCGAATATCAGGAGACCCGTTTCGAAAGCTTCCACCCTTGACGTAGCAAGCGCTACACGCCCACGGTCGAAGATTTGACTAGTGTCGAGAGGGAGAGGTCGTTGGAGGGGTATCCCATCCTCATTAATCCTCTCCATCCTTCCCTATCCTAGCGGATGGGTTGTCGTTCGATGTCGATATACAAGTGTATACAAAGATGATGGCGTATATCAGAGCGGCGAGTACGTACAGACGGGAGCTGGAAGACGAGGACACTTGGGCAGGGCAGGGCAGGACAGGGTATCGCTGTCTCGAGTAGACACTCGACTCGACTCGAGGATTCCATGTTGCCGTCCGTCTGCTTGGTGCTTGGTGCTTGGTGTTATCGCCGGTGCCTCGTACCCGGTGTCAACCGTCATGTTCGGTTTCTCCGTGCCGTTATGTCGTTTCGTTTATCCATGTTCCCGAGGCTGCGATCTTGTATGTTCACTATACAGCTACAGGAGTATAGCAAGTAACTGGTTATCACTGTCCATCTATCATATTGACTACCAAACCTAGAGGCATGCAGTGATGAACGGCCTTTGGAAGCCAGAGCGATTCTCGACCACCAAAAGTCCCATCAAAGACCAACCACCAAGTCCCGAAATCCGTTCGAGCACCATACAATCCCACGAAAAACCATCCAAACTGCAACCAACAACAACAATCAGCGGGCGTCCAGCCCCCTACAACCCATCCATCATGTCACCTACCTCTCCGTCAACCTTACAACTATCCGCCAACGACGCCATGGACCTCCCCACCCTCCTCATCCAAATGCAAGAAACCATTTCCCAAATCCACACCACCATCACCGCCCTCCAGCCGCCCTTCTCCTCTCTTTCGGGTGGTGACCCCTACCACATAACTTCCCCCGAAGAACGCTTACAACTAACCGACCTCGCCACCCGTCGAGACTCGGCCATCCGCTCTTTACTCACCGCCTTCACGGCCGAGTCTGAATCCCTCTCGCAAAAGCGGCGGGTAGAGCGGGACGAGATTTTGGAAAGAAGAAGGCAGGAGGACGAAGAACTACAGAGAAGAAGGAGGGAGGAGGATCAACAGTGGGAGGAGAGATTGAGGCGAGAAGATGAGGAGAGGGAACAAAGGTTAGAACAAGAAAAGGGCGAGGTGGAGAGGGAGACGGACGAGTTGATGGGTGAGATTGAGAGGGGGTGGGAGAGAAGGTGGGAGGAGGGGAGGGGGGTTTTGAGGGGGTTGGAGGGGAGGAGGAAGGTTAGTCTTTTCCCCCTTCCCGGGTTGGACTTGATGGTGTGATTTGTCTGGATGATTGGCTAACGAGGAATCAAAAACAGGAACTGAATCGGTTGATTGAGGAGAAGCTACAGGCGCATACCGAGACTCCATTGCCGCTTAACGCGAGAGCTATTATATCGGCAGCGAGGAAGGCGAGTACCGCCCAGATGCTCGTGTCGGAGCAGACTACCGAGCCTCAAGAGACGGCCGAGACGAGCGAGCCAACCGAGACACGGATCATAGAAAGGGGCTTCCTCCCCGCTGCCGCCTTCGAGAACGCTCCTCCCGACCTCGACCGAGACTGCTACAAGCCCGAGGCCGGAACCCAGCAAGAGGAGGAAACACTTGCGCGCGAGACCGACGTCAACGAATCCGGTCTGGCAGTCCACTTACAAGAAAAGATGGCATCGATGAGCATGGACAGCCTCCTGAACGAGCCCAACGAGTTCAGCGTTGCTGCCCCCGACCTTGTTGATTCGAGACCTACCTCTCCCGTTGGCCGGACTCTATCTGCTGTGGACAACGAAGAGCAGGCAGACGCCGACAACATTCACAACACTGCCCTCGAGCCTAATCCTGCTGTCCTGGAAGAACCGTCTGATGTCCAAGAACGGCAGCTGGAGATCAAGACGACGGAAACCACAGACACAACCGTGGACGTCGAGTTCCAAGGACTGCCGATCCGGGCGCATCCGATGGATGAGAACCTCCATCTCGATGAGTTCGCTAAGGTTGAGGAAGAGGAGGGGACGGCTGATGAGGGAGAGCATTGTGGGTTGTGGGTTGAGCACCACCGACGATCCGCTGAGACTGTTGTCGAGCGAGCTGCTACTGGGACATGGACTGCAGAGTTCCGGGGGAGACATGATAGTTTGGGTATCATCCATCCTCCTCCTGCTCCCCCCACTGCCTCGGACGACGGTGACGGTGCTGCAGCCGCTGCCGAAGTTGAAGAAACAGCTGTTCCAGCTCGGCCAGCAGCATCTGACCAGGAAGCATCTGAAACCTCCGATTACACACCCTACTCAAAACCCACCACCCCAGTCTCCCCAGTCACACCTGCCAACAACCATGTCACCGACGCCCATAGTCATACCAACCCTCCCGACACCGACCTCCCTACCAATGCCGAGGCCAACACCGAGGCCGACCTAAACCCAAGCCCAACCCCAAACCCAAACCCAGAAGAAGCCCACCAAGGCGCTGCTCTCCCCGATACCCCCAGTGATATCGACACCGTCCCCTCAGACGCAGACGCAGACGCAGACGCACACTCCAATTCCATCTCCACCGCCTCCGAGCGCGGTTCCTACTCCGACATCAAAGAGCCCGAGGCGTCTCCTATTTCTCCTACTGCTGCCAAGGCGGAGGAAGAGGATGATGATGCGGATTTTGTTGCTGAGCAGTGGCAGCAGGATGGGGCACGGGAGGTGCAGACGCGGGCGGCGTTGGAGGAGGGGGAGGGAGAGGGGGAGGGGAAGAGGAAGGTGCTTGGCCCTGATAGTCTTGTTGATTCTTTTGTTGAGACGGTTGATGCTATTGAGGCTGTTGATGCTGTTGATGCTGTTGAGGCGGTTGAGGCTGTTGAGGCGGTTGAGACGGTTGAGGCGGTTGAGGCGGTTGAGACGGTTGAGGCGGTTGAGACGGTTGATGCTGTTGAGACGGTTGATGCTGTTGAGACGGTTGATGCTGTTGATGCTGTGGCGGGCAAGGAAGAGGGAGAGGGAGAGCTGGGGCAAAAGGGAGGGCAAGAAGAGCATGAGCATGAGCACAAGCAGGGCCGCCACGAAGAAGAGCAAGCCGCTGAGGAGGATGTTGATGCAGAAGCGGTGGAAACCAAGGAAGTCCTAGAGAAGGAGGTCCTCCAAGGCTTGGTCCATGACCCCGTCGGCCGGGCGCATGATGAACAGTTTGAGTTGGAAGAGGAGGAAGGGATGAGGGCGAGGGGAGTGTTGGAGCCGTGTGCTAGTCGAGTGGATTTGGCCGATGGAGAGGGGGATGAGCAGCTGCAGGGTGAGGTTGACAAGTATGAGGAGGCGGAGAGCCCGGTCATGGGTGCTGAAGGGGTCATTGAGCCACCTGTGACGATGGAGGAATCACCATCTCCTGGTCCCGGACCTGAGCCTGAGCATGAAGCTGAGTCTGAGCCTGAGCCAGTCCCGTGCCCGGTTGAGGAGCTGGTTCGTGAGCAGGAGGAAATGGGACTAGGTCGACCTGAACCACACGACTCGGCCGAGTGTGAACAACACAACGAGAAACATACACCGGTGCAAGTCCTCGACATGGACCACCACCCCCTCGACCACTCCCACGTCTCCCACCTTGACGTCGTCGGCGTAGCCCTCACCCACAGCGAGAAAGTGCACATGCGCCACACCCCCCTCGAAGAAGGCGAAGAACCAGCGCATTACTTCGTCAACCAACATCATGTACCGCACAGCGCTGATGACTTCTACACCCCAGCTGAGGGTATCCTGCCCACTGGCGACGCTTACTATACTCCACATGATCAACTTCCAGAGCACGTCGATGACATAGAGTCGTATGCCCCTCTTGACCATGCAGACGAACAGGCAGACGAGGAGGCACACCACGAGCGCGAAGTTCCCGACGTCAGTGAAGAGGTGGAAGAGGATACCCAGCCTCGATACCAGCTGTACGAACGTCCTTACACGCCTAGCGACTTTGCTCCTACGCCTGGGTTGGAGTCTAGTTTTCCTCATGTTGAGCATGCCCAGGAACACGAGCATGTTCAGGCGTACGATGGGCAGCCAGAGGTTGTCGTTACTTTACAGCCTGATGTAGCGGAGGAGGCACATGCTGAGCACCACCCACAAGATGCGCATGCGGACGGTCATGGAGATGAACAAGACACCGAAGACGATGAAGAAACAGGTCATCAACTCGAGCGCGTTCCTAGCCGCCAGGATGTCAGAGAAGAGCAAGAGAGTCCCGAGCCTAGTGCGGATGACTTTCCTGCTGTTCCTGGACAGGCGGTTGCTACTGCTGAGCATGAGCATGCTACGCAATTTGGGGATGTGCATCATCGTGACATGGAGCCCGGGCCTGAGCATTACATTGATCGTGAAGATGAAGTCGATGAGGGCCAGGTTCATGAAGCCTCGTCGTCGGAGTCTGAGGATGACGACTTTGAGGGTAGAGGTGATGTCGTTCTTCACCACCTGGATGCTATTGCTGAGGAGGAGGATGAGGCTGTTGAAGCTGAGCTCGGCGATGGTGTTGAGCGTCGGGATATGGCCGCCGAGACCGAGACCCAGGCAGAGGTTCGTGTCGAGGCTGAGGTCGAAGCTGCCTTGTCCGACGAAGACGACGTCCGCAGCATTCCCGTGGATGAAAGCAACGCGACACTTCACAACGACGTTGTCCAAGCCGGCGCCGGCGCCGAAGCCGAAGCAGAAGCGGAAAATGTTACCTCCCATCCCCAAGACGTCGTCGAGTCTGCACCAGCCGACATCCACGTGTACGACACCACCACCCACACTTTTGTCCGCCAGCAAACCGATCGCACCGAAGCCACCGAAGACGACTCGGACGTTGACAGCTCAACCGAACCCTCCGAGCCCGAACGGATCCACGAAGAAGATCCCGATCCCAGACTCTCAGAGGAGCAACCTGCACTCGACGATGCCCCTGACCTCAAGGCCGGCCATCCTCAAACTACCACCGAGGAAGAGCACGCCTCGCATGAACACCAATCTGATGGCGAAGATCACACCCATAGCGAGCCTGGTCCCGAAGACGACGAATACGACCCCTTCCGCTACTCACCCCCCAAGAAAACTACTGAAGGGCAAGTAACCACCTCCACCTCCCCTTCCCCCACCCTTACCATGAGTTCTTCGGTTAAAGATATCACCTCTGACTCTTCTGCTGCACATAGGGATGATGAACATGTCGTTAACGAAGCCAACCCCGAATCACAGGAACAGGAACAGACTGTCGAACACGTGGAGGACGATGTACGCGTGGACGCCCCTGACCAGCCCGACGTCGAACGATCATCTGACAAGGTTTTGAGTGTGGAGGAGGCGATGTCTGCGATGAGCCATGAGCAGGTGGCGAGGAGCGAGAGGAGTTTGGCGGAGGAGTTGGAGGATGTTGGTGAGGAGGGGAGTGACGAGGGGCATGACCAGCACAGTCATTATGAAGAGGAGGGTGCTCAGCAACAGAGGCATCATGATGAGGAGTCCCCTGTTGGGCAGGTGGCGGTTGATGACAGAGAGCATGATGGCCCCGGCTATCGGTCTAGTGATGAGCAGGCTAACCGGGCTTACGATCATGATGGCCACTCACACAATCACGACGAGGTCGAGGCCCAACCGTCACAGCCATGTGAGCCTCCGGTCTTGCAACTCATCGAGCCTAGCGATACCGAGAACGAGGAGTTCCCTTCGGAGACATCATCCATCTCTGGTCATCCGCACGCTGTTACAAGGGAGGAGGATATGGGACGGGACTGGAGTGAGGTAGACCAGTTCTTGTCCGAGTCCGACTCCGAGGACGAGGTTGACGAACCTGCCCCTGAGCATGTGGAGGAGGCTGGTGCGGCCGCCGCTGATACGGTCGTTCATGCACATCCCACCGTTGATGTCGACATCGATGCCGAAGTTGAAGCTGCTCTGGAGACCCCGGCTACCGAGTCCAGTCGTGCTGAGGACACGGCGGCCGAGCTCCATGAGTACTATGACGAACAACATGGTGAGATGCATCACTCCCCTGAGGTTCCTGCTGCCTACGACGACCGCCATGATCAGGACAACAGAGTACCGACCCCTGGTGACGAACAGCACCACCAATTCCAGCACTCTGACGAGCACGACGACGACGATAATAACGTTATCAATCCGGCGCCTCATCATCACGATCTCCCCCCTCTCACCATCCCCGCCACTCCTCCCTCCCCAGCCCACGAAGACTCTCACCACGACGCCCACGACGCCCAGTCCCCAGAGGAAGAACAAGAGTTCATCCCCCGCGACGTAACCAACCGCCCCTGGCGCTCCGACACCTCCAATACCGTCCCCACCGTCTCCTCCCCTCAATCCGCCCGCAGCGGGACCACCCTCTCCTCTGGCCCTAGCTCCCCCGTCGAAGGGGAATCTGCATCGGGACAAGACCCCAGAATCCGTGACAGCATCGGCCGTCCCCGCGGGGTGAGCTCACTGACGGATGGGGGAAGTGGAACTGATTACAGCGGCGGCGGGTACGGAGCCTACGTGGATGGTGGTGCGAAGGACAGGGAGCCCGTGCCGAAGGGCCCGAAGGTGATGGAGATGTGGCATCAGCGAGAGGCTACCTCTAGTTTTTCTCGGTCTCGGAGTGAGGAGGTGAGACTTTCTGGAGATAGTGAGCGGTCTCATAACCGTGGCGCTTCAGGCAGTGGCAGCGGCAGCAGCGGAGGAGGTGGAGGCGGAGGAGGTGGAGGAGGAGGAGGTAGCTCCCTCTTCCAACGCATGCGCTCCGTCTTTGAACAATCCTCCTCCTCCGGCGCCCCAGCTGCTTCTGCTTCTGCTTCTGCCCCTTCCAATAACCGCGTCTCCATGCCATCCTTCTTTACCAAGTCCCACACCTCCAGCCCTTCACAGTCTGCCTTCCTTGAGAACACAGCAGCAAAGCAAAGACCAATGAGCACCTCCTCCTACTCCAGCTCCCGCCACAGAAATCAAGATGGGGGGTACGCCCAACCCGCGGCAACAGAACAAGTAGATGAAGCCGACGAAGCCGAACAGGCTGGCGAGAACAGCGCTCTCTTGCATCAGCACCAGCACCACCAAGACGAACAGGAAGCGGATGAGGGCAGTTCTAGCGACGGCTACGATTCCGAAGAATACGAGCGCGAAAAAGAAAGGGAAAGAGAAAGAAGAAGAGAAAGAAGAAGATATGAGAGGGAAAGGGAGGAGTGGAGGGAGAGACATGGGATGTCCGTGCATGCTTATGGTGGGGAGAGTAGTTCGGTGAGCAGGTATGACTATGGGGAGTATAGGCCGGAGTAACCACGCTCGGGAGACATGCCCGACTCCGAGCTGGACGGGAAGGGTGGTGGTTTGGTGAGGGTTGTGGATTGGAATGGGAATGGGGATGGGGATGGGGATGGGGATGGGGATTGGAATGGTCATGGGCTGAATAATAGAAACAGAGTGGAAGTGGGAGTTGGATCCGGAGTCTGGTGGATCGATTCCCGGTTACGATGGAACGGAGATGAAGATCCTCTTCCGCTGAAGAAGCAACAAGTGTTGCAGCAGCTGGTTCCATTGGCAGCGGCAGCAGCGACAGCAATAATTGACCCCCTCGACGCAATCGACATCTGGCGGCAAGGCGTGCGCTGCTGTCCACCGGGACCACCAGTGATCATCTCATCGAGTACACCAGTCATGAACAGACCTCGGGGCTGCCGCCTCGATCTTTCAGAACATGAACTCATGACAACTACCAGTACCAGTACAGCCGCCCCTGAGGTCAACGTCAACACCAGAACCTCAGCCACATCAGCTTCGATGACCGTCCCCGACCCCGAGAAGGAGTCCACCACTTTTAAGGCCAAGGACAAGCCCAAGGAAGTCATCGGTCCCTCCCGCCTAGCCCACTCCTTCACCCAAGGCTGGCTCTCCCGCCTCCGCACCGCTCAATCCTTCATCAACCGCGCCCGCATGGAACGGCAGTTCGAAGACAACGTCGGTTATCACTTTGAACGGATCAACCCCGCTCCTCTAAAACTCGATTGGAGGATGTTGGAAAAGGAGTTGGGGGTGGATAGATACATGTATCGTCGGACTGAGCACTGAGGCGGAGGGGTATGGGCGGAGGGAGGAGGAGGAGGAGGAGGAGGAGGAGGAGAGGAGGGGGAAGGAGTGGGGGAGGGCGGTTTATTGGGTTTAGTTTGTCGTTTCCTTGCAAGGTCTTGTTTGATCTTGTAAAGTTCAAGACGTTTCCATCTTAGATCAGCTTGAATGTCATTGATCATGGAGTCTTCCAGATTCTCGGTATCTAGAACTGTTTGTTGCCGAGTGGCGCCTCTGAACTCTGATGCTTCACCTAGCATCAGCATCTTACCTCTCTCTATCTTAGCTCTCTTGATGCTTGAACTATCCAACCAAATTCTGCTGCCCAGTGGTCCGGACATGGAAGTGTGCTTGCACGATTCATCCATATAACTATTGCGCATCTCCGCCTCCATATCGGTCGTACAGATGGGAAGTCCCTGCCAAGAACGGCCAGGATCACGATCTTCCGTATTGCGCCCGGCAAATTGGATACATCAACCCAGATTAACCCAGTGGCAGAAGGGCCTGCGCTACTTGATCACCAGGCACACACATCCGTACAGCACACGTACTACCGGGGAATGTCTGACCCATCATGCTCCTAGTACCATCTTCAATGCCGACATCCGCCTCAACCTCGTGGCAATTACCCCAGAGTTGCCATTATGGAAAATCTGGGGAAGTGCTGATCGGTGCTTGCCGCCCCCGGGTAAATCGCATGAAGTAGCTCAACTGTTCCCGATTGGACCCCAACTCGTGGCTCCTGGAGTATGGCAAAATTTCAAAGTCCTATTGACGACGAAGCTATATCCAGACGGAGGCAATGAAATACCTAGACTACCTCTAAGGTGACTGTAGTTGACGCCCAATTATCCTCTTATACTACCGTCCACCCTCCTCTCTCCCTTCCACAAAGCACCCATTTATTCACCTCCCCCACTTCTCAACACCATTCATCCACAGTCATCGCACGAGATGAAGTTTCTCTTCCTCACCGCGGCCCTCTTCCTGGCCACCCTCACCACCGCCCACCCCGTCTTCGACGACCTCGTCACCCCCTCCACCCCTCTCGGCTACAAGCGCGCCCCCGCCGCCTCCCTCCGTCAAGTCTCCGACTTCGGTCCCAACTCCTCCAAGGTCAAAATGTACATCTACGTCCCCGACAAGCTCGCCGCCTCCCCACCCATCATCGTCGCCATCCACTACTGTACCGGCACTGCCCAGGGTTACTACAACAACTCGCCCTACGCCCACCTGGCCGACCAAAAGGGTTTCATCGTCATCTACCCCGAGTCCCCTTACTCTGGAACCTGCTGGGATGTCTCCTCTCGTGCCACCCTCACCCACAACGGCGGCGGCAACAGCAACTCCATCGCCAACATGGTCGACTACGCACTCAAGACGTACAAGGGTGACGCAACCAAGGTGTTTGTCACCGGCTCCTCGTCAGGCGCAATGATGACCAACGTCATGGCCGCCACTTACCCAGCCCTGTTCGCCGCCGGCATCGCCTATTCGGGAACCCCCGCCGGCTGCTTCTACTCCCAATCAGGCGGAACCGACGCATGGAACAGCAGCTGCGCCAACGGTCAAGCCCGCGGCACGCCCCAGGTGTGGGCCAAGATGGTGCATGATATGTACCCGGGTTATGAGGGCCAGAGACCCAAGATGGAGATCTACCATGGCAGTGCGGACAGCACGCTGAACGCGAACAACTATAATGAGACCATCAAGCAGTGGGCGGGCGTGTTCGGGTATGATTATCAGAAGCCGGATGCTACGCAGAACAACACGCCGCAGAGTGGGTATACGACTTATACGTGGGGAGAGGGAAAGCTTGTGGGCGTGTATGCGCGCGGGGTCGGGCATACGGTGCCGATTCGGGGGAGTGATGATATGAAGCACTTTGGTCTGTAAGCGGTCGCCGAGGTACGGAGAGGGAGTGTCGGTCGATCGGTGTCGGGGAGAAGGTTCGGTCGTCGAGATGTGGTCGAGTGTCTAGGTCGTTAGCCGTGAAGCTGGCTAAGGGTCTCCATCTCTTGTTCTCGTGCCACTTCTCCGCCATGAAGCTTATTGTTGCCTTGATGTTTCCCTGGCTCTTGTGCTTGCACCTTTGATCGTTTCATTCGCTCCATTCACTCTGACAGAAACATCGTTTTCGTTGTTCTCGTCGGGGTGTCATCAACAAGTGGAACTCTGTCGTGTACTAGAGGTAGTCAAAGAGGTAACAGTTGGTCGGTAGCAGCGTGCGGACTGGAGGTTTAGCAAGATGAAGTCATCGAAGTTGAACGCGTCGGTTGTTTGGCACCGTTGCGATGGTAATGGAGAGTCGAAGAAATCTCGAGCTGGCCCTGTTCGAAGGTGAAGTTAGCGTGTATTCGGGTTGACCAAGGAGAGGTGAAGCTTGGCCAGGAAAGTCATGCAAAGACTATAGAGCCCTTCAGAGTGTGTTCCCGGTGTTTTGGTTGGAAATTCATTGACATCGACGTCGTGGTCGCTGAGTGGCAAGCGAGTGATTCCACAGTGCATCCAGGCTCCCGAAGAGAGCTGTCGGGCGGATAACCCAGAACCCAGCGCCTATCTTGGGGACGGTTTACTGGCTGTTTCACAGGGGCAGTAAAAGGCAATCCGGAAGGCTGTGAGTCGGAAGGTGGTAGGCGGTACGGAAGGACGGGCTTATCGGCCGCCCGGGCAGTTCCAGTCAACCTCTCAGGTTCCAGCTGTGCCTTCCATGTCTCCGGACCCAAGCTACTCCCACCGCAGCAGCCCCTTCCCTTCAGCACTTCCAACCGCTCAAACAAGTCAAGAACGACAGTCGGAAAATATTGAAACGGGCAGGAGAGATTGTCGTCACTGTCTTCACCAAACCAAAAGCAAAAAAAGACAAAAAAAAGATGTGCTAGAGCCGGGATTCGCACCCGAGTCTCTGCCTCAACTCCAAACTTGAGTTTGGGAGGGCAGTGAGTTAAACTACTACTCCACTCTAACCTTTTTTGATTTGTTGGTATTGGGGTCTCACCAGGGTACCTATATACCGCGGTATCAAGGTCGACTGGCGCGTCCGTGCTTGTCTGGGTTGATGCCGTGGGTGTCGGTCCCGAGCTGCTGGTGCCGGCCGAGGCGGTGGTTGTGGTGGAGTGGCACCTCTGCTAAGGGCTAGGTAGCTGTGTCAGCGATTCAAGGTAATTGAAATGGCCCGCCTGGTCAGGTGTTTTCTTGGTTTTGTAGTTCGTAGCCCCGGTGAACCTTGATGGCCAGGGCGGAGCGTCTGGTGATGTTGTGGCCGGTGGAGGAATTGCAAGTCAAAACACTTGCACACAAACCAGCAACAAGGACAAAGATTTCGACAGGCATTGACAGGATTGTGAGCAACAAGCGCCGTTCAAGCTACAAAGACTCAATCACTGCCCAAAAAAAAATGAAAAAAAAAAATGATGAAGAGTGCAAAGTTCCTCTGCCACTTGCAAGTCAAAACACGGGTTTCCCCACAATCGCCACCATCATGATACCATCGCCCATGACGAGACAAAAAAGGAAGAGAGAGAAATGAAAAAAGAGATGCGCAGTCCAGGAGTCGAACCCAGGTCTTTCACTAGCTCATGTATGCCCCCAGAGTCGGTCTTTGACAGTGGTTCGCCGGGGATTTCAACCCAGACAACTAAGAACGGCTTTAATGGTGAACGCGTTGACCGCTACGCCAATTGCGCTTGTTTCTTGTTGTACTTTTTGCACAAAGACCTGATACATAAACCTCCTGTCAGGGTCCCTGCCATTAGTTGCTCTTGCCGGCAGCTGGAAAGCTTCTGTTTGTGCCAGGCTTTGGCACCTGCCGGTATATGACGACACATGACGGCTCAAGGATAGGAGGTAAACGCTCCGTGGGTGCCTGGCTCTTTCCTTCTTTCCCTTCCTCTTCCGTTCACTGCCCTGTCTGCCAGATGCGCGAACATCACCCCTGACACCTTCATTGAGTTTTCGAGACATGACGTCACTGCCCGTTCTTGACTTGGTGGTTGCCCAAAAGCTGTCAGCAGCAACTTCGGAATGGAAGCCAAGGGAAAGATGCAATAGAGATACAAAGTTCTGCAAGCATTGTAGACGGGAAGCAGTCAAAGTCGGCACTAAATATTTCTTGCTCGCTGCCATGAAAACCTCTGAGTTCACACGTTCTCGGTTGACTTTTACGTTGTTTTTGTTGCTCACTGCCTGCACATCCCCTGCGTCTTGCATTCCCGTTGTGTTACGATCCAATAAGGAATCACTTATGTAAGCAGCTAGGTAGACCAATCAGGGCCGCGCCGGGCGCCGGCGCCGTGAGTAAACGGCGCCGCGGCCACGGCGCAAGGGCGCCGGGTGGCCGAGAATAGCCTCACCGGCGCAGCGGCGCACACTGAAGGACCAGTATATAAAGAAGGCCTTCCCAGGCCTTCTGTCTACTGGGCTCTTCAGCAAGCAATAGCTTTCACAATCGACCAGTACCTTTTGGCTACTACTACCGTTGATCATATTCCCAGCGATATACTCCTGTGCTTGTAACGGTTCGTCACACGTTGCTATGACCCTACAGTTAGGCGTTCGTCAAGTTACCTCTAGGAAGATAGCATAGATAAAGTTAAACGATGCAGCGGTGGCAACAAAACAAGCAAGCAACCTCAACTTTGACAAAAGATGTTTGTTGCCGTTCGTTCATTCCTTAATCCGTAACTCAGTGGCGTTTATTGCTCCAAGCCCGTGAACATGCCTGCGAATCCAAACTTCATAGCGTGCACCGCCTCACCTGATGTTGAGTCGTTTCTTCTCTTTCTCTTCGATCTTTCCTTCTTGATGCCGAACTTGAGCTCAGATTCTTTGATTCTCCGTCGAGGACAGTTCAGACTTGACTAGGTATATATCTTCGGTTTTGATCAGAACACACGACACACACAGAAGAAGGAATGAGCCATTCTTCTCCAATTTCGATATATCAGTCCTTATTAAACTTACACTATCTACCTTACTTGAGGCACCTCTCTCTCTTCAGTTTCCAAGAGGGATAACTTCAACCTCCCAGCCTAGCCTTCCAACTACCCTCTTGAGTCCCTCGGCTGCGTCTCGTCCGAGGATTTACCAAGCGGTGACCTCGTAGATGATGTCCAGCACATCAGCTTCCAAATCCTGATGAGACAATTTGCGTATGACAACATGGAGACCAAGAGTCATCCAGTTGAAAGCATCATTGCCCTAGATTCTTCCATGGACAATGAAAACGTTAGTGGCTGACCCTGCCTCATCATATATGCGAATCTCTCCGAATCTCAGTCAACGGCGGCTCCCTACGTCAGATTCATTACTGCGAGGATTGGTTGGGCCTTATCACGGCCATGTACTCCCTGGGCGCCCTCTGTTCTATCCCCTTGATCCCCCTCTTCAGCAACCGCTACGGCCGCCGCACCTCCATCCGAATCGCTTGCTACATACCTACTAAGCAGCAGCCGCCATCATGACCTGATTACCCAGTCCGCACCAAGTGCAAAGCAAACCCACGGCAGCAAGCTAAGCGCTCTCCCACACTGCCCAAGTCTTCTTGCACTGGCTCGTGAGAGGGATGAAGTGAACTGAGCAGAGGGCGCCCAGGGAGTACATGGCCGTGATAAGGCCCAACCGATCCTTAACCGGGTGCCCAAAGTCGGCGGCGGAGATCGCGGTCGGGTTGTTGTTTGAGTTGAGCTCTCGTGCGGGCATGACATAATCTGGCGGTATATTCTGGCCAGCCTATTGAGGTTGACCAATTGTTGTTTGAGGTGTTGAAAAGGGATGGTGCCGGTGTGGCTGGTGTCTTGGTTGGTGTTGGTATATAAAGGTATCTCGAGGTCGTCCTCCAAGACCAGCTTGTAGATCATAATTCTGATTTCAGCGGGGAGGACGAAGAAGGTGATCTTTCCGTGTTGGTCCATCGTTGAAGAAGTTTACCGGTCGGCAGTTGCACGGAGGTAAAGAGAACGGTGAGATGAGAAAAGAAAAGCAGCAGGGGAACATGGAGGGTTCTTCGGCGAGACACTCTACGATTTAAACGTGTCGTGAGCATTTTTACTTGAGATAATCTCACTCGCCATGGAGAAATGGTCAGAAATGCAAGCGCAAAGTCCGTAGCGGCCGAGACAAAAAGCTCACATCACGAGTTTCTCACCACCAAAACATGAACCCCTCACCACCAAAAAAAGATCAAAAAAAGATGTGATGCGCAGTCTAGGAATCGAACCTAGGGTTTCCACATGATCAGGTCCACGGCCCGGTACCAGTCTCCAGAAGCCATCCCTCTCCTCGGGTGATTATGAACTTTTTTGGTTTTATTTTTGTTTTATGAGAACGGAACCAATGCAAGATTTCCAAGAAGAGAAAAGCAAAGAGAAAACCTACCCACACCCATACTTTTCCTCCTTGCACCCATATATCCACCCGTGGCAGCTGTCATCAAATACCGCCGTTTTGGCGGGTATTTTCGCCTTTGTTCATCCCTAGAGGTACCTCTAGGTAGCATACCGCCAAAATCGCCAAGTTCACCAACTCCCATAGAATCGCAGCAACATCAATGCATGCGTGCAGTGTAGATGAGTCCTTTTTATTGTTTACTTGCCCCTGGTGATCTTGCTTCGTTAAGCCTCGTTTAGGACGGTTATCGCTTTCCTCTCCCAATTCCATCCCTCGCCTCATTTGGCGGCTCAAGTCTTTTTTTGTGGTGGTATTGGCTGGTGGTGATGCGAGAGGCGGGCCAAAAACTTTACGAAATGGGGTAAAATGTAACGTACATTGAAAGGTCGAAATTTCACGGCCAAAAGGTGGATTTTTGGATGTCAAGTATCATTGCCTGTCAGGGGCTACCAGGGACCCTAACCCTCTAGCACTATAGGTACAAGGAGGAAAAGTATGGGTGTAGGTAG